GATGTTGTTTCATTGATAGAAATATTTGTGAATGTTTAAAATTATATAATAAATGTTTTTTTTTTTTTTTTTACGATTTCTGATTAAGAGAAAATAAACTGCATGTGGTGGGAGCAAATATAAAGTGTCCATTCGGTTAAAAATCAAAGGCCGGGAGGCCCAAGCGCATGAAAAATAAACGTAATTATAATGATTATTAGTTATGGATTTGTGTTTGATATAACAAAAGCATAACTTAACTATAATCATGACATAATTGCATAAGGCTTCCCCTAAGATGTACAACGAGGCTTCACGTTAGATTGATTAATTTTATATAAAAAAATTAAATAAAATGTGATCATGAAAATAGGTTATTTATTTTTATTAATTAAAAAATATATTCATATTATCTTGTTATTATCACGTCTTTTAGAGCACAGTAAACATAATGTATGATCGTTTGACCAAATCGCAATTTATAATCAGATCACTTTGATATAAACATTCATACTTAATTGTACACACGTGTATGTTAACTTTTTTTTATTTCATTCTTTGTTTTGAGTATGATGAAAGAAAGATTATAAAATTATAAATGTTATGACAAAATAAAATTTATTTTAATATTTTAATAAATTAATTATTAAAATAATTAAATAGTATTTTATTTTATCTTCACTTGTAATTTTTTATTATAAAAATATGAAAATTAATTATTTTTAATAGAATAAGTTTAAAATGATTGAATTTTAATTTTATAAATATGAAATAATTAAATGTTCTAATAAAATACCTGATTTTATTTTTTAATTTATTATATATATATATATATTTATTTATTTATAAGCATGATATATATTTTACTTGTTACAGTAATGATGTAGTTATTTAACTAAACTGACATGGTCTATTGTGTTAAGTTGAATGGATAGGGTGCGACTGTGAACCATTTCAAACTTATAAGCATTAGTGCTCTTATACAGTTGTATGTTGTCTGTTTAATAATTTTGATATTTTATTATATGTATTGTTTATAAATAAAAAAATATATTTAAAAATTACCAAACAACATTTCATTTATCAAAAAATAATATTAACTTTAATATTCAATACCTATTTATGTACCATATTCTTTTAAAAGATTAAATATATATAGTCGATAAAAAAAATACCATATTCATAAAAAAAAGAGTCAAATTTAAATTAAAAAATATAAATTATGTCAAATTAAAAGTTGTGACAAAAGTAACAGTTGAGACAATGCCATGAAAATTAAATTACTATATAATATTTACTTTAATTTTAATTAAAAGATCATATGTCATTTAATATAATATTAACTCAATTAGTTTTTTTATTATATTATTAATTTTATACAAGTATGAACCATATTCTAAATATAGTAACTGGATAAAAAATAATATTTATTCATATTAGTAATTAATTTATCAAAACATAATTAAATTATTATAATAATTAAATTATAAATATTAGAACAAATAAAAATTTTATTTTATATATATTGATATTGAGAGTCGTCATTAATCGTCAATATGATTTATTAAAAATTAAAAATAAATTTTATATATAACACTATTTTTATAAAAAAAATTAAAATTACATTAAATTGATAAATACAATTAAAAAATTACATTATTATTTTTTAAATGGTCAAACATGTACAATTATTATTCAACCGTTCTTCAACGAAAATGATATTTTATAAACCAAGTATATTAATAAAATTTAGCGTGACACTGAGATAATTAAATCTCTAAACATTCTAATTAAGATATAGTTATTGACAATATATATTTATATAGGAAAATATTTTATTAAAAAAATTATTTCAATAATGTCTAAATATATAAGAGAATAATCTGTAACCCTGAACTAAAATGCAGATAGTTAACGCCAAAATTTCAGTTAAAATACGGTGAAAACCATTTCATCATTTTCACATTAGGATGCTTGGTTTTACATGTTGAGAAGATATATATGTATGCATGAGGAGTGGAACTGTTGGGTAATTTTGTTAAACGAAGAACGATGCAGCTTTTATATTGAGTTCAGTCTAGTCAATTGTAGTGTTCAGAGAAAACAGATATGAAATTTGTTCCTTTTCATTGTGATGTGGGCAAAAGGAAAGTGGTGGGCATAGTTTGAAGGGAAATGCAACCTCAAGGAAAGGGCAAAGTACCATAGGCATATGCTGCACTGTCAATGGATGCAGATGGGGGGGCCAATCCCTGCCATCCACCTTTGTTTGAGAGTCCCATCTCTCACATTTCACCCTTTCACTTCATCTTTCTTGGATATTGGTCATGTCACTCACCCCAAATATCACTGCTACTGTTATATCTGTTTATATATATATATATATATATATATATTCATCTTCATTTTTATTTTTTTCATGTTATGCAGGTAATATTCTTTTCACTTTCTTCTTTTGTCACACATTCTTCGATCATTATTGTGTTGAGGATGGCTAAAAAGATAGATTGAATGCAACTAAAGGTGGTGATTGAGAGAACGTGACATGCATGTGCAAATAATATGAGAACGTGAATGTAACTTTATCCTTATATGGTTTTTCTTCACTTCATTACATTTCTCTAGTTTGACTAAAATTACCACTGCATTTTGACTGAAATTTTCCAGTCACCGTTAATTGCTTCAGTTAAAACTCATAATTAATTTTTATATACAATAATGTGTAAGCTTTTACATAATGTTTTATTACAAAATAATAAGCAATTTATCTTAGTGTTTGTTTTTTAAAATAAAAAATTAATAATTAAATTTAAAAAATAAATATTTCTTATACAATAACATTTTTAATATGTACCTAAAGACATACTATGAAACCTCATGCCATACAATAAAATTTAATTAAAATTATAATATGTTATTATTTATAGTTCTAATTTTTAATAAAAAATTATTTTTATTAACTTTTTATCATGTGCTATTCATTACAAAAATACTCAATGATATAAATTATTATATTATCCCTAGAAATTCATCTTTTATACTATTGGCAAGTGCATAGTTCGGTAAGTATAAATCAATAATTGTTAAAAAATAATTTTAGTAAACCGATTAATAAAACAGTTTTTAAAAAATCAATGTTAATTAAAATTTAATAATCACCAACATTCAAAATTAAAAATAAGTCAGTAATCTTATGACATTTTTTAAGTTGTATGTATATATATTATTAAAATTAAATCTAATGATATTTTTTATTCTCATTCTGATTATAATTGAATATTTTTACTTGAGTCACTTTCTATACATATAAATTATTATATTATCCCTTCATTGTTTTTCTTTCATAAAATCCGAAGTCTAGCTTGATTAATATGACATTGGCATAAAGTCTTCTAGTTATCTTATTTATCCATCATTATTTATTATTATTATTATTATTTAAGCAATTAGATTGCTTCTTAATTTATTGTTGTGTTGTTCATATTCATAAAAAAGAATTACTAATCATGAATGCTGTGTGTATCAATTTATCTGAATAGATTTGAAGAGAGTTATTATCAGCTAGCTTAGGATCTAAAAGATTATCTATGTTTGGAGTTAACCATCCTATTTAAAAAATTCAGTTTGAAACTTCAGAGCATTGTTGCTTATTACAGTCACAGCCCACAGGCCGACTTTATCCATAGAACAAAACCAAATCCGCCAACGAAGCCCATTGGTCTTCTAAAAGTTTATACACAAATGTTAACTTCTTTTTCACCGAATAAAAAATTTGGGCTTCTTAAAAATAAATAATACGTGAAAACTTGCAGCGAGGCCCAACCCAATTTTTTTCTTTGTAAACCTTGGGCAATGAGCCGATTCTATGCGGCTCAACGGACATGAATTTGTTAAAAAATAAATAAAGATATGAATTTAATATTTTTAAGAAAATGTTAATAACTGTGTTTAAAATATTTTTTAAAAAATGTAACCAATACTTATTTTTTTATATTTCTAATAGAATTTACCATGATGTTTAATAAAAATTTAATTCATTAATCTTTTTAATTAGTATCCTTGTGGAACTCATTTTTTTATTTCAAACTCATAAATTTTGGTTAAATTTATAAGTTCCCCTCAATTAATGTATTTTCTTAGTTTAATAGGAGTCAAGACGTCAAGTAGAGAAACTTGTAATAACTTTTTATTGTCTAACCCTTAATAATTAATGTAAATAAGATTGAAGCCTTATGTAACTAGTTATGGAATAACTAAGGTGGTGAAATTTATTAATTATAAAAGATTTAATGAATTATACTCCCTCTTCTACTTTCTTTGTATTTCATAACATCACCAACTACTAATTTAAATTTGTTAGAAAATAAATTGAAGTTTTGGAATGAAGCCAATAATATATGAAGTATTAATTTTAAAATTAATAACAAAATATTCAATACCAGCCACAATGCTTGAAATCATAAAAGAGGAAAAAAAAATCACTGAATGCTTCTTTATAATCATTCACCGTTACTAAAAAAATCTGTTCACATTAATTTAAAAAAAAGTATAACACATTTCATGTCTTAGGATAAGAAGGAAAAACAAAAATAATACAGACATTGCAATTTAAATCAGGTTTAGAAGAACTCAGTATAAAGTGTTTAATTTATTTATAAGAACTAAACAGGACTCAAACTTCAAAGTAATTAATCATTGAAAATTATTTAAAAATAAAAAGAGTAATTATCACAAGTAATTAACTATTCTATCCATAATAACTATAATGAATCTACAGAAGTTTTATAATTGTAAATCTTTCATATTGTTGACTTTTTCATCAAAGTCAAGTTAGGGTAACATGCATGAGGAGTTAATCCCTACCCCATTTGTATACAATTAGTGTACTTATTGTTCCTTGTATTGCACGTAAACCCTACCACTATGCTATTCCTTCGTAATAACGCAAAGGGTCACACAAAACAACCATTTGAAATCAACAACATGAACCTCATTCATCGTATCATCATCACACCACCAAAATGAAGATGCAGATCCCAACAACAACACTTGCTCTTTTTCTTCTCTTCTCACTCAACTCTCTTCTTCTCTCATCATCCTTCATTCAAGGTATACATCACATCATGCATGCATGCATGCATGCATCCTCATTTCTCATCTTCTTCTCATCCACATTCCAATCACAACACAAAAGTCTTAACCTCTATTCTCATTGATCCCTTTGTGTTTTAACTTCTTAGGTTTTCAGCCATTGCCGGCACCAAGCTCCAGTGATGATCACGACTTCCGATCTCCTCTGTCGCCACCCACGCTTCCGCCTGTGGCTGCCGACGGTGGTGCTGATGGGTCTCCTTCCGGCGAGCCCGTTCCCCCGTCGCAGGTGGTGATTGGGAAGTGGCATCAAGGTTCTCCAGGTGCTCCGGCGCCGATATCGGAAAATGGGGTTGTCGGCAGTGGAAATGAGAGCTCCGGAGAGGTGGCACCGAGTTCTCCGGCGACGGATGACGGCGGCGTGAGGTGGTGCGCGGTGAGGGACGAAGTGGAGGAGTGTCGGTTCTTTGTTAGTGTCATTAACCAGATAATGGGTTACACCTGGAAATGGTAAGTAAAATTTAAGTAAATGTTTTTATATATTATTATACATGTATTAATTTTTAATTTAAGTAAAATTTATAATTTCAAGTTAAATAAAAGTTTATTTTAAAATATGCTAAAAATGTTTAAAATTGTAAACATTCATAGTTAAATAAATAAGTAGCTAGATTAGAGAGTTAAGATTTAGGGAAATGATAAACTTTAATATAAAAGTAAAAATTAAAAATAATTTAAAAGTCTGAACAATCAAGGGTTTAGAGAGAGGGTAAAAAAAAGGTAGTAGTATTATACAACATTTAGTTTTGCCCGACTATAAAAAAAGTAAAATTTCGATCTTACATTAATTTTCTTTTATGCTACAAGAGAAAGATATAAAAACAGTTTATTAATTTTGTTTTCGTGTTTCTTATAATATGATATTATCATATTATTTATCAACCCTTAAATACAAAATTAATTTAATTTACGGAGTTGATTTTAAAGTAACCGATTAGAATTATGACATTCAGTCTCTACCATTCACTGAACACAATCAACTTTAATACTCTTCTTCCCAAGCAAAGCCAATGGTTAGTCTTCTTTATAGAAAACTTGATGTTGCTGGTACTCTCAAAACCCTTTTTAGATTCATATTCTATCAAACAGACAAATGAAAATGTAACTACATTGCAGTGATATAGTGATTCGATTCTTGATTTCCTATTTCTTCAGTGTCCAAAGAGACAAAGCCCAAGGTTGCGTGGAGTCAATTAAGAAAGGAGAAGCAGATTTGGTGAACTTAGAAGCAGGGCTTGCATACTATGCATTCATCAATCATTCAATGAAAGCCATAGCCAATGAGATCTATTGTGATCATTCCAATACCTATGAAGCTGTTGCAGTTGTAAACAGAAGGGCATGTGAGAACAATGTAAAGATCACTTTAATGGATTTCAAAGGCCACAAGTCTTGCCATGGAGGTTACTCCACAGCAGCTGGATGGAACTACCCCATCAACTACATTAAAAAATTTATTAACAATGAAAAACTGAGTGACAAGGAAATTGCAACTAGTTTCTTCTCTGATGTATGTGCTCCTTCAGAGGTTGAAGGTTTTGATATATGCAATGCATGCAGAAAAGAGAATGAAACTTGCCATGAAATAGGTTTGTACTCTGGTCACTCAGGAGCTTTTAGGTGCCTTATAGAGGAATTGGGAGACATTGCTTTTGTTAAGGGTGATACTGCCTTACTCTATTCAATGGAGGGGCCTCATAGCCAATTATGGTCAACAAAGTCTGTTAGGGACTTCATGTAAGTACCTTGCCTTAATTAGGAGTTTTCAGGTAATGCATGAAGTAAATGTGTTTACTGAACTAAAATTTTTCAATTGATTAACTGCAGGTACCTTTGTCCTCAAGGGGGATGCAGAGAAATCAATGGTTATCCTGGAGATTGCTCGTAAGCTTCACACTTTGATGGGTTGCCTAAAAATCCTTGCTTTCATCTTGTCATCTAAGTTGGTTGAACAGAGAGCGAGAATGAATAACTTGGTTGAGATGTCTTTATGATAGAATGTTATTGTGAAACTACTTTAAGCTAAATGCATATGTTTTTGTTAGCAACATCTTAGTGGTGCTTATCCTTTTCTCATTGTACTTGTAACTAAAGTTGTTTGCTTCACCCTTAACCAGCTTTGGAGCTGTTCCTGCAAATGTGATAATGGCACATAACTCAATGCCCAACAAGAAGAAAAAACATGTTCTAGAAACATTGATGAATACTAGTTTGGTGGATACTCTTTATGCCTCAAATGATGTTCGCAGCCACTTATTTAGTCCAAGGTAAAATATATGGTATCTTGGCATGGGACCTCTTTAGCTTGACTTATGTTCTACAGCAGATTTTAATATTACAGTATATCCCACGTGAGTTAAACTTGAGTTAAAACAACGACTTTTTAAAAAAACTTGAGTTCAAGTAAAAATTTAAAAGATTTCTGTATGTAAAAATATGGATGGAAACAGTACTCGGTACAATGGTACTAATATAAATATGACTCAAAAATTCAACCCTTCATTGCAGTACCCAAGGAATAGCCATGATTGAAAAGGCCACAAGGTTATATCTGGGGAAATCAGCTTCAATCTCACAAAGCATACAAAAATTAAATGCTCCAGAAGCCAGAGTCACCTCATACGCAGCAGACAATGGTTCAGGTAAAGTTGAATTTTATCATCTATTTGGAGTAATAAATTTATGATAGAAGAAATCATAGTCCTATTGCTGCTCTAACTTTGTTCACACATATGCCATAACAGATGAATCGTCTTCATCTTCATGCATTTGCTGTTCACAACTAATGGCTATGCTCTCACTCCTGATGTTACAATTATTACTTGGAATACTCACTCCCAAGTAGAAGAAACTTGGCATTTTTCTATTCTGTGGTTCACTTTCATATGCGGTGCAAGTTGTCACGAGTACTATTTTGTTTAATGTGGGTAGTACTGGTAAAAACCTACATGATGAGCTAAGGATAAAAACCAAAAAGTTCGTGGTTTTGCATTATATTCCTGTATTGTGTTTGTAGGTTTCAATAATGAGAAGTAGTCTAGCTCACTGAGTTCCGACCCTCGATATTAAGAAAATTCACCAATTTTGAATAAAAAATTTCCATTGTCCATTTAGGTTTCTGTCCTTGTTTAATGCCAACCCACATAGATAGATATGGATGGACATAGTAGACTGCATACCTCAGAAACAACCTATACAAGCTTTATTCATAAAGCACGTGTTTCTGTCAATTGTATACAACATAACCTTTTGCTGGTGTATTGGGTAACTAAACTAGGACTAAGACGGAGGGAATCCTGTACATGACCCTCATGTTTGCACCAGAAAATGAGGGGACTCGAATCTGAGACGGAGGTCTACGGAATCACAAAAAAAAAAATTGTACAATTAAATAAAAGTAAACTAGACTCATTGACACTGAAATTTCAAATTTTATTGTGGGACCTGCGGAATCAAAGTATCAGCTTGTATTCTTCAATGCCGTTGTATCGCTAGAGCCTAGAGGAAGTTTAAACTATAAGTAAACTATCTATTAAATTTTACGAGCCACATAAAAATGTTCAAGACCTGAGCATTAAAATGGGCTATTGTAAATTATTGTGTTAATTCAATTTTCTAATATTTTCCATGTGTCCCAAGTTTGAAATGAGTGAGAGTAAAGGCTTGCGTGCATGTTATGAGGACATTGAAAGTGGAAAGTTGTTAGATTCAATGTGTAGTATGTAAGATAATCTCAACTGTGAGTTCCTTTCCAGTGTTATATGTCTCTTCTCAACATAAACTTGTTGGAGTTGCCCATGCAGTTCTTTGCAGAGCAGGGAACTACTTGAGTAAGAGTTTAGTGGATTTGTTTTTAGAGCCAAATCACCAATAATCCTGACAGGAACAAGATCCATCCTTGAAATGGTGGAACCGATTAACATCACGGATAACTATTTCTCGATTTGTGATGTCTGAGACAAGCTTCATAAAATTATGGCAATCACAACAAATGCGAAGGTTTTTAAAAATCCAGATTCTTTTCATATGGCTTTTGCTTATAAGAGCAAAAGCAAGAGCCAACTTCTCACTATGATGATTAAGATGTTCTTTTTTCTCTCTGTCTGGAACATTATGAAGCACTTGTTCAACTTGTGGGACATAACCCACCGATCTAAGTTTTTGACCAAGCTCCTCCAGTTTCAAATGAATTTCCTGAATGTTTGGATGTACACCACCTGACACAAAGACGTGTACTTTTTTGCTAATTTCTACCCAGCTACATCCAGGTTCCTTTTTCACACCCTGGCTGGACATCAAGGCCCTTACCTTTTTTACATCTCCCCACCTACCTTTGCTAGCAAAAATGTTAGAAAGTAATATGTAAGTTGAGTCTGTCTCATGTTTAAGCTTAAAGAGCTCTTCTGCAGCCCTTTCACCAAATTTAAGATTCCCATGCTTTGTACATGCACCCAGTATAATCTCCCAGATCAAGGCATTGGATGTTAGCTTCATTTCTTCAACAAAGCTTTCAACCTCCTCAAATCTTCCAGCACGACTGAGAATGTCAAGCATACAACCACAATGCTCGTCCCTTGGAGTTATGCCATAAATACTGCTCATGGAGTAGAAGTGTTGTTTCCCTTCTTCAATAAGACCCATGTGGCTACATGCTGAAAGTACACCTATAAAGGTAACCTCATCTGGTAAGTTGCCCTCATCTTTCATTGCCTGGAAGGTCTCTAGAGCCTTATCACCCTGACCGTGCAGAGAGAACCCGCATATCATAGTGTTCCAGAGGACTGTATCACGTCTAACCAATCCCTTGAAAATAGTCTCAGCATCTTCTATGCAGCCACATTTTGCATACATATCAACAAATGCACTGGAAACATACATATCAAGCAGAATTCCACTCTTAATTGCCATCGAGTGAAGCTGCATGCCAATCTCAGTAGCAGTTATTTGAGAACAACCACTTAAACAGCCAGCAACAGTAAATTCATTGGGCTTGATTCCTTCTTGCCGCATTAAATTGAAGAATTTAATAGCCTTCTCTGCTTGGTCAGTTTGGGCATAACCGGTTATCATTACTGTCCATGTAAAGACATTTCGACTGATCAAACTAGAAAAAGCTACATATGATTCTTCCGTACACCTACACTGGGCATACATGTCCACAAGGGCTGTCCCAACATAGTCATTTCCATCAAGATTGTTTTTCAGAACTTGAGCATGAACTTGCCTCCCAAAGTCTATGTCTAAGAGGCTAGAACAAGACCTTAAAACACTGACAAATGTATACTCGTTGGGCCTCAAACCTTCAGCAATCATCTGATAGTAAGTCCTAGGTCCTGATTGACAGGAGTCATAATCATGAAATCCAGACAACAGATTATTCCAAGAAACAAGATCTGGTCCTGACATTCCCTCAAATACACGAGCGCCATCATGCACATGACCGTGTTTCATATACATCCTGATAAGAGCATTACTTACCGAGATATCAGATTCTAGCCCATATTTAAAAATACAAGCGTGAATACTTTTCCCATAATGCAAGTTCCCCAATTCAGTGGCAGCACTAACAACACGTGCAAAGGTAAATTGGTTTGGTTCAACACCTGTATGTCTCATGAAGAAAAATAGCTTAGCTGCTTCTTGGCCATGCCCTTGTTGATCAAGGCAAGCAATCATTGAACTCCACGAAACTACATCATGATCTGTGACCATAAAAAAAAGTTTCAGTGCATCACCTACCAAATCAAACTTGGAGTACAAATCTATAAGACTGGAAATCAAGAATTTGTCTAATTCACAACCACTTTTGACTGCTAAACAATGCACAACAAGCCCATCCCTAAAGTCTCCTGAATTTGCACATCCCTTGAGAACACTGGACAACGTAAATTTACTGAAATTTATTTCTGACTTTAACATTTGGCAAAATAATCTAAACGCTCCTTTCCCATCGCCCACTTGCGCATGGCCATTGATCAACACATTCCATAATACTTCATTCTGTTCAGGCATCCAAAAGAACACCTTATGGGCAAGATCCATTTCGCCACATTTGGCATATAGATTAACCAGCGCAGATCCAACAAACACATTAGATAACAAGCCAACCTTAACAGCTTCCGCCTGAACCTGTTTCCCCAAGCTCACATCAAAGCACATAGAACAAGCTTTCAAGCAAGTAGCCACTGTGAACTCATTCGGAAGTATACCTGTCTTTCTCATCTCACAAAACAAATCAATACCTTTCCGACCATCACCCCGAGCCACAAAACCTTGAATCAATGCAGTCCACGAGACAACATCTTGTTCAGGCATTTCATCTAACACCCGGCATGCATAAGAAGGGCACCCACATTTTGCATAGAAATTAATCAGAGAAACCCAAAAATGAGAATCTGGGTGAACCCCATTTTTTAACTGGTGTCCATGAATGGCCTTACCCTCATTCAAAGCCTCTCTCAAGGTACAATCACCCAACAAGGAAGAATACTGCTTAAGCCTCTGCTTGTCATTCACATTCGTAAAGATAGGTTCCCTCTCGATGTTGTCCATTTGAGGCACTGAGCCATGCCTTCTACTACCATTAGGAACTCTTTGAGGTATCGTGCATGAACTTTGATGAGTTGAACTGTTAGTGGGGTGGTGTGATTTCGTGAAAAAATTAGAACTTGGGTAATGGGCGTAGGGAGAAAATGATAAGTGGGTGGGGAAGACCCAACTCAGTGTTCCATGAAAATTGGAACAGAGACACAGCATTGCGTTGCTCAGTTGCTGTGAGCGTCATCTACCAGAGATACAACCCGGAGAATGCATCTTAATCTTTTGCAAATAAAAAAAATCTAGTGAGTTTGCCACGCTGTCGTATCTTCAACGCCTAATTGGCTAATTCAGAATTTACACATTTTTTTTTAAATTAAAAGTATTAAATAAGCACATACTTAACGCTTTACTCTTAAACATAACTAATTAAATTTTTACAACTCAATAAAAAAAAAATTCGATTTATAAATATTTTAATAGTATTATCATTGTTATTTATTTAATATTTTTTACCTAGTTTTTTTTTCTTTTTTTTATTATATTACATCACTAATCATATTTAGTATTTTAAATTTCATTGATATAAAGTGTAAGTCTACAAAATTTATATTAAATTTTAATTATATAAATTAAATAATTCACACATTTATAATTTATTATTTTAGTTAAATAATAAATAGTTTTTTAACTTTTAAATTATTTGATTAATAAGGTTAAGATTTGTTTTAAAATTTTTTAACTTAATACATGGTGTATATATATATATATATATATATATATATATATATTAAATAAAATTACGATATGTTTGTGCAAATTTTTTAATATGGATTCTTGGACTGAAAATGCTTGAACTAACTTTTTGTGGTTTTATCGAGAAGAACAATCTTCATACATAATTGCTTCACTGATAAAATTTGCAATCGAATTTGTGACAAAGGCATCAGTTGCAATCAAAATATTAATCTCCACCAATACTTGCTATAAATCATCGTATATATTATATGTCTCGAAATGGTTCACAATATGCCCATCAAGAAATGCACTTTAGTTTGATTAGAATAAGATGGAAAAATAATATTTGTTGTGTAGAAGAGCACGATATTAGCACTGTTCTCTTCGAGTGAGAAATTTGCTAGATTATAATTTGCGTATTTACGATTTAAATTATATTGATAAGAATATAGAAGACTAAAGTGATGAATTAGAAGAGTTGAATTGTAAAAATGAAAAATAAAAGGCCGAATTTGTTTTTTTTTTATTTGTAAAGTTGGAAACTCCACTTTCATGCAGCAATAATTAATTAGTAATCCAATTATTATTTTTTTGTTGCATTAAGATTTGTGTAAACTGATTTTTAACAGCTAAATAAATAAGCATAAAAAATTTTATTCTCTCTTTGAATTGACACAAGGCAACAAAGAAAATATAAAGCAAAAACAAATAAAAGAATAAGGTATTTACAAATATTTGTCTTTTAAAAAATGAATGACATATATATATATATACTAAAGAGTATTTATTAAATGTTTTCTTAAAAACTTAATTCTAAAAATATAGGAAGAGGGACATGTCAATATAAATTACAAAATTTAAGTATTAAAGAAAGGGAAAAGAAAGACCATAACAAAAAACAATATCGAGTGGATATGTAATAATATGTTTAGTATATCATAAAATATGAACCATCAATATTAATAACAAGATTATAGTATTAATTAAATATTAAATAATTAATGAAGTAAAAAAAAATAAATTAATTTTTAAATATTATAAATCGTTGTAAATCACAATGAAGTTATTATTGGAGATGTTGTCTTATGATGTAATGATTCAGAGTCCATTAAAAAAAGTAGAAACGCATAAAAAAATCATGAAGAGAAAACTCCGTAGCAAGAGACAAATAGACCTAAACTGAAATTAACATCAATATCAAATTTTAAAAAAATCTCTCTTAACAATGTTAAAAGCTCTCTTTACAAATTGAAAAAACATGCACTAACGTTGTGATCTTGAAAAAAAAAAAGAAGCATGTTCCTAATTAAAATAAATTTCTTTTGCCCAATGAGGTAAATTCATTCGAAATTTCCCTTTTATTTGTGATCATCATCGTCTTCGTACATCAGCTTCACCCCACAGCCACACATACAACACAACAAAGCCAATACTCACAAGTTCTCTTCACAGCTCAACCCACATACACACCATAATCAATACCTTGAACACCCAAATGCGCATTCACTCCAACACTTGACTCTCCAACCTCTTTCCTTTCCGTCCATGGCGACGGCGATTGCACCACCGCCACCGCCCATGTCCGCCCTCATCTCCGCGCGTGCCGTTGCCGCAACGGCGTCGTCGAGGCGTCCTCAGAGCAAGAAGAAGCAACAGCGAGCTTTGGGGAACTTCACACACTTTGCTGAGGTGGTTCGCAAGGACATGAAGTTCCTCAAGAAAGGGATCGATAACGGTGTTGCGTGGGCCCACGAGGCCTTCCGCATTCCCCAGGTTGCCAAGAAAATCGACGACCTCGTTTGGCTTCGGAATCTTGAAGACCCTCTCGCTCCAGCCTTTTGTGCTCCTTCTTGGCCTCAGCATTGGTACCCAGGTTGAATTTGATAAAAAGATTGCTTCTTTTGCTCGTGGGGTGTGTTATACGTGCCTAATTTGTTGTGAAATTGGGTTTTGTGAAATGGGTATTTGGTATTTTCGTGGTTGGTGACAACGGGTGATGCATATTAGTGGGTTCTGTTCGGGTGATTGATGGTGATAATGTGACTAATTGGAGTGTGGATTATGGAACTTGTGCGTGTATTTTCACTTTTCATCAAATCACTGTAATTGGTGTCTTTAATGAGATAAGTTTGAGTTTTTGTTGTAATATTGTAAATTAAAATAACGTTAAGTTCTGGTGTTGTATTTAGAATTGCATGTTGACAAAGGCCTTGAAAGTGGATTTGATCTCTCTTTGTCTTTCAGGACTAACTGGAGTGGATCTGCTCATGTCTGATCTCAAGGCCTTGGAAGCATATGCTGCTTACTTCTATTATATGTCTAAGATTTGGTCGAAGCCACTCCCTGAAGCTTATGATCCTCAGGATGTTGCTCAGTATTTCAGTGCTAGACCCCATGTGGTGGCCCTTCGCATTCTTGAGGTAGTTGGGTTGGCCATTGGAATAAAAATATTAAATGATTCTGTCTACGAGTCTTCCATTTTCCTTCATAGCATCGGGTTAAGTCGTGAAAATTTCCCTGACTTTTATTTTCTGAAAATGTTTCTTTTATCTACTTTTCCTTTTGGGTCAAGTCACAGCATTTCTATGAAGATAATTGTTCCTGCATGGATAAAATGAGATATAATTATATATGTACTTGCCTAGGACCTAAGGCTCATTAAGGACTGTAGATCCAATGTGTCTCCCGCAAGCAGTTGTCGTTCCTTTATTTTCCTAGTTTGATGCAACATTTGACAGCTATTCACTTATTTTATTAAATTTCGATCTGGAAAGGATTATCTTTTAATGATATGGTTTAAATTTTTAATTTAAAAGTTTTGTCAACATATGCCATGGAGACATGCTAATTGAAGATGTGTCCTATGTGTATAGGCAGGATGCCCTTTATAATGACTTTGACAAGATTTTGGTATTGAATTAGGTACAGTCTGTTCTCAATTTTAATATGACAGTGGAGTTCATCCTAGCCCTGATGTTAGATCACTTGCAAGATGCTTTCTTCACTTTTTCTTAAAGTGTATTCTTACTGAGTTAAATTTTATTTTGGAAGGTACTTTCCTCCTTTGCCTCTGCTATGATCAGTATTCGAACTTCAGGGTTTAGAAAGTTTCTATGGCTAAATCCTGAAGAGGACATGGATGATACATCCTCTCAGTATAATTTTGGGATGGTATTAAAGGAAACATTGCTTAATCTTGGGCCTACCTTTATAAAAGGTGAGGAGTTTAATCTATTTTACATCTTAATATAATTGTTAAATTATATGCTTATCATCATTTAATTATTATTCCTTATATGATTTTTGTAATTCCTACTGCTTTAAATTTTTTTGTTTGGGCTTTCATTTCTCATGCAGTCACAAGATTATCAATATCCTTGTTACATTCATTTGATTGCTGATGCAGTTGGACAGTCCCTTTCCACAAGGCCAGATATCATTGGTGTTGAGATGTCCAAGGTTAGATAAAAAACTGTGTATTGCCATTTCCTTATTGCCGAACATTTATTTCTTTTGATGAACTTGGAAAACGATAGGGCCAATTGTCAGGTATGGGTAGGGGTACTGTCTTGTTAGTTGATGATAGTATGGTTCTATGTCAAATTTATTGATTACCACACTTTAAACATGTTCTTTAGCAGTAGTACTACTAATTTGTATTGAATAGGTTTTTTTCTTTGTTTAGATGAAACTTCTGGTAAAATATAATATAAGCTGTAGATGGAACTTCTTTCATTTGCCTTTCGATCATGATTGCAGTTCTACTAAGTACTAACAGTTTGAATGACTGGATTGACAATTAATGTCTATATATTTCTACTGTGTTCTTCGTACAGGCATTATCAGAACTGCATGATCAAATCCCTCATTTTCCCAGGACTGTTGCTATGAAGATTATTGAGGAAGAGTTAGGTTCTCCTCTGGAATCATTCTTCAGTTACATTTCTGAGGAACCTATAGCTGCCGCATCATTTGGCCAGGTACTTTTTAGCTACGCCAATAGAGTGCCATGTATGATTAAATATTGTTACTGTGAATCGGATGCATGTGGCTGTATTTATTTAAAATTGTTGGTGTGATTGTTTGACTTTTTTTTATTTTGTATTTTCTAGGTTTACTTTGCCCGTACCACTGATGGTAATAATGTTGCTGTGAAAGTTCAGCGTCCTAATTTGCATCATGTGGTGGTGCGGGATATCTACATCCTTCGCCTTGGGGTTTGTATTGACTTATGTTCGCTAGTGACTTTTTTCCTGTGTCACTCTATCGTGTATTAAATTCTTAATTATGTGTTTATATTATCCCTTCAGTTGGGGCTGGTGCAAAAGATTGGCAAGAGAAAGAGTGACCCTCGCCTATATGCTGATGAACTAGGGAGAGGTTTTGTTGGTGAATTGGATTACACTTTGGAGGCTGCAAATGCTTCAAAGTTTATGGTAATAAATGACATATCAATTGGAGCTTTATTATGTTAATATTGATGAGTTCTAGAACTGGACAATTTAGGGCATTGATGAAATCTTTTATTAAATGGGTCTTAACTTTTAAGTTGAAACTAGGTTGAATTGGTTTCTGACAGAAGTCATAAAACAGTGACATTATTTACCCTTACAATTGACATGTTATTACTAAATGCAGGAAGTTCACTCTTCCTTTTCCTTCATACACGTGCCAAAAGTATTTCCACATTTAAGTCGAAAGAGAGTTCTGACCATGGAGTGGATGGTTGGTGAAAGTCCAACAGATTTGCTCTCTCTGTCTACTGGAAACTCTGTTGGAAATGTCTCTGAATATTCAGAAAGGCAGAAAGTAGATGCAAAAAGGCGTCTTCTTGATTTGGTATGTAAATAAAAATGCAGTTATCCATTTTTTGTCCTTACATTGTGCAAAAAAAAAAACTATATCTTGCATGTTTGATGATGTCCTGATTATTGGCTTATGGTAGAAGACAGTTGGACAATTGAAGAAAATCATTGGTGTTCCAATAGGATTACAAGCAAAGTATGAGTGTAAAGGGGACTTTTGGCCTTCATTTATTTAATAGTTTCAATTTCAAAATAAATATGGCTCTGGATTTAGTTAGTGGTGTAATTTATTCATCAATCTTCCATTAGCATATTTGACCATTTTTTCTCAACTGAAAATTTCACCAATTAAGAATGACTGGTTCTACTAAAACCTTGTTGTGTTTGGTGTCATTTTATTGATATCATCAAATTCAATTAACTTTTATCTCTATTACGCATTGATTAATTCAGGTGAACAAAGGCGTTGAAGCAACATTGGTGCAACTTCTTGAAACAGGCTTATTACATGCTGATCCACATCCTGGTAACTTGCGTTACACTTCCTCGGGACAAATAGGGTATATGTTTTCCCTTTCTTATCCAATGTGAACAAATTATGGTTTTCCTTCATCATAAATATCTAAATAAATTTTCTTTTACTTTGTATGTGTGATAGGTTTCTGGATTTTGGTTTGCTCTGTCAAATGGAAAAAAGGCATCAGTTTGCTATGTTGGCTTCAATAATTCATATAGTAAACGGTGACTGGGCATCCCTTGTCCATGCTCTGATTGATATGGATGTTGTGAGGCCAGGGACAAATATCCGACTTGTTACCCTGGTATAATACTTGAGTATCAGAATTTGCTCATCTTGCCATTGAATGTTTGAACTTTGACCAAATAATAACAGCATTCTAATATACAGAGTTTTTTGTTATTCTGAAACTTGTGTTCACATAATGACCATCTAAATCAATATTAAATTTCCAGGAACTGGAACATGCCTTAGGAGAAGTAGAATTTAAAGAAGGAATTCCTGATGTGAAGTTCAGCCGGGTAAGACTTATGTTTAAGAAGAGTAGTAAATCAATTGTGTGTCAGATGAGCGTCAAGAACTGCAGATTTAGTAGGATTTCTAACTAGTTTTGTACTAACCTGAACTGAAATAGAATGCGTTAAGTATATGGCATCATATTCATATACTAATATTTTCAAATATAACCTGTGGTTTATGCCTGATTGCTTTTCCTACTCTATAGAAATTGGTCTAAGTAATAAATGCAATACTCATCTGGTTGTCAATATTAAATATTTTGTTATGGGAAATAAATACTAGCATTTCTTAATGCATATGCATTTAAAATATGTTTTTGTCTAGTAATTTATATCTAAGCAAAGTAATGGTTGCTGTTTAGTTAATCATATGTTAATAGTTGGTTTTCTAAATTTATATTTATTTTTACTTATGTAAAGTTCTCTTCAGTTACTGAATTTTCAATAAATTTTTGTCAAGGTTCTGGGAAAGATTTGGTCTGTAGCACTCAAGTATCATTTCCGTATGCCACCATATTATACGCTTGTCCTGCGATCCCTAGCTTCCTTGGAAGGTAAACTTTCAATATCACATAGATTACATCTTGGATTCGCATCTATTGTCAGTCATCCTAGTAGTTCTATTCATTATGTATGAATCAACATGCAGTAATTTGAAATATTTGTATTTGTCTTGATCCAAAAATCCCAAAAGTGTAAGTTGTTAGGTGGAGATATATGACAGGATTTATCCTATATTTCTAACACACCTCCTCATGCAAAAGCCTAGTCCACCTACCTTGTGCTAAAATCAACTTTTATTAGAAGAATGGAGGCAGCAGGATGGAACTCTAGTCTAGGTCATTTGGTTTGTAGAAACTTTGATACCATGTCATCAACCAACATTTCCAAAAGCTTAAGCCGTTATGTAAAATCACAAATGATTTCAGACCATATTTCTAACATTATCAAATTTATAATATTCTCTTTACATTATCTTCAACATGTATTTTTCTTTGAAACAATTTCAGGTTTGGCTATAGCTGCAGATAGAAATTTCAAGACTTTTGAAGCTGCGTATCCTTATGTTGTTCGGAAACTTCTCACAGAAAACTCAGCTGCAACAAGGAATATATTGCATTCGGTACTATAAGCCCTTGAACAATGATTTTTGTGCCACTAGTCCAAAGAACTGTAACATGAAACATGTCATCATGTATTTTCTGTTATTTGCAGATATTTAAAGTGTAGAGAATGTATTCTGAGCCCTTTTTCTTGAGGAAAAATGAGAAGAAATTTGATGACAAGTTTTTATATATGAATCTTGTTCAAACTTGAGCCGCACATGATTTTTTTTAACATGTCTCATCAAACCAATCGATGTATTTTGGATGTTTATCTATGTGAAGTTTGAAGTATTAGACATCATCTCTACTGATGGATTTAACGGTTACAAATGGGTACTCTGTGCTGTGCTGTTTCTTCTAAATATATACTAAACTATCTAGATTACTTGATCATTAAACTCATATTGCTATCTGTAGAATAAAACATTGGTCATTTATTTTTCCTTAAATTTTATTTTCTCTTGTTCAGGTGCTTCTAAACCGGAAGAAGGAGTTCCAGTGGCAAAGGCTTTCCCTGTTCTTGAGGGTAGGGGCAACTAGGTATGTCAAAATGACATGTTAGACTGTATGCTCTCTGGAAGTAGCTCTGTTTTTTCCAATCTACTATATTATTTAGTAATTGTAATCAGTTTTTAATGCTTATTTTTCAACCTAATATTCATCTTCTTTTATAGGATCTATCTACTTTGTATTTTCAGTTTCATCTGCAAACTACTAATGTAGAAAACAGCAAGGCCCTCTTTGATTGAAAAGATTAAAAGAAGTGCCAATTGTTATCTTAATTCAAATATAAGACACAGTAGTACGCATCTGAAGCTCTCTGTGGGATCTTAGAAATGTACACAAGAGCTGCTTATTGCTATTAGTTGTGTTCCTCTATTATTCTCCTACCCATTCCTTGAAGCCATTAGATTATTCCATAATAAGGGTTTAGGTTTAGTAGGCAGTCACTGAACTAGGAAAAACCTCAAAATTTGGTACTCATCTGTTGCTATAGCTACTCATCTCCAAATTAGGTACACTAACTGGCAATTATGTTGAAACATATGCAAAGAATCAAATTTCTATTACACCAAAGTACACTAGAAGTTTTATAATGCCATTTTTATAAAATATCTGTTATTATATCATGAAAATTTTATACTCATTAAGTAACACCTATTCTACAAATACTGACCCTTTATGGGTAGGATCTGTATATGTATGTAGTGCCTGATAACTGTCCGTTTCACTTTTGTTATACACTCAAGTTGAACATCATGCAAGAGACATGTATGCATTAGGCTGGCCTGATTTAGTTAATTCATTATTACTTGATAATTTGTTATTTTTTACTGCTATAAATGTAACGTCTCATACTTCTGATACCTTATCAGGAAAGCCTTGCAACTAGTAGCATCAAATAGTGAAACTTCCCTTGATCATTTGTCAAATAAGGCCACTGATTCGCTTGATGTTGCATATTTGATCTTGAGGCTTTTACCATCCAAAGATGGCGTTGCTCTCAGAAGACTTCTCATGACAGCTGTGAGTTTCTATAAGTTGTCTGTCTATCTTGCTTCTTTTATTTTAAGAGTCTGTCATTGCTCCCATCTTGGTTGTCTATATTGGCTGTTTGCTGTATTCAAGTACTTTTTCATAACTAGCAATTGATATATGATTGGCGTATTTGCCATATGCAATTGTGAATGATGAATTGTTGATTTGAGAGAATGAGGTTTCCAAATTCTCTTGTAGTCTTGCTTTGACTTTTTAATTTGTAAATGAATTGACTTAGTTCCAGTTTATTGCTGTAAACGTTCCTTTGTACCAAATAAACTAGTATACTATGACTATATTTATTATACTGAGTCTTGCATTATTAGTTTGAGTTTTTTACTACTGTTATATTTCCAGGTAAACAGAATATGCTTGTACTTCAAGATTTTTTTGCCTGGCTGAAATAGTTATTTTATGTAACAAACTTACTCTGCATGGAATGAACAGGATGGAGCTTCATTAATCAAAGCAATGGTCTCAAAGGAGGGAAAGTTTTTCCGGCAACAACTTTGCAAGATCATAACTGACATAATGTGCCAATGGATGATTAAATTATTTGGACAAGGAATTACAGTTTCTCAATCTTCCAGGGTGATATTGGCTAATGGACCTAGCAACAAAGAATCAGGTCTATCCCCTAGATCCTCCTTGCCTACATATGATTACAATGCCATAGTTAGAGACCGTCGACTTAGGGTGATATTCTCTAAGGTTCTAAAATCTGCAAGTAAGGATAAAGTATTGATGCTGCGGTTCTGCTGGGCTTCCCTTCTATTAGTTATCACAGCTTCAATTTTGGCTTGCCACCGGGTTGTTATGTCTCTGTCAGAAGCTTACTTGGGCCAAATATTTGATGCTCCCAAGAGATATGCAGTCAGTGCATGAAATTTTCTAAAAACATTTAGTTTTAGCATTCTATCCAACAAGGTTAAAAGAACAAAAAAATAAAAAATACCAAGGTTTATTCTTATGGATGACTACAAAGTGAAAGTTCATTATTTACTGCTAACAAAAGCAATTGTGTTTGTAGCTGAAGTTGAATGTTTTAGCCATGGAGCCAATTTGGTGCCAGGCAGGTAAAATTTAGGCATAGGATTGCTTTGTCTTTTTACAGTTGTTGTTGCTGCAGTCCTTATCTAGTTGCCCTACCAGTATGTACAGACACAGCTCATGTAAAGTGTTACATTTTTATAAAAATAAAATGTGTTTTGGTTACTAATATTCTTTGTAATACCAATCATCAGTTCATAGTTACAGACACAGCTCATGTAAAGTGTTACATTTTTATAAAAATAAAATAAAATGTGTTTTGGTTACTAATCGTCTTTGCAATACCAATCATCAGTTCATAGTTACGGGTACTTATTTTAGTTATTTCCATTTGGTTACATCTTTGTATCAGTCCTCACTCAGTGGATAATCACAGGCACTTATTTTAGTTATATCCAACTTGAATAGGTATCGGATTAATCATGATAATATGATAATTGAGATGCATCGGATGAGTTTGATGTTTCTACTTGTTCATTCGTGAAGTGTTGCTGTGAAAGTTTTTTTTTAAAGCTACTGGGAGATTTGATATTTTGCTCCCTCGGGTGAAATGGGAGAATTGTATTCAGTAAAATCAAATTTTTGTGCTATAAATGTTTAAAATATTCGATGGCTAAGGAGATCAATATGAGCATTTTATATTGAAACACTGATTTATTAATACAAATTTACTGATATTTGAACATTTTAAAATATGGGTGAACAACTTAAATTTATTTTATTCTTTTTTTGCAAAGTCGTCGTAAAAAATAATTTTTATCAAGAATATTTTTAAGGTGGCGTGAGTTATACTAATAAATATACTATTTTTGCAAATCTTATGTAGAGCAAAAACAGTTTTTTTTTTTTGCTTTGTGTTGATGACGTATTAAAAAAATCTCCTGAAGTTATTAAAAAAACTAATTACTTATTTTCAAAATAAGTTAAATCAAACATGTATACCAAATAAAATAGTTTAAGTCCGTATTTTCTATTGTGAGTCCTAACAATATTAGTTTGAGTACTGCTGTATATTATTAGTGGGCAAGGAAAATAAAATATGCCAAATTTAAATTTAAAGTGAAGTAATTGCTAGTTTCACTATTTAAACTATTAAAATTTGATACCATATTCTATTAATTTAACTTTCACTTATTTATTTTTATTTATACATATAAACATCTTTAAACATAAAAGAGTACACCTTTAGGTGTCCATTATTAGTGGTAAAGAAGTATTTTTCATAATTTATGTTAGATATTTTTATCTCAAAAGCAAAATTTGTAATAAGATTTATGATTTATTTAAAAATATTTATAAATACTTAAGAGATTTTATTGTGAGTTATTGCATATGTAACGAATTGAGTATATAGATATTGACGTGGAAATGAAAAGTTGGGTTTTGTTCATGTCATGCATTGTAAAGAAGAGTACGAGTGGGGCATGAAACGAAAGATGAGAGTTAAAGTAGAAGAAATGCAAAGGATTTGTATTATGTAGAAGCAATTGAGTTGATAGGATTGGATTTCGAGGGGGTAGAAAAAGAGTAATCGTTTTGTTTGTCGCATTCTCCATCTGCACTATAACAGTAATATTATGAGAATTTTACTGTTTACAATTACCTCTGCTATATAGCAGAAGTGGAAACGCAGCATTGAAGTGAAGCGAATCAAATCTGGTCTTCTTCAGATTCAAACTCCATTCTCGATGAACACGCTCTCACAGTCGCAGGTATCTCTCTCTCTCTCTCTATTCCTCGTTGCTCTTCACATTCTACTACGCCTTTTCCCTTCAGCTATAACCTACCTCGCTCTCATTCCCGCCAAAACCATCCCTTTTGCTTGGAACCTCATAACTGCTGGTTATCTTGAACAATCTTCATATGGGGTTGTGCTCAGCACAATTGGTCTTCTCTTCATTGGGAAGCTGCTTCAACCGGTGTGGGGTCCCAGGGAATTTCTCAGATTCATCTTTCTTGTTAACTTTCTAACTTCTCTCTGCATTTTCACCACTGCTATTGCTTTCTACTACATTACCAGGCAGGAGCGTTACCTGTGAGTTTTTTTTTTTCTAATTTTCATCAATGTATGTGTGTCATTTGCATCTTCGTTTAATGATTTTGATCTTTATATGCTCTTCCAATGTTCTAGTTATATGCCACTCTCTGGATTTCATGGTGTTATATCTGGCTTTTTGGTTGGCATCAAGCAAATTATACCAGATCAAGAGATTCCTTTCCTCAAGATCAAAATTAAGGTTTGATTGGCACTCTTTGCCTGTTCCTTAACTTCTAATTCGTTATTTTCAGTGTCAATGGGTCCACGGTGATCCCCTAAATATGTTGCCACTTCCACTTTTGTTCAGTGGTTACCGTCTATCAGTTTATTGTGTTCTATGGCTATGAGCTTCTGGACACAAGAGGCAACAGCATATCTTCCAACTATAATATTTGGTACATATATGAGCTGGATTTACCTAAGATACTGGCAGAGGAAACCAGAAACAAAACTTAAGGGTGACCCAAGTGAGGATTTTGCATTCTCTACCTTTTTTCCAGAGATTTTTAGGTAAGATATGGTTTAAGTTTGACTTCAATAAACGATAGGCTACAAGCTCTTAGTATCTTTCTAAGCAACTTTTGTGCTGCCATATAGACCGGTTATAGACCCTATTGCATCAATATTTCATCGAATGCTTTGTGGAAGATCTGAGGCTTCTAGTGATGCTCAAGGTTACACTTTAGGAGCTGAACCTTTGCCCGGTTCTGACCCCATTGAGGCGTCTAGGAGACGGTAATTTCCCCTCACTGTGTTGTGGTTTTAACACATCTTTTTGTATGTATTAGAATTTGTTATTGTGAAGCAATCATATAAATAAACAAGTTGCAGCTCTGGAACTACTTTGTTTTTGCTTTGACTTCTTCTTGCATGTTGGGTTTACTTGATAAATTAATAGCAATAACCCCTATCATATCATTGTTGAAGTGATTACACTCTTAAAGCAACTCACCATTGTGAATCCTCCTTTCTTGCAGAGAAAGGGGTGCCCGAGCATTGGAAGAAAGGTTGGCTACTGCACGGAGTGAAGGGGAGCTGCAAACAGATGCAGCAGGAAAGGTATAATCGTTAGCGTTTGTAAATTCAGATAAGTTCGGTTAATGTGCATTTATCATGACTACAATTTCACGGGGGTACGGTAACAAGGAATCTGTCTTCAAGGAAGACTTCATTGGGCAATTTGTCTTTGGACTGTGATCCTTATGAAACCTTTTTTTTTCCTGATGCATATATTGATTCCAAACTTGATTATGCAACTCCATGAAAGGTTTTGAACGTGTCATTAGTTGCGACCTAAATATTGGATCTGAAGATCTTGCTGCCTTTGGTTGTATTCCATAATTAAATACTTCTTTTTATTATAATTTTGAAGACTGGTAGTTCGAAAAGTAATTTAAAAATATAAATAATCATGACACTTAAATATATTATCTCAAACTAGCCTTATTTTTAGTCCATATTGATTATTGTTGTTGTTGTTTGGTATCAAAATAGTGAGCTCCTGAAAGTGAATAAATGCTTCTGGCTTGCTGCAGAGACGTGTGCAAAATGTCCATAGACTGTGTTTGGTACAAGTAAGCACTTCAAGGAATTTCTTACCAAGTAACAAAAGGCATGTTCTATTATGGACTTCCCCACTAAGACGATAATTATAAACTTCACACTTATCCCATAATTAAATAATTTATGAACAAATTTTTAAGCACTTAAAAAATTAGCAATTGCTTAACATGAATATACAGTTGTAAGAGTTGTACAACCAAGGAAACTATATGGCAAGATGCCATCGAGTCATTTTTCTTTTTCGCAATGAAAACTTTTACAACTTCTATACAGAAAGTTATCAAAAGACTTGCAGAGAACTTCTGAACTCTCGTAGTTTCAGGTTACAATATCAAAGCAAATTACAAAAAAAAAAAAAAAAACTGACGTATTTTTAAGCTGCAGATTTTTCTTAAGACAAACGCTTACAACTATGGTCGGAAACTAATTGATCTCGATGTGGAATTGTTCAATCAGCTTTCAAGAGCTTCTCCAGCAAAATACTGTTTGTGAACCATTCTCCTGTAATCTGGATGACATATTCCATATGAATGCATAACCACAATTAAAACATGCATTCAACAAAAAAGTACAAAACTCAAAACCTCTACAAAAGCAGATGTATTGAATAAGGAAGCGGATAAGGTAAGAAAGATCCTAGAAGCCTCCAGGAATATGGTAATTGAAGCTTTAGATTAAATGAAAACACATGAACAATAGAAATAAATAGTTGTCAGTCTAAAAAATATTTTTCCAACCTTCCTTATCATTCCAAAGTGCTGCCGCATAGCTGTTTAGAGGACTCTCCAGGTTAGGCTCTGCTATTAGAAAGTAAGTTGCTCAGGCAAGTACACAGGTGAACGCATAACTCAAAAAATTATCAAGAACAGACCTTCCAATAAACTTTGAATTGATAGAAGAATAGTTCTACAATCATAAGCCGAAGACCACTTATCCTGTAAAAACACATAAATAGGGCATACACTAGCTCTTAGAGAATGAAGTCAATTGAACCATTAGTGCACAGTGATGCAATACTAGTGATATTTAATCTACATATATTTGGCATACATTGTAAAACAAAATGGTAGATCTAAACCTATCAAAACACAGTAATAGCAATACAAGTGATATTTAATCTATATATATTTGGCATTCATAGTAAAACCAAATGGTAGATCTAAACCTGTCAAAACACAGATAATGGCAAAACATACTCTTTTGTTCTCTAAGCTCATGAATACCTGAAGGATGTCCAGACAAATGTTGCCAAATTGGTCAACATTTGGATGAAAGCACATCGTCTCAAACTTCACCTGGGGTGGTTTAAAAGGATATTCCAGGGGAAAACGTAAGGAGAGCTTATAAGATAAACCCTCATACAGTGTTCCTTTTCCACCTTCGATTGTGCCAATCCATGTAAAAATACTTTCACCATCTGGAAAAGCCGATACTCCAAGATCTCCTCCACTCATCTGCAGGTAAAGTCATTATCAACATTTAGTATGTTTGTGATTGTGAGAACAAGATAACAAATTATAATGTGAATAAAAAGAAAGTAGCAGTAACTAACACCTTAGTTTCTTAAAGATCAAAGGGTATCCCAACATGTTATTTTACACAATGCCTCATCACCCTTATACATGTTATTTTACAATATAGGAACTATTGTTGCACCATTTTTAAAGCTTCACAGCATATGCAGCCACCAAAAGCTAATATTTACAAAAGTTCACAAATAGGCCATCAGGGACCCCTCCAAAAATAAAAAAGTTTGATAATGATCATGATTTTGTAGATGTTCCTTAAGAACTCAACTCATTAAATCAGAATTGATTCAAGAAAAGTATCATGGCTGTAAGAGATGAAGCGGGATTCAAGAGAAAAGGGTCCATTATAATAACAACGATAAAAATCATAATTCAAGCAAAAAGAGATATACCATGAGAGCCATTAATTCCTTCTGAAGTCTGCAATTACATAAAAAACAAAACCATCAAAAACAATTCCAATGAAAACAAGCTGCAAATTCAACCATATCCACATAAGCTACAAAGAAATAAATGGGGCATCAATTAAATACATGGATAGTAAAAATTTTAATCAAAATTTCCAAATTCATAATCGTTCGCGATGAAGCAATCGAAAACAATTTTCTTTTTCCTTGCATATGGGTAAGAAAAAGTTCAACTTTTGAAAGATTTCACGGAGTTTTTCAGAGGAATCACACACACACACACAAAAAAAAAAAAAAAAAACTCGTGATTGAGAGAGGGATAGAGGATAACCTTTGGGAAACGGAGGAAGTATCGACGGAGTGAGGAGAAGGAAGCAGCTGCTTCGACGGAACGGCGGGCGGTGGACGGTTTCCGGATGAGTTGTCGGCGGAGGGGAGGGAGCGGACCTCCATGATAGCGACCAAGAAGATCAAGATGCAGGTCCAATCAAGAAGATCAACGGTTCAGATTTCAATCTCTTTAAAAAAAAAAAACTTTTCAGTGAAGAAAAATAGAAAATGATGATAAGCGAAGGGAAGACTGGGCAGAGAACAGAAAATGGGAATTGGATTTGCAGATTTCGGAGTAGCCACTGCTGGGTGGTTGTAACTGTTCACTGTCTTTTCAATTTTCATTTCATTCCTTTTCTTTTGAAATATTCTTATTTCCATAACTTTTTTTTATTATAATTATTAAATTAAATCTATGATTGTATAAAAAAAAATACATATTGAATTTATAGACATTCAAATAGTATTACTTGAATTTGAATTTTTTTTGTTTTTAAGAAAAGTTTTATTGGGTATAATAATTATTTAGTTTGAATAAAATTAATTTTTTATAAAAAATTATTTCCATTTAATATTTTTATTTTTAATCACATTACACCAGGTGTCATTTCTTTTTATTTTAGTTTTAGCTTTCACTTGTATAAACACTCTAAACTAATGAGTCAATATGCACATGATATGTTGAGTTTCATTTTCCACAATTTTAAAAATGTTATAATTAAAAATAGTAAAGAAATCATTATACAAAAAAGGTTTTATTATTGAATTACTTCTCTTAACTTGTATCATGAAAAGAGGGCTAATTATTATGACTATAGAACTAGATAATTAAAGATTTACCTCCTATTGTTAGACTTTGTAGAATAAAGAATTATTCTAAATTTACTTTGTAATATTGATGACAATTCTCAAATATCATAAACTAGAATAGAATAACGAGAGAAAATGTAAATATAAAAAAGACAAAAAAATTCGACTTACCTATTTTTAAATATTTCAATGATAAAGATCTAATTATTTTTTGTGATCTAATCTTTCTTCTATATTTTATTGTTCAACAAATAAAAAGTAACTCTGTTCAATTAGATTATTGTTTTAATAACTAAAAATTCGTAGAATGTGACTGAACACCAACCCCAACATCACTATAAGAGGGCAAGAGCCACCATCGCCACAGGATGATGAAGGAAGATTGATATTATCTTAAAAAAAAAAGAAAAAAGAAGGAAACAAACAGTTTGAAATTTGATGAAAGAAACACTATTGGCTTTGCACCATTAACCTAAACAAGAAAGAAAATGTAGAATTCCAGTGTTCAAGTATATATTATGAAAGCAATACAAAGGCTACCATAAACTAAACACAACAATTGCAAAGGTCTTGGTACATATTAATGCACGTTTTTTATTATTTTGGAAAATTATTTTTCAAAATTTTTAAAGAAAAAGTAATTATTTCCTAAAATTAAATAACTGTAAAACAACATGACTATCAGCTAAGCATTGCACAAAAAGTGTCAAATATATACATGCTATTTTTTAAAAGGTCTTTATTAGGATATTTTCGCAAGTATATTTTTGTCACATTAATCAAGTAGATAAAATCGTGGTTGAATACCAATTAACATGACTTGGAGGAACATGATGTAACCTCATATTCGTCAATCAGGAAAGCCAAATAGTAATTTCCTTCAGCTTTGGCTAGTTTTTCAAATAGATCACCTCAAATCAAACAGTTATTTGAATTTGATAAACCATATTAGCCATTTTAGAGAGGGAAAAATTACTGATTATATTTATGTTTCAAATTGACACACTGGAACTTCATCCTCAAGTTATACCAGAGAACAAAATTGCTTCTGTTTAATTTACAACATTGATGTAATGTATACGTATTGAAGCTATAAACTATGAGAGTTTGGAAACATTCAATATCATCTAATTTCTACTAGTGTGTGCCTTCCCAAATGAAAATTCAGATAAACCCATGTTGATTTCATGTTGAGCTCGAATAGGAGGGAGTCCCCTAGGAGGCAATTCTGTTGTTATAGGTTGCATCTGAATAGACTCTTCATGATCTCTTGCATGGTTACTAGAGAAAGGTGATCCTTCAACATCCCAATGTTCATTTTCATAATTGTATGATTCCCCCGGAGAAGCTATTGGACTATCACTATGGCCAGCGTGCTTGTGAAGCAAGTGAACTGGTGACATACCATGTGTTGGGGTTGCTGGCCTACTTGAGAATGGTGTGTTAGAATTAGAATCCTTGTGGTGTCTAATATGCTTTTTAGCAGTGTGGTGCCAGTTCTTTAGTGCTGCTGCTACATTGTCATTGAAAATGGTTGGTTTCATGGTTGAACCCATCTGTTATGCCAGCCAAAACATGATGAAATCAGCTCCTACTCTTATTGTTTTATATTGGCAAAATAAAGGTATTTGTATAATGTTCATTTATCTGACCTGTGTGACTAGAGCATAAAGTGGCAAAGTCACATAGCTGCATAGAACTTGGGTGACAACCCTGGAAAATTCGTCACTTTCTCATTACTTTACATATATAACTCCAACAAACAAACAACTAGACTGTGTTGAAATACAAGTCACATATGATATGATATATTAATGATTGTTCCATGTTTTGGTATGTAATGTGCAGTTTTGGTAAATGAAGTGAACTTACCCCATTGTAAGTCTAATGACGATATCTGCCGTAGTTCGGTGGAAGCAACTGTTTATTTTGAAGTCATTGTCATACTGTACCCAAAAAAATATTATGCAAAGTTAGAAAAACGTTGCAGCTCTGCTTCTTTCAGCTAAATTCATTGTCACACTGTAATCCTCTTGACGTAAAGGTAAATGGGTAATTAACTTTTTTTGAGTTAATGAATGTATTCTATCTACATATTAATTAAAATTATTCTTGGGTCTTCTCCTAACAATTTGTGGTTCACGGAGGTTTGACCTTGATTCCTATTGCAAACTAATTATTTCACGGCAAAGATTCAACAGGAAAGCTTGGTCTAAGCTTTGCTACAATTTTTATTCAATATTGTATTACTAACAACAGGATCCAGAGAAGCAAGATTCTTAGGAAAATTGATCAAGATGGGATACTTACTGTGCTCCAAGCGAAAAAAGCTAGCTGAAATGCATTCTGCAGCATATAACCAAACATAGTTACTGTCAGAAAACAAAATTTAGATCACTTAGATGGTAGAATCACAGGAAAATAAATTAAAAAATCTACCTGAAAAAGAACAAGATGAATCAAAGAGAGGACAAGTTGAGGGCGATTGAACCAGAACAATTTATCTCCTGGCTCAACAACAGGTGCACCCTTGACCACTTCTCCTCTATCTTGAATCCTTAGTGCCATATTTGTTATGATCATTTGTAGCTTTGTGCCCACCAGCAAGATTATCTGTAAGATTAAAATTAAACTTCATGATCAGTTTAATAGCCTTGTTTCAAAGAAAAAAAAGGGAAATGTAGATGGACATCATAAATAGAATGAATGGTTTGTGCTTACAGTTATTGGGATAAATGGAAGCCAAAAATAAGTATACCACCCTGTCCATGTAGAACAAAAGTTATCATAAATGGAATAAACTAAAATACAATACTACTCTATTAAGTAGTTAATTTGTAGATGTATCTGGGCATGGTATTCTAATTTTAACATAAGTAAGTAATGAAACAAAATATATTAAACAATACTCTATGCTAAATTTCTCCTTGATTAGTCTAGCTTGAAGATATATATTTCTTTATTATGTACTGCCACCGCCATCCCCCAAAAAAATATCCCCTTTATCAATTGAATTCTACAAACATTGTGCATGAAAGTGGTTGAAATAATTCACGACCAACCCCATATTGATTTAATTTTGCTCGTCTGAAATAATTCAACTTTAACCATAGCAACACCAATTATGTCCAATTTGGTTTCAAATTTTGAGTAGGGCTTACCATGAGTATTTGTGAGCAAAATTAGCACTGCAAAGAACCATATGGTTGGACTGCAATACCAAAAAGGATAAGCTTAGATTGGTAAGGTAGTAACTTACTGACAAAAAGGAGCGTAAGCATTAGCATTGGATGATATTTTTACCTTATTCCCACTACAACTGAAAAATCCTCTTCAAGTGATCTCTTTATGTACTTCTGGAAATCAAAGTTTGCTTCACTTGAAGGAGCCAGATGTGCCTAAAATTATATAGCTCAGTTTAGGATGTCTTTTCAAGCAAAAAGTATCAAACTAAAACAGATTTTGTAAATGCAAACTTACCATAATGAATCCATGACGCAATGCCAAATAGTCAGCTTTATTAACTGATCCATAAAATTGTCTAAAGAAGCTAACCTGATTGGAGTAGAACACAAAGGTCTCATAAGGTTTCAAATATGTGTCACAAATAAGTAACCATATGCTTGAATTTAATCATGTAGCTAATGGCCTAGTTTCATTCTGCCCCATCCTCTTGGAACAACGTAAGAATCTTATTATTAATATTTCTTTCATACATGATATTTGTTCACTTACTATCCACAAGGAAATTGGTGATCGACTCCATGCGGTCAAGTGCCTTCGTCCAAACGTTGTTTCCCTAGCAAACCTGAACCTGTGGGGATCTGCAATGCATATTTGTATTATCAGATGTGACCTATATAAATGGTAAAACATAACAAGGCTTATTCCATCTACATCCGAGACGTATGACACAAAAATTCTTAGTTTTATATGCAGATATAAAACTTTTTACTATGCCAAAATTATAAAACTTTTTTTAATACATATTTTTAAGTAACTAAAATAATTTAATAAAATATAAAATTTAACATGACAATAATGTGTTGAAATTTATCGATGCTTATCTTTAGGAGTACTATTTCAAATTTCTCACATTAATTAAAATTCATATCCATAAACATAGGCTCGAATTTTAACATGACCAGGAAATGACGTTTATCCCTCTGGACATCAAATAAACATCACTTGTTTAATGTCAATCGAGAGAAAGATATAAAATTTGACCATGACATCTCACTAAACGAGAAAACTTGTTATGTAACAACCCCTCTTAATACTAAAAAATCAAAAAAGTTACCTCACTGTGATCATAATCAAATTATATTCGGTATCTATATAACACCTAGAAGAACTATATCCAATAGGTACAGAAGTCAACCACCATCACATAAAGTGGATCTTTAATTTACGACGTGACATGTTTCCTATATTGTAGCTTTCATAGTAAATGCATGGACTAAATATTGATGCTCTAAGTCAATATGTGGGTAAAATATAAAACTTTCGGATTTTAACTTAATGTTACCATTGTGGAACTGGTGTTCAAGAGTCCTTGTTTCTTTTTCCCACGCCTTCCAAATTGACATCTGCATAGAGTAAAAAAATAATAAATTTTTTAAGATAAAAATAAGATTGTGCCAGTAACGCGTATGAGATACGACTTGAGAGTGCCTTTGAGGGCAGGGAAAGTGAATGAGAGAAGAAAGAGAATAGGGGAGTACCTTCTTTCTACCCAAAGTTAGTGTTATGATGCACTGTAGGATATGAAAAATAGCAAGCACAAAGATGAATATATGGAGCTGGTGAATCCCATATTTAGACACAAAAGCAACTTTGTCTTTACCCTGCAAATATATACCATAAAATAAAATAAAAATTATAAACTATCTAGAATAAAATACCCTCCTCTCCCCTTCCTATGCAATGAAAGTAAGATGAGGGAAGGTGTTGTGCTTGCCTTTTTTGCGCATTTATCAAAATATCCTTCTGGATCTTTGCCCTTATGACCAGGATAACAAGGATGCCAAGTGGATGCAACTTGTTTTGAGATGCAGATATTAGCAATGTGATCTTGAAACATCGTTAGGAGCAATGATATGAATCCCAGCAGCATAAGCTCTAAACAGATCAAACAAAGCAAACTAAAGCTTATTAATTAATCAATTAGACTCAACACACAGAGAGGAAATTCACTATAACAGTCATAAGAAAATAAGTACCTCCTTTAACCTTTTCCAGCGCTTCATGAAGAGCCTTTTTGTGTTTCTTTTTTAACCACTGCATTTAGTCACAAGAGGGAAAACAAAGCAAGAGATCATGATATATACTTAGAATAATTCAGAAGCAATTATGTGATGGTAGCTTTTCAATTTTCATATGTATAATATAAGAAATATTCCTTGCTTTCTGGTAATTCAATTAACATTGCATGTGCAAAATAACATAATAATTAAACCATCCCAAGCTTACCTTTCCAAGAGATTCAATGCTATGTTCTATGATGATTGAAATTGTAAGCATCACAAAGCACACAATAGCAACAGCCCAAGTTGAGGTTTCCTCCAACTTATTCTGAGGAACTTCATCGTCCATTTTTCAGCCTTCACTAATCTCTTCAAGCTTGTGAGTGTGCATATAAGGAAGAAGATTGGGTAGGTAGAGACCAAGGTCAGTGATACGATATATAGAAGCAGTTTTTTTGGAGGCTCTTGCTGAAGATAGAGTTATGGAATTGCTTGCTCTACTCTACTGGGTTATATACAGTAACAGCAGAAGCGGGCAATGTATGCAAGAAAAGAAAAAAGCGTGTTGGAGTACCACTTTTTATGAGACTTTTGACATTTTCAAACCAATCATGGGTCAACCAAAGATAAGAAAAGCGAAGGAGTCTTTATTCATCTGTTTATTTATTCAAATTAAGGGAAAAACTGACAAAAAGTTCTTAGAGCAGTGTTTATCGTACAAAATAATTTTTTTAAAATTAGTATTTATTTTTAATTTAAATTTTGAATTGTTTATAATTTATTTTTATTTAAAAAATTTCTCCTTGTTTAATTTTATTTAATATAATGGAATATTTATTATAAAAAATATTATATTTACTCTTTTTAAATTTATTAGATTTTAAAATAATCATATAACATATTGTTAATTATTTAGTTCATGTAATTTTTTACGTAGAAACTTTATTTATTAATTAGCACTTAAAATTTTTAAAAAATCATTAATTTTTGGTTACTTATATTTGTCTAGTCAAAATCTTTCACATACTTTGGCATTTTTTTTAAGATTGGCATTAGGAATGAAATTTAGCAGGATTTGTGTGTGTGTGTGTGTGTAGATATAATACTAAAGTCACGTTAAATGCAAAAGCTATTCCTGATTGTGGTGAAGAAAACGTAGTTGATAATGTTCATTTCAGTTCTACAGAGCCTTAAAGTCAATATGAATTTAATTATTACGCATCAACTGATATGATACTTTTCTTCGGCTTAGGTCTTAATCTTTTAAATAACGTTTTCTTTTGGGAATCGTCGTTATGTTTCTTTTTTGGTTGTGTCATAAGTCAATAGATTGACGTGGAGTGAATGTTTACGTAAGTCTTCCTAACCAATGTTTTTAGAAGGTTGATTAACAAAATATTGTTAAATAATTTTATTTTATTTTATTAAAAATTAGTTAATACCATACATATCAAAGCATTTACTAATTTTTTATTATTAAAATATATCAAATGGCAACGAGTGTTTCAAAGGTTGCAAAAATATGTTGGATAATACGAACCTTTGGAATAAAAAATTTAATGAAATCTAAAACTCCTCAATTGTGGGAATACCAGGTCAACGATAAAGTATGAGTTTTACAACGTCTTGACTTTTGATATTCATAAAATGCTCTTAGAAACAATCTTCTAATAACTATTCAATTCAAATCAGAAAACATTAACATTAATATGCTTATAATTTATTTTAAGCCATTAAATATTTGTCATATTAAAAATATAAATGCGTAATTAACTTTTTAATATAAAAAAATTTATCACTTTTAAATCCTTAAAATTCATTTTGAAAATTAATGCTAATAAATTTATTAAAATATTTTTTAACATATGAAAAATGCAGTTTCAATCACTGATATATAGTTTTTTAAACAAATTAAGTCTTACCTATAAACTAATGATAAATTAAGATAAAAAAATTATCAATTTAAGATAATTTTTACACGTTTTATCTTTACAAACATGTATTATTTATTCACCACATTATTGTTATCCATTAATGTACTAGTAATAAATCTAAAATTAAGTCAATGATTAAATAGGCAAAAACTCTAATATACATTTTCAACTACAATTAAATTAATAATAACTAAATGGATTTAATTTTAGTACGTGTCAATGTAAAATATTTTATTCTATCAATTAATCAGAATATATTATAAATAATTTTTATATTAATTATTATCAAAACTAATTATTCTCATTGATAAAATAACATATGATCGGATGACACTGTAAACAAATTTTATATTTAATTTTTTTATTTATTAAATGAAAAACATGAAATATATTTTTGTCTTTAAAAACATTAATTTTATTTTTATTTTTATTTAATAATTTATTTATAAATATTAAAAAATAATTGAATATATATATATATATATATATATATATATAAGGAGAATATTGGTATGATGCCACCTCAAAAGTTTGTGTGGGTTAAATTATTTGCACACTCACAACTTGATAAGATAAGCTTGATGATGCCATTAGTATGGTGTTGACAGGCACGTTTATGAGGAGAAGAGCTTGTTAACAAAATTCTTAAACAGGTTATAGAAGCTAAATCAGTCAATAATTATATCAATTAAATATGAAATGATTACACTTACCACAAAAATCACATGGTTTCTTAAACCAATAGTTTTTAGGCAATGATAATCTTTAAAACATAAAATATCCAGTTATTTTCCAAGTTGCATATAACTAAAAGGGTCAATTATTATGGGTTACACTATGTAACACACTTGAATGCGCACACACACTCAAATTCTGGCCCATTACAGCTAATATCTCCTTGTAGTTATGAGCTCTATGCCAATGTTTATCCACTCAAAATTAATTTGTTGGGTACACATAGTTGTTGTGTCCGTTCCAAGAATGAATTGAAGACCAAGTTGATGATACCTCTTTACCAACTTGTGAGTTCATTGCAACGCAATTTGTTCTCAATCACTTTCTGAATATAATTGTGGCATCATAATTCATAACTCATCTCATTTTATTCAAATTGTTCCGTGGGCAGACAAAAAATCTGTGTTTACCAAAAAAATAATAATAATGGTTTTAATTTAAGAACTTGTCATCGATATCCAATAGGTGACCTGTTTTTCACATAATTAAATACACAACTTTTATTATACAAGATATTTATCTCCACCTATACACCAAATTATAAATATCTTCTTCTTTTTTGTCATGTTTTTCTTCTCATTCTGAATTAGGCTTGTAATGGAAATATGGGCTGGACAATAGGGTAATAGATTTTGATTTTTTTTTAGCCATTTCTATCAGTTGCATTACCTTTTTTTTACTTTTTAAAAAATTATATTTAATCTATTTGAAAATTTTAATTTTAAAATTTCTTTATAAATATTTTTTTGTAATTAAGTTTTAAAAATAATAATCAAAATAAAAGTGCAAACAGCAATATTTCTCGTAACAAGATGTCCTAGCTATCTCTCATTACCACTCCAAAACAAGATGTAATTAGTTTTATGTGAAGGGAAGCATGGATAACAAATATAGAACCATTTATGTAAAGATATATAAAAATTCACGACATTATTCGTATTATGCTCATATTAACGATGCGTTATATAAATAATTCAACTAAGTGTTTTTAACATATATTTTTTTATATAAAAAGACTTGTGGCATGAAATTATTCATTTTTAATAATGCATATCAAAATATTTATTAAAATGTTAAAAATATTATGAGAGTTATAAAACATTTTAATAAATTATTCTAAACGCACTTTAAATGCTCACATGATTTTTAAAAATAATGTTTTATGGCATACCTTAAATAACCTAATTCTCGTACCCATATAATATTTAAACATTGCATCTTCTACCCATAGAAGAAGCATGACCAAGGGAAATGGAAATAATTGGAAGAGCTGCTATAATAAACTTATACTCACTCCTCGTCACTTTTATGAAGAATCACATTATTTTAAGTGTTTTAATAAATAATTAAATTGTTTCACTCAATGTCCAATTCGAATATTTGTTTTATTTTAATCTGTGTCTTACATAAATAGATATGTTCTTTTAATCAATATTTATTTAAGTATGAATATGCTATATGATTCACATATGTATATACGTTGTAATTCTGGATTAGATTAAAACTGATTTTTAACTTGAATGAAGCAAAATAACACTATAAATTTAATAAATTAATACAACCCTTCAATTTAAATAAAACAAGACAATTATTTATTTGAATCAATACAATTTTTTCATTTTAAATGAAGAAGGAATATTCTCTATGTTTTGAAATTTTCTCACAATAAATCTCTATGTGGTGTTGTAATGTTTCAAATTGTTCCTGAAACATAGATTATTTTTGCTTTTCTAACCTTCACAGAGAAGAACTTAAAGTAGATCTAGAACATTGATCTAAACCATTCATGTAGCAGCCAAACTTTGATCTAAACCACAGTATTCCATTTTCCTTTGCCTGTCCTTCTGTATGCTGGAGACAGGATTATGGTACTGGTTGGTTGACAGCCGTTGATAGCCAAAAACGCCACACATAACTATTCTGAATAACATTTTTTTTATCTAGATCACTGTGTTCAGAATTACTCTGAACAACATAAGAACTAGAATGATGACTTCTTTTGCTAAAAAAGCAAATCTTTGAATTTTTTCAATTTTATCTAAAAGGAAATTACCTTACAAAAATCGCATTGATATTCTTTTGTCAATAAAAACAAAAGTTTTGTTTTTTATAGTGGGTTTGAATGATTATTAAAAGGCTACAAGGTCACATTAGTCAGGCCCGTAGAGTATTGGGCCCCTCTACTTTGTTGGGCAGAAGATGAACAACCAAGCCCATAAAAGCTTCCCTAGTGTGACCCGGAAGAGGGAGAAAGAGATTTTAGGCCCTTTATTTCTCATCTTATTTTATTTTATGTTGTAAAATCTGAGAGTACTTATTCGATTATTCCATGTTCCATTATCTATATACTTTTTAGTGGCATTTGTTCATAAGAACAGAAAAGCTAGTGGGATTAGAGTGGGTATTCTATTCTGTCCAATCCCATTGCGTATAATTCAATGTACTCGTGTATTAAAATTAAAAAAACATCCACTAATGAAAAAAGGAAAAATAAAGTAACCATCTGTTACATAAAGCAAAATTAAGCTTTGTACAAAAAGCAGCCAATTAGGAAAGCTTGTATAAACAAAGGCCTTGAGGCCTTCCATAGCCATACACATCTATGGAGCACCCAAGCATGGATAGATGGCTAATAAAGCTGGTCTTTCCTGTCATGTAACCATCTCCACCTGTGGGAAAAAGCACACCAAAAAAGCATTAGATAGGTAATAGTAAAATTGACCATATTCATTGGTTGTAGAGGATTTGATTTTGCTATTCAGATTTGTATGAAGTTTCGACATTGCATGCAATAAAAGAAACACATAAAGTTAAAGGCTTGTTCGAATTACAATGTTTAATACTTCAATTTTAAAGCATTTGAAATAATTTTTTACTATGAAAAAATAAAGTTAGACCAAAAGTTTTCAGCCAAATAAAACTTTTGGATTTCCAAAATTAAGAGGATTGAAAATGAATTGATAACAATATGACTCAATTTTTGTGAATAAATTTTGGACTCACCAATGGTAATCCCATCTGGGTCGGACTTTGGTCATCCGGTTTTCACCATATGGATAATCCGTTTCAGCTCTCCTTGTGTTTCTGAAAGCACAGCACCCAATGGAATAAATCCCTATGAGAAGCACAAGCATGGTGACTGTGAGAACAGACAGTTTGTGCCAATTCCTTCTTATGTCTTCAAGTACACCAGCTTTGCAAGAATCACACTCATAGCATAGCAAATTGGGGGCATTATTCCACCTATAGCAATCAGGGTCTTGACTCATCATCATTGTTGCCACGTTGTATGTGCAAGCAGTTGGTGGCTTACAACATCCAGACTGCATAAACCACAACTACACTTAGCATTGATCACTTTCACCCAAAAAAATTGTTAATTTGTTATTGATAAATGCTGATCAATGTTTATAGAGAGAATAAAAATGATTTTTTTATTAAGAAATATACTAATGCATCATTTTGTAATTTTTAATGTATTTTAATAAAAATTTATTATTTATGATGGATACTTATTAACAAAATTTTTATTATTTTAGCGGACCAAGACTTTGAAAATTAATGATATATTTCAGGAGCACAGAGTGAGGGTAGCAACGGAGTGGGATGGTTTACCATCATAATCCATTGTTTGGTAAATTATAACATGGAAATTTTCTTGTGAACATATTTGATATTAGTAACAGTAACAACAAAAGAAAGGAAGAAAAAAAAACACTAGTCTCTTTCTAATTTAGCTTTTTACTTCATTAGTCCACAACTTTTAGTTCTTAAGAATTTTATTTTGTTCACAAACCAAATATTTCAGCACAAAAACTATTCTCCTTCCTATGCATCAAAAAACAAGAAGAAAAAGAAGCTACATAACTTATTAATTGTACCTGTATTGGAGACATATCCCTCTGCATATAATCCAAAGGGGTCCAAGAGGCAAGCTTAGCGCAAGTGTTAGAGCCCAAAATACAGCTCCTTATAGTGTTCCAATAGCGAGGGTCTTGTATTCTCTTCTTCAACCATGGTGAGTAATCCTCAAGACGATACTCTTTATAAACCCTACCAGGCACTTCCACACCACCACCCTTACTTGTCACACCAAAGCCAAATATTGTCAAACCCAACAGTGCTGCTATGAGGAACAACATGGTCACCAAGTACAACCATAGTGCACATGCCACATGAAAACATGCACCAATGAAGCCTGCTAGTGATATCACTAGCACAACAAAACCTATAACCAAAAGTGGTGTTTGGAGAAAATTTTCACATGTTGTGCTACTCCTTGCCATCCATAGACCTGCTCCAATTATGGGTATGGATGCTAAAAGTGTGAACAAGTTCAAGAACCCAATCACTGTGTTACTGAACCTATACATATCTCTCACTCTCACTCTATCTCTAGTTTTTTTTTCTATTTGGTTGCTTCTTGTGATTCTTGTGGTGTCTTTAGCTTTGTTTCTATTTAAAAGGGGGAGAGGCAATCAAACTAGAAACTTTAGTTGGAGAATGTGAAAATGAGCAAACAAAACAAGACTGTCCTTCTTAGTTATTAAGGAAGTTATTTTTTCAGAGGGACTAATTTGCCCTTCTCTCATTTCCCGGCCAATTTTTTTCCTTTTTCAGGTATAGTAGTGAGTCTAGTGACCCAATTGACATATTTATCCACATAACTAATGTATACCGAAGCATAAATTCCATGTGAATTTAGGCAAGGCAAGCAAAGAATTTAGAACAAGTGGTGGTGTTTTTGGTAACTACAGACGATGTTGTTGCTTTGTGGATATGGACCCCATTTGGACTTCTTTGTGAAGCAAGATCACGAACAAGATTTGGGTTATTCTTGGATGGGTATTATAGAATAGTAATATAGTATGTAAGATGCTTTGGCTTTGTTATCCTGTCTCGCCTGATCTTATTGACATACCATGTGTCTTTTCGGCTCCACTAGGCAGCCTAATTCTTTTTCTTAAAAAGAAGTTCCACCACCAAGCTTTAATTCATCAATGACAAATATACTTTAGCAAAGCACCTTGTCTTCTTGATTTATTGTGCTCTACCATGGAATTTCAAATGCAAAAAGATTCCCATCTTGCTAATTTTTATTGGCAAAATATCCGGGAATATCTGCTACAGCATGGTCGTTTTTGCAAATCTGTGAAAACTAAACAGCAGGGATTGTAGTGTTGACATATCAATTGCTCAATCGAATACATTTTGCTATTTGAGCATTTTGAGTTTAGTTAATTGAATGATGTTTTTATTTGTGACTCAAAATTAACGAGAACCAATAATCAAATGGTTAGTAAATCATGTTCATTTTTTTCTTTCACCCACCTTTTGGATCACTTTTGGAAATGATACTCAAATCATTTTGATGATAAATTTTGTGAATATAAAATAAAACATAATGGCCAGAGATGAATCTGTTATTATATATTTCAATATTGGTTGTTTTAAAAAGGCATATAAGTTTTGGAAATCTTTTTACCCCAAACCCATGTCAACAGAGTGGAATTTAATTTGCATGCTAACTTGAGTAAAATTTAATGACAACTCTTCCCTTCCTGCGTCATCACAGAAGCCCGTGCCCCTATATCGTTCAACTACTGCAAACCATTTGTATGAAAGAACCAAAGTGCATCCAGCAGGTTTGATAGCATTAAATTCTTCATCACGCCATGTACTAGTGATTTTGTCCAAGAAATAGATATAAGAGATCTTTATTATTTGGAAGTCATGATCTTTCGAACATATTTTGACGCGTTAATTCGTGTTGTACTCCGAACGGTATGGGGCAGGCACATGTTAGAGGGACACCCTGATACTATTATCATAGATATAGATAAAAGTGTTTGATTAATAGGTTTTATGGGTGACCCCATACACTATTTTTTTAATATGGAGATACTCATAAATAAATAATAAATAGATTATATTTATTAAAAATTATATTATTTAATGTTATCGATATACTATTTTATTATTTTTAATAAAAAAATTATTATACATGTATTTTTATTATGGGCTCTTAAATCACCTTAAAAAACTGGACACACAGTATCATTAACAAACATACACATCAGTTTTCGTCACAGAGCCAAACTATATAGTGATCTACGACTGCGATCAGGCTAGGTTGGTAATCATTTATTGATAATTTCTTGATTCATAGCTGATTCAAAGCGAAAACACTAACGTAGGGTTGAATAGACACACTCATGGGAGAAAATGCTTATGTGGGCACATTTATGACTTCGGGTAAAACCACAGGAAATTTGTTAAGAGCCCCACTCATGGTGTCAGTCTGCATTTATACCATAGAAATTATTTCTATGAAATAATATCTCCCAATTCATCTTTTACTGCATCTTGGACTATTTCTTTTATAATTTGTTCATATGTGAATTTAATCAATTCATTCCATTTTGTATCATACAGTTTCAAAAGGAGGCTGTAAATAGGTTTCATGAAATTATAGCGATGAAAATACTAACTATGAGGTATAAATAAATAAATAAATAAATATATATATATATATACAGGAATAAATGTGCAGTCACATGACATTAGAAAAACTAATAAGATTGAGAGCATTATCATTTATCATTCAGGAAAAAAAAACGAAAAATTTAAAACCCTTCATTGACGAAAACAGTTATTATACAAGATATGGCATATAAAGAATAGCATTTCATATAAATAATCACATTTTCAATAACAATTAAAAATATAAGAACTACTAACGGTAAATCTATCAATTTTCCAGGCAGAGAGCCAAGAGGGAACTCATGAGGAATGCATTCCTTATTCTGTCTCAGCCTGCTCCATGTATATGAATAACATTTATTCTTAGCCTATGGTGCAAGAATGGTGGTACTTATGGTTCTATACTTGTGTGAATATTCATCAAATGAAAAAGAACAAATGTGTTTAACTTGATGATGGCAAGGACTTGTCCTCCAAGAATGAGCTAAAAAGAATAAATGCTTGGCGGGGCCTATGAAGAGGAACCTCATGTCCAGCTCCTCTTATTGTAACCAATGTTAGCCCTTTATAAACTTGACTCCAGCCACCAACCTTCACGTAAGACCAAAATCTCAGCTAACTTAGATAATAGCATGACATGAAAACACACAAACAACTGTCATAGAAGTTTGCAATACCAACCTTGCCATTATCATACCAAGGGTACCAATTGATGAGGGTAGGTAGCTTCAAGGCATCAATAGAATATCGAGTGGCAGTCACTGGAACCACAGCATCAGTGTCTCCACTAAAGCCAAAAATATAAAATAAAATAAGAGTTTCAATTCCATGCAACAAAATGTTGGATAATGAAGGAAACAACTAAGCTGAATATTACACAAAGTTGGAGAGCATTATGAATATGTAGATTTAAATAGATGTGGTTGGTGCCGCTCAAATGGTTAAGTAAAGATATTTTCACCTTATCTTGGCACAATGCTTAGAATAAATATATATTATTTAAAAATTAGGAATATCTATACAAAACCAAGATGAGAAAGATGTCCAGTTGAGAATTAATGCGTCAACACCATATGTAGGATCAGAAATAGGATCTATTATTGTTGTCAATTTTGCAATGAATCCCTGATTTTTCACTACCTAATTTCCTCCTTTTGGCTGTTTGTTTGAAACTTTTTGGAAGAAAAATTGTTTTGTTAAATTAAAAGATAAATTTACAAAAAAATATATATAGAATCATTATGTGTTTTGAAAAAACAAAAACAACAACCTTAAAAAAGTTGTTCTAATGTTTTTCTCAAAAACTAAAAGATAATAACTTTAAAAAAGGTCTAAAAAAAAGTCTTATAACAGAATAACCTTTTTTAAAAACTTAATCCAACAGCATGTCAACCCATTTTGGGTTACAAGACTCAAAATATTGAGGAAATCTTCATCTTGGACTCGAGCTATTCTTCATTAAGTAAAGAACAATAGTGGCAGGGTATTAGGTTCATGGATTCTTCCATTTATATGGTCCTTACTTTTTTCCACTCTTTCTTGATAAGGGACATCTTTCCCTAGCACTTGTTGTATTCCTATATAAAAACTTTCTCTTAAGAGTTTTTTTGGAAGAAACACAAGCCAAGAACAATACACCTATATTATCACTTTGAAAACTTCAAATGGAATCTTCTCTGTAAACTATACAATAAAATGATTTCCTATTATTTTTATTCAACAGAATCCAGTAAGAGCATTAGAATAACCAAATGTGAAATGCTTCAGCCCACGTAATAATACTAATAGAAGATAAAAATAAAAGGTATGCACCTGTATACCCATATTCGTAGGCCAGCATTAATAAGTTCTTGATATATTGGAAGCATAGATAGTGGAGAATCAGTCCAATAGTTGCCTACAATATCACTATTAAGAGAAACCTTTTAAAAAAAATAGAATAGAATAGGCCTCAAGAAAAACACCTCAATACTACATACAAATAATGCACCTGCATGCCTTCCATGTGTAAGGAATTCCAGTTACATTGGCATGCAATGCCTTCTGAACTTCTGGACGATTGAAATACAAATCAGAATACCTTTCAGTACAAGGATCGTATGCTCGAGACATCCATGGCTGAAGTTGGAAGGCATACGTATGGGAGGGGAAAACAAAACAAGAAAAACATAAATGCAATTCAGCAATGAAAGTTCAGAAGGTGCTACATCTAAAGACTGAAATATTAATGAGAAGTCCAACACCTATTTTGCTTCAGGTAGTTTAGCAATTCCAAAATACAAGTCAAGGAAATATGACAAATTTATAGTTCTATTCTTAAGTAGACATAGTAACCATGTTCTTTTAAGTTAAAAAAGAATGATATCTAATTTGATTCATTCATGATAGAAAACCAATATACTGCAGTTTAGGACCAATGTGATTTTCATGTAGATTGTTTTGAAGGTTCTCATAACTGTAGTGCAATATTGTAGTTTGACAACTACAATACAATGAAAGAACTTGCTACTAGACATGAGTAAATTGAATAAGTGCCTACAAAAACTTACATAGCGACCCTTCAAGCCGCGTCTGAGTGATGCTGTATTGTTGCAAGGCTGTGTATATATGCTATATGGATCAATGTTTCCCTGCTCCACAGTTGCAACTCTGAGAGCCTGCATGCATTGCACTGATGGATGCTGGGAGGACCCAAAGTCACAGGCAATTTTTAGCATCCTATACGTGGAATCTGAAATCAAACCGTGGGTCCACCAATATTCAAATGTACCAACATAATCATGATAATCATCAGTAACAGCATTACCAACCTGACACCAACAGAAGAAAATCAAATCTTTTAGATGATTCCAACAAGGTAGTGGCAATTCTCCTTTAACATTAAAGATTAAAAATGTACAATTTTTTCATGAATTTTACAGTCTCACCATAAATCCCTTAAAATTTATATCTGGATTCTTGATTCCCTTGTTTTTCTGGTATACAATTTGAGCCAACTGAGGAACATAATGGCCTGAAAAGTATTTTTAAGATATTCAATTGATAATTGTGGCGCCAAAATCCTTAGGAAGAAAACTGACATATCAAATATAGAATCACCTGCATAACTTTCTCCAGCAATGTAAAATTCTCTATGCTTGTACTGAGGAAATCTTTCAAACCACTTAACAAGAAAAGTATATGTATCCTCAGCTGCAAAGTCACAAAAGCCAGATCCCAGATACCCATAAGCATCTCAAGAACATAATTCATAAACCGAACCATTTATTATTGCCAAAACAAGCAAAACTGACATGAAGAGTAAATCCTACATGAGCAAGTACAACTACCCTTACAAATGTTACAACTACATTACCTGTTTTCTGGTCACCAAATGTATACAGATCCGTTGTTTTATTAGAATATGAAAAACCAACACCAGCAGGAGAATCAAGGAATAATGTATTTGCCACTGCAATAGCCCAAAATAAATAGACATAAAAGATATGCTAGAAAAAACTAAACAAAACAAAAATACAACCACAACAACACCAATGGGAATTTCACTTACCATTGTTCCAAGCATAAGGATTCAAGTAAAGTGACTTTCCATCAGGCCTAATGTGGAAAGGGCCAATTTCTTCAGATGCACCATAAGCAATAGAAGAACATCCAGGGCCACCATTAAGCCACAACACTAGTGGCCTTGACCTTGGTCCACGACTCAGTGGTGCCTCAACCAACCAATAGAACAATGACCTCCCAGTTCCACTCTCCTCATTCACACTCACATACCCAGAATACTGAGCAAAGCCCACATTCTTTGGTTGTCCTGGCAACTCTGTAATCCTATCTCTCCTTTGATCTTCAATTGGGGAAGCTAAAGAAACTCCCACACAAAAGGACAAAAACAAAACAAGATAGAATCTGGTACAACAACAACCCATGATTCTGTCAAAATTGCCAAAATCCAGAAGCACCAGAATATTATAATGAGAGCATGAATGGAATTTATGGAAGTACTACTAAAGAGTAAAAGTCCAAGAACACAAATCCTGACGCAGTTAGAAAAGATCTAAACTTTAATGTCAAAGATTTGAAGCAGTTCAGTTCTACCTCAGATTTACACACACACAGAGAATTGTAGGAAAGCAGCAAACTGAATTCACAAAGAAAAGCAAGAAACTGAAGGGTAAGAGAGAGAAAGAGAGTGAAGAAATGAGAGACACATCACACATTGGTTAAAGCTGTCAACATACAACATATTTATAAGAAAGTGTCAATGATTGTTTTGATGAGTTAAAATGAGTTGTAGCAATTAATTTAGCACCGTGCATTTGGTCCTCAACTTAATCATCAATATTTTGAATTTCTTTGGCTCTTCCTGTTTCTTGCTTGTGCTTGCTTTGTTCCAGCCTCAGTTCAGTTGACTGAAGCAGTGGAATGGCGCACATGCAAGCGCTCAAAGTTTCTGTCTTTCAGGCTCATATGGGTATTTTTAGTCTTTGTCAAAGACCCATCCTCTCCTTTTGAATAAACTGTTCCCCAAAGTCTTAACTCTACTTTTAAATATTTATAATTTGATTAAAAAAATATATCATGTTGAAAGATAAATTGGTGGCCAATGAATATATATATGATTCACGATCATACTGCATAACAAACTTTAACACTGAAATTACTTAATATTTTTTGTAAAATAAGAAATTAATCAACGTAATTGTTTATTTAAATGTTCTTAACATAAAATATTATATATATGTAAAAAAAAAAACATTGTCGCATATACCACAGAGAGAGAAGATGATAGACGCTCACAAGTCACAAGGCACAAACACATGTGTATCACAGAGCAGCAGTTGTTAAAGAGTTACTCTTTTTTGAAAAATCCAAGAAAATAATGAAAAAATAAAATGTGGGGCTCTTATTAATTCTAGTTTCTGTACAATCAGAGAAAATGAGAGAGAGGAAAGCAATTTTTTTATCCTTGTTTGTAAAAAACAGTTTTTTCATTTTTAATTAAATATATGTTAGTTAAAGATGTTAATAATTTTATAAAAAATATTTTTATTCACTTTCTTTCGTATTTTTCTTATAACAAATGACTTATAAATTAATTTTCTTTGCCTCTTTCTTTTTACTTATTTTTTTTCTTTTCAGCTTTTTTTTCCTTAAATGAGTGATGAATTTTTTCTTTTAAAATGTAAATAGGTACAAATATCAAGAAATTTTATTATTTTATTTAAATTATTTTTTTAATTTTTTAATTTTTTTATTAAATTTTTTTTATTCTTGAACTACTTACATAATGTAATTATTTCATTATAAATGAAAAATTATCAGTAAACGAATAATAGTTAATATTATTTTTAACATTAAAAAATAAAAAACAAATGTAGGGTCAAAATTTTTAGCATGTGTTTAAAATAATAGAAAATTAATAAATGATAAATTTTGATTGATTGAAATTTATAATATGTATCGAATAACATGTAATAAAAAATTATTGAAAAAAATATAATATCCAAATATTTAATAATATTAAATGTTATAATTTTGAATTAAAATTTACTATTTATCAAAATTATATTATGTGCTCTTAACACTTGTTAAAAATGTGGATTAAATAAAAAATTTATAAATTTTAAGGATATCAAAATTTTATTAAAATTGTAGATATTGTTAAAAACTAAACATTCATGTTATTATTCTATTTTTTTCGTTTAATATTAAAATCGATTTAAATATTTTTTATTTGTCTCAAATTATTTATTATTTAAAAATAATTTGGAACATTAATTTTTAATCATTTTCTTAATAAATTTACACTAATACTAAGTGACATGTAATACAAATCAGGAAATAATAAATTAAAATAAAATTTAATAACTAAAATTAATGACGTGATAAAAATATTTCTTCACATTTTCTAATAAAAAATAGGTTTAAAAAAATTTCCATAATTATATTGTATTTGGACGCTGTACTCGCTGCTAGTTTGGTTCACCAAATCACGATGTGCCAATGCCATGTCAGAAGTGTCGGTGAGCGAAAAGGCAAATCAATCCCCTCCATGCGCTTCAACTCTTAATTTGACCAATCCTTTTTTTTTTTTTAAATCAAAGTTAATGTTTTTATAATTACATAATTAAAAGCATTAAATTTTATAATTATTATTCAAGATTCACATCTAAAATAATATATCAAAAACATAATTATTATTTTGACGTGAAATGGGATTTGTGGAGTTCAAATTTAAACAGCAGAATATTCCAGTTGGGCAAAAACATAGAGGGTGCCAACTTAGAATTTTAATCTAACTTAAAATATTAATTATTTTAAATTATTACAAATATAAATTATTCTCTTTTATACAATAATTCTTTCAATAAAAGCATTTTAGTTTATAAAAAAATATTTAATCAGGATTAGTTTTTTATATATGATATTTACAAATAATATAAAATATTTTAAAAGTACCAAATCAAAAATGTAATTTTTAATTTTTTTCATATTTTTATAATTTTAATAAAAAATTCATATTTTGGTAATTTTAAAATAATAAAACCATAAAAAAGAGCCCAACAATCACTATTATTAGTAATTTCCTGCAGACAGATATATTACTTTAAAAGGAAAAGAAATTAAGACTAACGCAATCATTTAAAGAAGAAAAAATATTCGATATGATGAATTAGACCCACTAAGAAGACTGAGAGCTTATGAGTTAATCTTCTTTTTTTTTTATTTCAGTTTAAGAAAGTGATTTCTTATAGAATTAGTTTTATACCATTAAACAAAATATTCGTTAAAATGAATATTAATTATAAATTTTTATTGAAACCTATATTTTTATTTTAAATAATAAACCAAAGAAACACCACATGACACACATATTAGATAAAGAATAAAGTGACTAGTAATTAATAATAATAATTAAAATAATATTTTTATGATTTCATAAACTGAAAATGATTAATAGTCACAGTTTAATAATTTAATTTAGTAGGTTATTCCGTTTCAAAATTTGGAATAAAGTTATGTATTTTTAAGTAGAGAAATCAATGTCTTCTCTTTTTTAGTGTTTGGAATAATTTAATTTACCTAATAGCTATCAGCTTTGAAATAAAATATATTATTTTTAATATTTAAATGACTTTTACTTAACTTTTTATTTTTGATCTATAAATACATGATAAATTCCTTATTCATACTAACATTTTTATGAGCAGAAAAGGGAAGAATGTACAAAACCGATTGAAATGAAGCTTTTGCATAAAACAAGGAAGCGGCTGAACGGTTCCCTTGAAAACTCCAACTCCTTCAATAAAACAGATGAAGGTTGTGCAGGAGAGGAATTAATCAAAGAATATCCATAATTTTGGGTTTGGGCACCATAAATATGGTGCTAAAATTGGATTAATGTATGTTTAAAGTAATCTTAATTACGTAGTTTGTATTAAAAAGTAGGAAAATTAGTTTTATAGTTTTAAAATATCTAAGAGTAAACCAAGTTAGTGGTCGGGGAGTGAAATAAGAAGACTAGACAAAAGAGTAACTTGTCATTTAATGTTGCGTGATTTCCCCACATGAAAATGTTAACCGTTTTTAAATTTGATTGGTTTGTCTTTTGACAATCTCCAGCTTGTAGGCCCTTCTGTTGTCACCATGTTTGTCATAGTCTTTTTCTGTCCATTGATCACAATTTAGAGAAGAGTTCTCGAATTTCATGAGATAAAAAAATTGCAAAAAGAATGACACCGGAAATGGTAAAATCAAAATAAACTAAGGACTGACTTGTGACTGGTTATAATCACTAATCAGTGGTTTTTGCTGGGGTCTTCGTCATCACAAGAATCAAAGTTGTTGGAACGGAGGATCCCCATTCAGCCATTCACCCCCAAATAACTACTTTTCCTTCTTCCAAATTCAAATTAATTAATTCTACATAACTTTATCACAGAGGAATCGAACTCCAACACGAACACTGCCTACTCAAAGAATCTATATTTCTTTTACTTGAACCCCTGAAATACACTATTGAGCACTAATACAAATTGATGTAGAGCGTAACCCTTAAATGTAGTTCAATAGACATGTTACTCTTTGCGTTACTTTCTTGACAAAAGAAAAAGAACCATGAAGAGTTAAAAAAATGTATTGATAAGAGGGATTTAGAGGAAAGAATGCAAATTCACTTAATCAATTTGAGTAAAAAAAAAACTTGTTTTCTTTTTATATTTATTTAAACAAGTTGATTTTCATTTAAATAAAAATAAAACTAAACATATAACGAAATGGGTAGGGCGAAACATTTTTATTTGTGATCTATGTAGCACCCAAATCAGAACAATTTCATTTGCTAAGATATGAAAAATGGAAAAATTGAGTGAAAGGCCAAAAAAAAATAAAAATAAATAAAAATAAATAAATATATATATATATATATTTTTTTTTTATGGCATTGTAGTTATGTGGCACAGTAAAGATGACATGACACAGTAGTGTGTGACAGCAGGTAATCAATATTTATGCTAGTCAGTAGCTTGGCATTTATGATATTTTTGTTAAACTTCCACAATATTAAATTATTAAAAACGTGCATTTTAAGTTTTAACTGAGACGAATAGTGTTAGATAAAGTTAATTAAACAGATAAATAAGGTAATTATTTAATAGACAAAAAAAATGAGGAAAACAGTTTTCAAAATAAAAAACTTCTAATGTTGCAATCGATTAATTAATAATTTTTCAAATCTTTGTAATAAATGAAATATATTTTAGATCGAGACTTATCTTAAAAGAGTTTTAACTTAGGACTAGTCCTGCTAATATAGGCACAGTAGGTTAGAGGAAAGAGAGGCATTAATTGAAATAAGAAAAATTATTTGTGAACAACAAAAGAAAATAATAATACAAACCAAGACCACGTATTTTTTTTAATACATGTACGTAAAAAATAAATAAATAAATTTTATAAACAAAATTATTAAAATAACAGAAGTATCGGTAAAAGAAAATAAAAATAGTGAAGATGCTTCACGTCAAATTTGTTAATTATCGCACATGGAAAGACTGGTAGGGAGTGAAAAAATAAATGAAAGAAATATTTTCTTATTTGAACAGCCAAAAAGTAACGGTAAAGAAAGAAATAAATGAAACATTAAATATATATTTATTTCCATTATATTTTAAAAATTTTAATATCATCTAATATGATTATATTTTTAAAAAAAAATTATTTGAAGTAAAAAATAATAATTTTTTTTCTTTTTTAAATAAAGCATAAGTGCAGGGAAAGTATGGAATCACAAGGACTCTTACGGAAGATGCTGAATAAGATTCGACACATCAGCCCTAATATTCGAATTTACGCGCTTTAACTGGAAAGTGTGCACACTGCCATCTTTATTCTTGTCGTTTCTGCTTTGACTCTCAACGCAACACGCGGGAAGGGAAACGGTGCATCATTCCCCAAAATGCCCTCCATTTCTAACCCTAATTGCAAATTTCTCTTTATTTTTTAATTTCTTTTGTTTTTTTAAAAAATAACAAAGAAAGATATGTATTACTATATTGTTGATTTTTAATCCCCTCATTCTCTCGGAACGTAAATTGAATTAAATAAAATAACATGATAATACACGCACAATGTTTATATTTGCATTTTCTAAAAATATTTTTTTAACATGTAAAAATTAACTCAAAATACACAAGTTAGTTAGTTAATAATTGATTTATATGATATATATATATAATTTTTAGAATATATTTTAAGTTCAAAATTTGTGCACAAAAAACATTAAAATATTTACTGTGCTCTGCATGTTTTTAGTTTTTAAATAAAACTATTTGTCATTAAAAATACACGTGGCTATAGAATTTCTGTCAAATCAAATTTCTACGGTGAACTCAAAAAATAGGGATATAATTATATTTTTATTTTTTTATACTTAAAATTTAGTTATTTTATTATATTTTTATACTTTAAATTAGTTAATTTTGTCTTCTGTTGATTTTTGTTCTACTTAAGACTTAAATCATCATTTTTTACTATTTGATTTTACTTGTTTTTAAAAATTAAATTTATTAATTAAAAGAATCTAAAAACAAACTATTTGACACTATATTTGATGAATCACATGTGAATCGATAGCAGTGTCAATAATAAATTATTTATCATATTCTTAAATTGAAATTTATTAAGAGAACTATTATTAGATTTATTAAATTAAAAAAATAACTACATGTTTTTTATTTTTAAATTTTAATCAACAATAAAAAATAATCTTAAAAATATTCTATTAACATTTATCTTTTAAATGAACTCATGTGATGCGGAGTAATCAGATTGCATTGACCGACTTTTTTATTTTAAGTGAAGTTGAAATTTATGTAGCAGCATAAAAATTAATAAACACAAGTATATTTAAACAATATGATAAAGATAATAATTAATTAAATTATAAATAAGTTAAATGAAGATATACATTTCAAATTAAATTTATTTTAAACTTATATTTTATTTTATTTAAACACATGGTTTTAGTTTGAGCAGTTTTTAGGTGCAGACAATGTTTGAATGTTGAGTTTTTTTGGTTTAATTTGTTTAAAACTTGCATTATTTACCGATAATTGGTGTTTATATTTATTTATTTTGATTTTGCAAAAAAAAATGGTTTAAGTGCATGGTAATTTAATTTAAATTTTAAAAATAAATCATTTGTTTTTATATTTTTGTGAGATAATATTTTTAAAAAATTAAGTGATAAATTATATATATATATATATAAAAAATCATCCATACATGAACTAAGTGTATAATTTTGTGGAGATTATATGTGTACACGTGTAATCTAATAATTAGTATAATGTCTTTGTAAAATCGAGAGAATGTTTTTGACTTATACAATTATACTAACATAAATTAATTCCTTTTTACTAAAATTATTAAGAGTCAATGGAATATTTATTTTTTATTCCAGTCCAAAACAGCAGCAGAAAATCCTACTAAAGCATTTCATTAAAACTTGAATAGAACAAAAAAAATATATACTTCAAAAAAAATTGTAAAACGTTTAAGTAAAGAGCAATCTAATAAAAAATATAGTTTACTGTGTGTTATTAAAATATCATGGTAAATATTAACTAGTACCGTGAAGATAAAAATTAAATAAATAAAAACAATTTAATTTAAAAATATTTATTTTATTTAAAATGTAATTTTTATTTAACCATTATCTGGTTCAAAATAATAGTTATTATAGCAAATTCTATTTTTTCAGGATTTAAATGTCCATTAAAATAAACTATTTGAACTTGATTGAAAATTTTGCCATATTCCTGTATGCTGAAAATTTGTAACACTGTCTCGTCATGTTACAATGATTTGCAGAATATCTGCCACATACCATATACATTGATTTGCTCCTTATCTTGTAATCTCAATATTAAAGCATGTTTGAGTATAAGAATTTTAAGATGTTAATTAAATAGTAGGTAATGGCATGTTTAAAATAATAAATAATAAATACATAATTTTATAACATGTTTTATTTTTACTACAAAAATATATATATATATGATGAATATGTTATTTTAAGTCAATTGTATTTCAAAGTTACTGTCTTTTAATACTATTTGTAGTTACAGAGTTAAAATAAGCTAATATTTTTAAAAAAGTAATTATTTAAATTTGTTTTATTATATTGATCTATATAAATTTTTATTTCTCCATAAATTTAAAAATACACCCCACAACTAATATTATTATCATTCTCAATGTTATTGCAAACAACTATAACATGTTATCGTGATTAATTAATAGCTGTTTCTGCCACTGTTATAATATTATTATAATTGTTGCCATGTTATTATTGATATTAGTATTATTGTAATTAAAATTACTATAATCATTACTATATGTGTACTGTCATTGTGATTGTGTTACTTTTGTTAGTAAGATAATTATTATCACTATCATGTTTAGTGTACGTAGATTTTATTATCTCAAATGTTAGTGTTGATTCATTAGAGACTATTAGGTTTTAACTAATTATATTTTTTGTTAACATGTACAGAAATGTGTATATTTAACTTTTTTTACTAGTTAATTACTAATTATCAATACTGTATTTATTAATTTATTTTTTCTAAATTTTAGGTGGATCGGTAACCGAATTACATAATTATTTTTATGTTTTTATATGCTAATTAGTCATTTCATCTTTAAATTGATCTATTCTTAAGAATGGACGATCAATTCAACTTATCGTTTGGGTAAAACTTATTTGTTTACTTTATCATATTTAGTTTTTGTTGTGTTTCTCTATTTTGTTTTCTATTCATTATCTACCTATTGAATAAGATTCGTTATATCGCTATTAAATATAAGATTGAATTGAAAAATGGAATGAGATTTGCATAGTTTAAATTTGCTATTCAAATTTAAAGAAAGGAAGTTAATTTTAATTGTTTAACTTTTTAAAATTAAAACCAATAACCATATCAATTAGGGAATGATATTTTTTTCAGTTGTTGGTCAAAAAATTAAGGCAAGCTTAATTAATACATGTAAAAAATTCAGATAACAATTTAATATTTCAAGAAAATACATCACCAACACTGTATAGAAAAAATAATTTATACAAGCTATATATGATTGTTTAATAGATTATGAAAATTAAAAAATATAAATAAGATAAAAAATTCATAATAAAATTTAAAATTAAAATATTTTTTAATAAATAAATATAAATGATATAAATAGGTAATATCACATAATAAAAGATAAGTGAATAACCCCGATACAAGTGAATATATATATTAAAAACATTATGAACTATTTTGAAAAAAACAATAAAAAATTAAAATTAAGATATTTTAGAGGTTATTTTTATTTTTAAAAACTTAAATTGACAAATAATTTTTTTAAAAATAAAAAAATACATTTATAAAATGAGATAAACGTGTTCTTAATCTTTTAAATTTAATTTTTTTAACTATACAATTGAAAAAACTAACTCAAAAGTTAAGCAAGTTAAAATATATTATTAAATTTCTATAGTTGATATTTATCTATAATTATATTTTAATTTTACATCAAAATTTAAGTATATATTATTAAAATATTAAAAATACTTATTCACTATAGCAACTAAATATACATCTAAACTAATTATATATAAGAGTATGGTCTTAAAAAAAAGTTTCCGAAAATATTAAATATTGGAAGGGCAATATGGTAACGTGGGAGGAGTGTTTACTGCTACCGTAAATAACGGCCGAAACAATGGGCACTTTGATTACCCAAGAGGCCCATACAGTCACAAACAAAAGCTGATAATAAATAACAACAAATAAAAAAATAGATTAAAAAAAAGTGAAAGATAATAAAAAAGAAATAAAATAAATAATACGAGAGCGGATTCGAAATGGGTTTGAAATATAGTTTTGAAAGAAGCGTTGAGATCCGGTACCACACTTTCTCTCTCTATCTATTTCCCTCTCTCTCTTTCTCTCTCTCAAGGTTCTCTTTGTCCCTTATCGTCTCACGTTCTCACTTTCTCGCCCCATACAGGTTTTCCACCAGCCAAGAAGCGGATAGAAAATATCCGAGAAATTTTTCAGAGCAAGGGAGGGTGACTCACACAGAGTCTAAGCTCTAGACTCAGAAATCTTACCTCCAACCTCGAATCCACAATCCATGGCTTTTCGTTTCTCACTGTTTATTGCGACCGTCTTCGATCTGAATCGCCGCCTCTGAAGTTATTCTCTCTTTGTCCGTTCGTTTCCCATTTTCCCTTGTGAAATCAGCAGGTTTTCTTTCTCTTTTGCGCTTCTCAATTCTTGCGTTTGAGGTTTTTGCTTTGGAGCTGCCGGCAAGCCCTAGACTGGTGTGCGGCGCGGCGATTTTGTTGCCGCGTGTGGTTTCTTGTTCGATCTGTGGGCGGGGAACCTTGCGAATCGGCCTTGGTTAATTTAGCTGTGTGAACCCTAGATTTGGTGTGAACGTAGGATTTGGAGTTTGAGTTTGTGTGGATTTGATTTGACGGCGGTGTGGTTTTGTTGATTTGGTTGGTTTTGCGTTGAATACTGTTCGGTTTTCATTGGCTGCCCATGCTATTGGGTTGGTTTTAATGCCGCCTGAACCATTGCCTTGGGATCGAAAGGACTTCTTCAAGGAGAGGAAGCACGAGAGGTCGGAATCGCTAGGCTCTGTGGCGAGATGGAGAGATTCCTCGCATCACCGAGACTTCAACCGCTGGGGATCCGCCGAGTTCCGCAGACCGCCAGGTGAGTTTGAATCTTTCGAAATCTATGTTCGCTTAGCATTTTGATGGGTTTTGTTTTACCAATCAAACCGAAGAAACCACGCGCCGATGTTTCCGTTTGCTTTACTTTCTTGGGTTCTTGTTTTCTTTCCTGGAAATAAATTTTTGAGTGGTTTATGATTTGGTCGATTATTTTCTGCGTATTTGATATGTTGTCGGTTGTGAACCTTGCGATGTTTTCGAAGATCTGTGGTTGTAGTTGTTATTGGAATAATTTTTCAGGATTTTTTCGCAAGATTTCTATGCCCTTCTCTCTTTCTCCCCCCTTTTTTCTGGGTTCGAGAATAACTTTGCCTATGTTGATTTTTTCTCTATTTTCCTTTTTGTTTAAATATTTTCTGAAGGTCATGGTAAGCAGGGTGGTTGGCACCTGTTTCCCGAAGAATCTGGGCATGGGTATGCGATATCTCGGTCCAACAGTGACAAGATGCTGGAGGAAGATAGTCGACCGTCGATTTCACGAGGTGATGGAAAGTATAGCAGGAGCAGTAGGGAAAATAGAGGACCCTTTGGCCAGAGAGATTGGAGAGGACATTCGTGGGAAACAACCAATGGCTCTCTAAATTTGCCCAGGAGGCCTCCGGATGCAAACAATGACCAGAGGTCAGCTGATGACGCCCTAACTTATTCCTCTCATCCACATTCTGATTTTGGAAATGCTTGGGATCAGCACCACTTGAAAGACCAGCATGATAAGATGGGTGGTGTGAATGGGTTGGTAACAGGCCCGAGATGTGAAAGAGAAAACTCTCTGGGTTCAATTGACTGGAAGCCACTTAAATGGACCCGTTCTGGAAGCTTGTCTTCTCGAGGCTCAGGTTTTAGCCACTCAAGTAGCTCAAGAAGCATGGGAGGAGCAGATTCCCATGAAGTTAAAGTTGAGTTGCAACCCAAAAATGCAGTTGCTAATGAGTCACATTCAGGGGAAGCTGCTGCATGTGCAACATCTTCTGTGCCTTCTGAAGACACAACATCTAGAAAGAAGCCTAGGCTAAATTGGGGTGAGGGACTTGCAAAGTATGAGAAGAAAAAAGTCGAGGTGCCTGATGCCAGTGCTAACAAAGATGCCCCAGTCTTGTCTACTAGTAACACAGAACCTTCTAATTTCTTCAGTCCCAGCTTAGTAGATAAAAGCCCAAAAGTTACAGGATTTTCTGAATGTGCATCTCCTGCAACTCCTTCTTCTGTTGCCTGCAGTTCCTCACCAGGTCTGTTGCAATACACACTTTGTTTCTGCTTCAAATCCTGCAATTTAACTTGTAGAAGGGTTTACTGGTAGTGAAGTAACAACTGATTTGTCATACTTATATTCTTGTTATGTCATATATATAGAATTATAGTGAATAATATTACAGTTTTTACCCTGGTATTGCATATAAAACAGTGGCAGAATGGTTGTGAGATATCTGGCATGGCAGTTTTCTGTTGCAATTCAAAACTGGATTTTGTAGTTTTGCTTCATTGTTTTTCCTTTGTTCACTTTTTACTCTGATGATGATCTTTTACCCTACCTTCACTCTTTGTAATCATATTTTCCTCCTTTATCTCACACACAAAAAATACTTTGCTTGAATGATTTTTTCTTTGTTCTCTTTTTACTTTATAGATGCTCTCTCATTCTCCTCTCTCTTTGTATTAATCTTGTTGTAGTGAATTTACTTTTTATTTTTGAAAGGTTAAATTAAATTTTGGTCCAAATAGTTTGCATTCATTTTCAATTTACTAATATTTCCCCTTCTGAAATCAGTGTTTACAGTTGCAAACATTTTCATAGCTGTTAATAACACTATCAGTTGACTATCTTGGGAACTGTTATAGGTGCTGCCTTACACAACTCTCTCTCTCCCTCATTATATCTTTTTTGGTAAAATGTTCTATGTGTGCTCCTTTTTTCTGTGAAGTGTCCCCTGGGAAGTCTTGTTGGTGTTAAATTCTTTTTAGTGTGTGCTTCTTTATTCATTAAGTGGTCTTTTAGATGTTCAATTTTTACTTCAAAATGTTTGATATGGCTAAACGGGTGGGGTTAGTACTACAATGGAAATTATGTTGAGTTATTTTGAAAATGTTTGTATGTGTGATGAATGATTTGTAAAGAGAAACCTTTAAGGACTAAATTCTAAATGAGTGTAAACATATGGACTAAAGTTTTTCAACCAAAAATAAAATCTCTTGGAAATCTTTCCTTGTTTTAGTATTTTTTACCAGAATTGGTTTTTTGACAGTTGGATTGCCGCAGTCAGTTTTCAACTGGTATTGAGCTACTGTTGCTTGTGAACACCTACTGAATCTTAGCTATTTTTAAAAAAAAAAATAGATAACATGGATTGTAGCGAGATGTGTTACACGTGACATACAATCCAGGATATTTGCAATGAACATCTTTCTATTTTAAAATCAACATCCAAAAGAATGATTAGTTATGTCAACATATTAAATCCATAATTGGAAATGAGTTTTTCGCAATGAACATCTTTCCATTTTAAGATCAATATCCAAAAGAATGGTTAGTCAAGTCAACATATTAAATCCATAATTGGAAATGAGTTTTGTGTTTACGCCTCATCTGTAAATGTCACATTTTTTTGCTTATATTCAACTCTTGACAAAATTGTTTGTTTGAGTCCCTCAATTTTCCTGTGACAATGCTGTACTGTTGTTGTATCTAATATGCTACTTGCTTTCCCTTTTATGTATTATTTATTTGGCAACACCTAACCTCAACTGTGTGCAGGTATGGATGATAAATTATTTGGAAAGACCACAAATGTGGACAACGATGTTAGTAATTTGATTGGTTCTCCTGCTACTGGTCCTGGGTGTGAAAATCATCTGCAGAGGTTTTCTTTTAACTTAGAGAAATTTGGTATTGATGCCTTGAATAATTTGGGTACTTCAATTATTGAGTTGGTACAATCTGATGATCCAACTTCTGTGGATTCTGGTCTCATGAGGTCCAATGCTATTAATAAGTTGCTGATATGGAAAGCTGACATTTCAAAGGTGTTGGAGATGACTGAATCTGAAATAGATTTACTTGAAAATGAACTGAAGTCGCTGAAATCAGAATCTGGGGACAGAAGTCTATGTCCAGCAGCATTGGGCTCCCAGCTGGTAGGTGGCAATGAAAAATCCTGTGAAGAACATGTTGGAGTCTCTGATAAGGTCATCCGGCCAGTACCCTTGAAAATTGTTTCCTCTGATGATCTCAATGTGGAGAAGCTGCCACTTTCAACTAATTTACATGGTGTTCAGGAAAATGGCAAGGAAGAGGATATTGATAGTCCTGGAACAGCAACTTCTAAATTTGTTGAGCCTCTGCCATTAACTAAAGAAGTTTCTTCATGTGTTACCATGGGGTATGATAATTTCTCTGGGGACTTGGATGCTGTTCAGTCCACTGCTGTGAAATGCTTACTTCCCTGTACTACTAGGAAAGAAGCTTGTGGTGATGGGAAAACATCTATGGAGGTAAAGGATAGCATGGATATTTTATATAGTACAATTATTTCTTCCAACAAAGAATCTGCTGACAGAGCTAGTGCGGTATTTGTTAAGTTATTGCCGAAAGATTGTTGGAAGAACGATAAGATGGAAGCTAGCAGTGACTCGTGCTCTCATAACATCATTATGGAAAAATTTGCTGAGAAAAAGCGACTGGCTAGATTTAAGGAGAGAGTTATTGCACTTAAGTTCAGAGCCTTGCATCACCTGTGGAAAGAAGATATGCGCTTACTGTCTATTAGGAAATGCCGACCAAAATCTCACAAAAAAAATGAACTAAATGTGCGAACTATCTGTAATGGCAACCAGAAGAATCGATCATCCATAAGATCACGTTTTCCCTTTCCAGGTATGCATCTTTCTCTCTGTTCTTTTGCTTAACTTATGCCCATGATTTTGCATCATCTTTCTTTGCATAATGTTCAGGTAGGGAAGTATGCTTTTTGGCTGATTTTAGATTGCAATATGTGCTTGTTTATAAAAAGAATAAAAAAGGGAGTGGTTAGTGTTATATCATTGGTTGGATTTTTGAAAAAGGAAAATTCATGTTGATTTTGGTACTTAATAGTGCTTGCTTTTTGCTTAGCACGCATATCTCTTTGTGAATGCAATATGTGGAGGAGGACTTGCATTGATTATTAATCAATTGGATTTATTTGTAATGTACCAAATTATTCATCAGCCTTTTTGAATGATTGACGTGCTTTTCAATTCATATTTAAGTATTGCAGCATTATGGTGTTGCTTTGTGAATTAACTGCTGGATCTATTTAGCGTTGTGCTGTTGCTTAAGTGTATAGGGATGTAGGCAGTGGTTCAATCTCGTAGTGTCATTTTACTAATGTGAATTAAAGAAATGATGGTAGCCATTTAAGGGAAAAAAGTTTGTTTATATTAATTATACTTGTATACTCCGTAAGAGAATAAAGTAGCTCCCTTTGGTTAAACAATATCATAATGTGTATGATATTCTAATTCTATTTATTATCTAGAAATTTGTTTATTTTTGTTATGATTAATAGCCTCCCTCAATGTTAATTTAGTGCATTTTACACCCATTTAATTCCTTGGAAATAAAAAAAATCATGTGAATGATGATTGGATTGATGAGAAAACAGAATCCATGTCTCAACCAGTGATTTGATTGATGATAAGCAAGTTTTTTTGCTACAGTTCTCTCCATAAGGATATGAGAAGGGGTTGATCAAAATTCCTATCTGATTTGGATTGCTGGCAATCAATTGAAAACATGCATGAATGAAAAATCAGATAGTTATGGTTTGTAGTTTTTTTAATAATTTAATCAAAGATATTTTCCTATTAATTCAATGGTATGTCTTCTAGTTCAGAACATATTTTGTTTGAATAGGGATTGCCTTTTATATATGAAGCTCAAGTGGTGGGTTAATGAGATGATCTCTGGCTAGAGTAACTGCTGTAAATAAACTTTTAAGATCAATATATTTGTGGCATGATTGAATATTTGACTTGGGCTTATACCTGATGATTAGACGTGAATCCAGCATGGTAATATGTATCATAGTGCTTTTGATACACAGTGGAGAGCTTTTTTTATAATAGCAATGTAATGATTACAAAATTATACAGAATATACTTTTACCTAATGATCGTAATTACAGAGATACTAAGTTCCCTAATTAACATATTTAACAGACATGATTGTAGTTTGTAGCTGTTTCATTCTATTGTTGACACTTGATCTTGTAGGAACTGGTTTCTTCATTGATTGTTCTCCAGGGCTGGTTTGCATGTTTTGATTTCTGTTGTTACCTTTCCTATTCACTTTTATTTGGTGTTCACTTACTAGCTGATACGTGGGTAGGTTGAGTTCTAAATTTTGTCAATGAAAATAGTACGTGGTAGGGTTCTGAACTGGACAGTTTTAATTTAATTAGGTTGAGAAATTTTGTGGTGAAGCACAGTTTGCATGGTAGATCAATATGAATTTAGAATATGAAAGCTGAAAATCAACAATAATATGGAGCTGCTGTTGCAGTTTATGATGCTGTAATTACATTGCCAATATTTCAGGATTATTTGTGATTTTGCTGTCACACAATTATCTTTGTATTTTATAATGGTTTTCTTCAATCCTAATTTATTTTTCCTTTCTGATGGATGATAACTATGCATCTTTTCCTTTGTTTTGTTTTCCTTTTTTCACTTTCTGCAGCAGGAAATCATCTAAGCTTGGTTCCAACATCAGAGATAATTAATTTTACAAGCAAATTGATTTCAGAATCCCAAGTTAAAGTTCAGAGAAACACTCTAAAGATGCCAGCATTAATTATGGATGATAAAGAGAAGATGGTTTCAAAATTCATATCTAGTAATGGGCTGGTTGAAGATCCATTGACTATTGAAAAAGAAAGGGCTATGATCAATCCTTGGACATCAGAAGAGAGAGAAGTTTTCTTGGAGAAGTTTGCTTCCTTTGGAAAAGATTTCCGAAAAATTGCCTCTTTTCTTGATCACAAGACAACTGCTGACTGTGTTGAATTCTACTACAAAAATCACAAGTCTGATTGTTTTGAGAAACTTAAGAAGCAAGATGTTGGTAAGCTAGGAAAGTCATTTTCAGCTAAAACTGACTTGGTGGCATCAGGTAAAAAATGGGATCGTGAATTGAATGCTGTTTCACTTGAGATTTTGAGTGCAGCTTCAGTGATGGCAGATGGCATTGCTGGTAACAAAAAAATGCGTGCAGGAGGCTTCCTTTTGGGGGGATATGGTAATAGGAAGACATCGAAGGGTGAGGAAATCGTAGAGAGATCAAGCAGTTTTGATATTCTTGGAGACGAAAGAGAGACTGCTGCTGCAGCTGATGTATTAGCTGGTATATGTGGTTCTCTTTCATCTGAGGCTATGAGTTCTTGCATAACAAGTTCAGTTGATCCTGTAGAAGGTAGCAGGGATAGGAAGTTCCTGAAAGTGAACCCTTTATACAAACCACCTTTGATGCCTGATGTTGCTCAGAATGATGATGATGAGACTTGTTCAGATGAGAGCTGTGGTGAAATGGATCCTACTGACTGGACTGATGAGGAGAAGGCAGCTTTTCTTCAGGCTGTATCATCTTTTGGGAAAGATTTTGCAAAGATAGCACGGTGTGTAGGGACAAGGTCCCAAGAACAATGCAAAGTTTTCTTCAGCAAGGCTCGGAAATGCCTTGGGTTGGATCTCATGCGCCCCATACCTGAAAATGTTGGATCCCCAGTGAATGATGATGCAAATGGGGGTGAGAGTGACACAGATGATGCATGTGTTGTTGAGACAGGCTCAGGAGTCGGCACAGACAAGTCTGGCACAAAAACAGATGAAGACATGCCTTTGTATGGCATGAACACATACCATGATGAATCCAAACCTGTGGATGCTAGGAATCTGTCAGCCGAATTAAATGAATTGAAGGCAATTGATGGGACAAAAATATATCTTGATGATGCAAATGTGGTTTCCGATGCTTGTGCAGTTAAGGTTGAATCTAAATGGGGCCCTGATGGTAGTGAAGTTGTCTTGTACGGTTCTAGTTCTGTCAGTGGACAAGCAACTCTAATTATGTCAGATGGCATGGAAGTTGGAAAAGATAATGCAAATAAATTGGGAGGTGCAGTGGCAGAATTTATATCTGCTTCAGATATAATTGAACCAAATGAGTGTAATTCTGTTACTGAGGATAGAATGGTTTCTGAGGTTTCTTCTGGGGTTCTTGAAACAGAATTGGAGAGGCAAGGAGTGTCTTCACCTCAATGTCTTGATGATGGAGATATTAAACCTGAAGCTGATTCAGGTGTAGTAGTTGAATTAAAAAGCTCCTTCCAAGATTTAAGCACTGTGGTAAATGCTTCACTTTCATCCAAGGGCAATTCTTGTTCAGGATTGAGTTTTGATACTGAAAATAAGCATGTGCCCCTTGGAAAGCCTTGTACTTCATTGTCTATGGAGGAACTTCATGCTACTGCAAATTCATTGTTGCAAAATACTGCTGCAGCTGATGTTCAGTGTGAGAAAACAACTAGCCAAGATCGACTGTCCTCTACTTGTGATATTCAGGGAAGTAGAGATATGCGGTGTCATAATTCCATTAGCAGTGTTGACCATCAGCTTCCCATTCCTGGGAATTCATCAGACCATGTTGATGCTGTTAGCATCCTTCAGGGCTATCCCTTGCAGGTGCCTATTAAGAAGGAAGTGAATGGGGACTCGAATTGCAGCAGTTCAGCAACTGAGTTGCCTTTACTGTCCCAAAAGATTGAACAGGCTGATGATCATTTCAAAACATTGCATTTGTCAGATTCTGATAAATCATCCAGAAATGGTGATGTGAAACTGTTTGGGAAGATACTAACCAATCCTTCATCTGCGCAGAAACCTAATGTGAGTGCTAAGGTAAGTGAAGAAAATGGGACCCATCATCCCAAGTTAGTCAACAAGTCTTCTAGTCTGAAGTTTACTGGTCATCATAATGCTGATGGAAATTTGAAAATTTTGAAGTTTGACCGTAATGAATATCTTGGCCTTGAAAATGTTCCCATGAGGAGCTACGGTTATTGGGATGGGAACAGAATACAGACTGGCCTCTCGTCGTTGCCCGATTCTGCCATCCTGCTTGCAAAATATCCTGCTGCCTTCAGTAATTATCCTGCATCTTCTGCCAAGTTGGAGCAACCGTCCTTGCAGGCATATGCCAAGAATAATGAAAGGCTTCTGAATGGTGCATCTACTTTTACGACTAGAGACATCAATGGCAGCAATGCTGTGATTGATTATCAGATGTTTAGAAGGGATGGTCCAAAGGTGCAGCCATTTATGGTAGATATCAAGCATTGCCAGGATGTATTCTCTGAGATGCAGCGAAGAAATGGTTTTGAAGCAATTTCAAGTTTACAGCAACAGGGGAGAGGAATGATGGGAATGAATGGCGTTGGAAGACCTGGAATTCTTGTGGGAGGATCATGTAGTGGCGTCTCAGATCCTGTGGCAGCAATCAAAATGCATTATTCCAATTCTGACAAGTATGGTGGTCAGACTGGGAGTATCACAAGAGAGGATGAATCTTGGGGAGGGAAAGGGGACTTAGGCAGGTAGTAGATGTGCTGAGCGGCAAAACTCTTCTTTTTGCCGCGCCCTGTATAATAGTTTTTGTTATTGCTCAATACAGTGTAGGGCGATTTAATGGTTCTCAAGCCCATCTTTTTGGTAAAATATTTAGGTGCTTGTAATATGGCAGCAGCTTTGTATTTGTTGTATTTGATGAAAATACAGAAATAATCTCTGAAAAAGTTAGGAGGGGCGATTGCCATTACCATTGCCATTCGGGATCCCTTGTCGCATCATCTCATTCTAATAATTCACTTGGTCGCCGCCTGGATATTTCTTTCTAGTTTTGACGATTCATTTCGAGACACTAATTTACTATTTCAGAGTGTGGCTCTAAACATGGGTAGTTCCCCTTAGTTTTCCCGCGTTTCATTTCTGGTTTTGCATTTAATTTCAATAATGAGACTGATTAGCGTCTCTTAAGTTACGTGTCTGATTTTCGCTAACAGGTTGTGTTGTTACCCGTGTCGGAGTATATTTTACCATTGGGAGCGCAGCTCTTACTAGTGTTATGACAGTTATTCCCTATCCATTACACGTCTTATACTCAAAATCATGTTTCATCAAGTTTTAACTAGAACGTTTGGCAGTTGGAAGACTTCATTCGGCGTGGGCCCTTCCTTATAGAAAATAAGAATTTGTTGCGATAATGCACAGATCATTCTAGCAAGTAATTTAATACAATAATTTATTTCATGGCGACTTCAAATCATAGGCCTATCACATAGCTTTGTATTAGTCAGCCACATAGCCATAGCCAAATTGGACAACACCATCACTCTTCTCTCAGGTTTATTATCGTTGCTGATACGAGTTCGATTGTGTGGTAATACATTTTTTAAGCTGATTTTACACGCTCAAGGTATCAATCTAATTTTTTTTAATAATTTTTATTTTTGGAGAAATGATTTTAAAGCATTTTTAAAAGGTGATTGTAAATTACTTGATTTGAACACCAAATAAACTAAATACACTAGAAATACTAGGTTCAACGATTATGAACACATACTAGGCATAAGCATATGGGCGGCAACAAAAAGAATCCATGGGTTTGAGATAATCCTAGTGCCATGGTTTGTCCTATTCGCAAATTTAGTTACCCATCATTCATTGCCCAAGATTTCCACTTTTGCCCAAATGAAATAAAGGAAAGAACTTTTGTCTTTAATCTGTTGAGTATCTTCTGAAATCTACAGCTTGAGCATAGACATTTCTCTATAGTCAACCAACTTCCACAGCTTGAGCAGTCTGGTGCATAATAGAAATTTCCTTAATCTCGTCTGGTGTCTGGAGGATGGAAGGTAGGGGTGCAATGATTTCAATAAACTGCGAGTTTACACAAAAAAAGTTAAACTTGGAAACTTGTCTGATGAAGATCATGAAACTGAACGGCACAAAGGGAGCCAATAGATACTCTCCAAATGCTATGACCAAATGGAAATGGCACAAGTGTAAATTTTGACTCTTAAATCAACCAATGATCGAAACTAATCCCAGACTAATTGAATTCCATTTCCGAATGACTAATCAAACAATCTTTGACGTCATACAAACCGCCCTAACAATTGATATTTGATATTAATACTTCGACATACCTCATTAGTTATTGGATGAGAGAGAACCAATTTATGTGCATGCAAGTAATACCCACAATCTCCAGGAACTGGTTGGGCAGGCCTCTGATAGCCCCTACACGAGCCGCAATTTGAAACGGATCAATTTTCAAATCAATATTACTGTATTTTTCTTAACTATTTAATTACAACATATTGAACGGCTGACCAAAAGAACTTAAGGAGTGAGGGATGATCCAACTCTGTATACGGAGAATTGATGCTCAAATTAGGCATCATATTTTGTCATCAAATGTTAGTTAATATAGATATAAAAAATATTGGATTGAATGCATCAATATGTTAGTAATAGGCCCAAACCCCTAATTAGAAAAGTGTATGTAACGAGGCCCAAAAGAAAAAGAGAAGTCCAATTAGTTGAGGAAAATGTAAATAATAAAGAATAAATAGGAAGGAGTGAGGGAAGGAAAATTAGGTGGTGAATTAATAATAGGTCAGTTGGAAAGAGACCAGGCTCTCAAAGACCTGGGATGTTCTTGTATTCCGTGATCCTTCCTCTAGATTGGGTGATTCTACCCAACAGAGTATACTCAATAAAAGCAGAGTCAGTATTTCTATTTTTTCTTCAAGAACTGAACTAGTTCCTTACAACTGATATCAAAGCTCTCGAACCTGGGAGATTATTCATGGTAGGATTTGAAAACCTGTTGGGGAAGCTCAAGGAGGACAGGCATGAAACCAAGAGACGGTTTGATGAATTGACGACCATTGTCAATCGAAAGAACCAGGAAGATGCGAGGTCGGCAGCAGAATCAGAGGACAGCGACAATGAGAGCAAAGGGAACCCCAAGCAATTGCAGTGGGACGAGTCGTCCATCCAGAGGAGATCAATGGAGGAAATTGGAAATTCTCCTATTTCCCAGAGACGACACTTATGGGTGGGTTAGTCGAGTAGAGAGATATTTTACTTTAAGGGGTATCTTGGAGCAAGAGAAGTTGCATGCAACAATGGTAGCAATGAAGGGCAAGGCACGAACTTGGTTCCAATGGTGGGAATTTTGTTCCAAGAACCTCACTTGGGAAGACTTCTGCACAGCTTTAATAGGGAGATTTCAGCCTGCAATGGCACAAAACCCGTATGAAATGCTGTTGAGTCTCAAGCAAAGGACAACGGTGGAAGAGTATCGTGAGCAATTTGAGTTGTATGCAAGACCACTTAAGGGAACCGATGCTAAGTATCTGAAAGGGATATTCTTGAATGAACTAAAAATATAGTCAAGGCAGAGTTGAAGTTGCATCAATTATCCACTCTACTAGCATTGATGGATTTTGCCCAAAGAATTGACAAGAAAAATTGTTATTGAGCCAAAGGGTTTCTGGAAGTAATAAGGTAGGGGGTTCACACAAAAGCTATCCTTCATCATGAATGGTGACATGAAAGACGGGAATTAGATCTGTGGAATCCAACCGTTTCTTATAAAGGGAGGGGGTTCAAGAAATTGACAGATGCAAAGTTTCAAGAGAAGACAAGAAAAAGATTGTCTCTAATGTGATGAGAAATTTGGTCTTGAGCATATTTGCATAAATAAGCAACTCAAGGTGTTAATCCTAAGCGACGATTTAAATGAAGTGGAAGAAAGAGGGTGTGAAGAAGAGGACGGAGCAAATCTTAAAAAATTACAATTGTCAATGTGTAGTATTACTAGACTAACTTCAAAAAATTCCATCAAAATGTGGGGTGGGATTGAAGGTGCAAAGGTGGCTGTATTAGTGGATTGCAGAGCATCCTATAATTTCATATCATCTACGTTTGTTCATGATATATAGTTACCTGTGACTGAGACAACATACACAATGGAAGTAGAGAATGGTAGAAGAATTAAGTGTAAAAAAGTTTGTTGTCAAGTAGCACTTCAAATTCAAGGACTAAAGATTCAACATGATTTCTTCAAATTTGACTTAGGTAGGGTGGATGTGGTGCTAGGAATGGAATAGCTGGCTGGCTTGAGGGAAATAAGAGCTAACTTCAGAGAACTCTCATTGAATGTGCCTGTGATAGGGGGAATTATGGTATTGAAAGGTGAACCAGGAATATCCAAAACTGTAGTGACTTTCAAGGAGTTGGTCAAGGCTTTACAAGATGAGGGACAAGGGTTTCTCCTAAAATGCAAACTCATCGAAGGCAAAGAATTAACTAAGGAAGTTGATGCGGATAACACTATTCCTCAGGAAATTCATAAAATTCTGGAGGACTTTGAGGAAGTATTTAGAGAACCAGAAGGTCTACCACTAGCAAGGAGACAAGATCATGCTATTATGTTGAAGGAAGGATTTGAAATACCCAATTTACGGCCATACAGGTACCCCTATTACCAAAAGACAAAAATAGAGAAACTTGTGAGTGATATGTTAGTCTTTGGTGTCATACAGCCGAGTGTAAGTCCTTATTCTAGTCCAGTCATTCTTGTGAAGAAACGAGATGGGGGATGGAGATTTTGTGTGAACTATAAGGCCCCTCAACAAAATCACAGTACCAGATAAATTTTCAATTCCCATAATTGATGAATTGTTGGATGAATTGGGAGGATCAATTATTTTTTCAAAACTGGACTTTAAATTAGGCTACCACCAAATTCAGATGTGGGAAGAAGATATTTCTAAAACTGTATTCAGAACACATGAAAGACATTATGAGTTTATGGTGATACCCTTTGGATTAACTAATGCTCCTTCAACCTTCCAATCTTTAATGAATGAGGTATTAGGCTCTTATTTGAGAAAGTTCGTCCTTTTTTTTTTTATGACATCTTAATCTACAATAAAGGTGAAGGAGAACATGCAAAACATCTTCAACTACTGTTGCAACTTTTGAAGGAACATCAATTATTTGCCAAGAGAAAAAAGTGCAATTTAGGCCAAAAGCAGATAGAATATTTAGGTCACATTATCTCAAACCAAAAGGTGGCAATAGACCAAAAAAAATTACAAGTTATGATGATATGGCCTACTCCTAAAGATGTGAAGGCGCTACGAAGATTTTTGGGCCTTACGGGTTATTATCAAAGGTTGTTAAGAATTATGAGAGTATTGCCAAACCTCTAACACAGTTCCTTAAGAAGGACAATCTTCAGGGGAGTAGGGAGGCTCAAGAAGCTTTTGATTTTTTAAAAGGTGCAATGGCTGTGTTACTAGTTCTCACTGTTCCAAATTTTACAAAAACCTTCATTGTGGAGATAGATGCCTCTAGCAGATGGTTGGGGGGAATTTTATTACAGGAGGGCGGACAAGTAGCTTTTCTCAGCCAAACATTATCTGATAGGGTTCAATTAAAGTCAGTTTATGAGAGAGAATTGATGACAATCGTCTTAGCAGTACAGAAGCGGCGCCATTATTTGATGGGCAGACATTTCATCATTCATATAGATCAAAGAAGTTTACGATTTTTGAATGGTCAACGATTATTTGGTGAGGAACAGCTTTGGTGGACCTCTAAAGTGATTGGATTTGACTTTGAAATAAAGTATAAACCCAAATGTGAAAATAGGGCTCAAAATGCACTGTCTAAAAAAATGACTTATGCTGCCATCTTTAAGCTTAAGTTTCAAGATTAGGAAGACTGGGCTGAAGAGGTGCGAGCTGATCCTAACCTAACAACAATTGTCCAAGGTCTCCTCAAAGAATCAAAAGCAAACCCAGGATTTTTCTTACAAAATGGTAAACTAATGTATCAGGGGAAGCTCGTTCTACCCAAAGGATCTTCATGAATTCCTATACTATTGTTTGAATTTCATAACTCACCACTGGGAGGTCATTCAAGTTTCTTTAGAACATACAAAAAGATAGCAGCCTTTGTATTTTGAGAAAGAATGAGGAAAGACATTCAGCAATATGTGACATCTTGTAATGTATGTCAGCAAAACAAATATCAAACTTTTAACACCTGCAAGTTTCTTACAACCCTTATCTATTCCCACACAAGTTTGGTCAAACATTTCAATGGATTTTGTAGGTCTCCCAAAAGTCCAAGGTAAAGACAGCATCATGGTGGTGGTTGACAGGCTCACCAAATAAGCCCATTTCCTGCCACTGGGCCATCCTTTAAAAGCGCGTGATGTAGCAGACATTTTTCTTAAGGAAATAGTCAAGTTACATGGATTTCCTGTCACCATTGTCTTATATCGGGATAAAATCTTCCTAAGTAATTTTTGGACTATACTATTCTAATTGGCTGGCACAAAACTTAAATTCAGTTCCGCCTACCACCCTCAATCCGATAGGCAGACAAAGATTGTTAATAAGTGTTTAGAAACTTACTTACGATGTGTAATGGGCAGCAAACTGAAGCAATGGTCAAAGTGGTTAAGTTGGGCTGAATTTTGGTTAACACCAATTATAGAAGCTCTACTAAGCTTAAACCATTTAAGGCCTTCTATGGGCATGATCCACCTCATCTTCTACAAGGAACTACAATTCCTTCAGTAGTAGAGGAAGTGACCCAATTAACACATGATAGAGACACTATTTTACATGATTTAAAGATGAACCTGCTGAAGGCACAAGATCATATGAAGAAATTTGTTGACTGCCATCAGAGGGAGGTCCTTTTGGGAGTGGGCGATTGGATTTACCTAAAGTTACAATCCTATAGATTGAAATCTCTTGCAAAGAAGATGAATAAGAAGTTACGACCTTGATTTTATGGCCCTTATCAAATTGTCAAGAGAATAGGACACGTTGCTTATCAATTGTCATTACCTGATAATAGCAGAATACACCCAGTTTTTCATGTGTCCCTATTAAAGAAGGTTATCAGCTCAACTCCTACACCCCAACCCCTGTCACTAATGCTATCTGAGGAGTTAGAGTTGCAAGTTGAACCAGGCAAAGTCCTGGCAATCTGCAATGGCCCTTTAGGAAGTGCTGAAGTCCTCATCAAGTGGAAGGATCTACCTGACTTTGAAGCAACTTGGGAGTCATTTGGGGTTATACAAGAACAGTTTTTAAAATTTCACCTTAAGGACAAGGTGAAACTTTGGAAGGGGAGTATTGTTAGCAATGTTGTTAAAATTGCGATTAAAATCGTAAGATCTTACAATCTATAACCTGCCTTGCGATCTTGATCAGAAGTAGGATCAGAAAACAACAAGATTGGGTACGATCTAGATTTTTCTCCTTAGGATCGTAGGATCTACAATCCGATCCAATCTTGGCAAGCAGGTTTATGGGTCAGTTTTTGGACTTGGTTACTTGGTCAGGTTTTTGGGACTTGGGTTTTTGGGTCGGGTTTTTGTGACCCAGTTTTTAATTAGGGCGTTTTTCACTCCATTTTGGAGTTACTTTTCCGACAACACCCAATCTTTTCGATGTTGGAGAAGATGATGAGAGCCACTTTGGCGCTGCAAAGAATGGATAACTAGCGAGCCTTCTTCATCAATTTGTTATGCCTCTTCAAAAACGTTACTTAACAAGTGCTTTTGTCCTTGATTCACTTTATTTCCACCTTCTTCTTCCCCATTCTTCTTCAAACCAAAATCATAGCTTCTTTTCTCTGAGAATTTCTCTTTTTTTCTTTCTTTGATTTTCTCACCATTCTGTTACGGATTAGCAGCAAAAATATCTTGTTCTCATGAGCATCTCAGGTTCATTCATAAATTGACACATTCAATCACCTATTGTTATTTTGACTAATTAATTGTCATTTCTTTTTTTAATAATATAATTTATTACTCACAACAAAACATATTTTACCAATCTTTATATTAATTTATTCTAATAGTTATTTTTTTATATTATAAAAATATTCTAACAAATTTTTAGAAATAATAAAATTTTAAAATATACAAATTTAATTATTTTATTTTATAATTGAAAATTTTTAAAATTGTCTTAAAAAATATAATTAACTTTTACCTAATAAACATTTTTAGAATTTATGGTTTTTAAGTTATGTTTAATTAAAGTATGTAATTTATTTTTTATGCTTTTATATATATGTGTGTGTGTATGTTTTTAAATATGGTTTTATATATTTAGTAGGATCTTACGATCTCACAATTTACGATTTTTGGCCTTCTTTCTGATTTTAGGTAAGATCCCGATCTTGACAACATTGATTGTTAGTAATAGGTCCAAACTCCCAATTAGAGAAGTCTATATAAGTAGGCCCAAAAGAAGAAGAGAGGCCTAATTAGTTGAGGAAAATGTAAATAACAAAGAATAAATAGGAAGGAGGGAAGGAAGGGAAATTAGGCGGTGGATTAATAATAGGTCAGTTGGGAGAGACCAGGCTCTCAAAGTCCTGGGATGTTCTTGTATTCCATGATTCTTCCTCTAGACTGGGTGATTCTATCCAACAGAGTATACTCAATAAAAGCATAGTCAGTATTTCTATTTCTTCTTCAAGAACTGAACCAGTTCCTTACACAATATAACAGTAGTTTAAATTGAAAGCTTATTTTTGGCAGAGGATTGTTTGCCCGCATGGCATAACATACTTACACTAAAGTATATCACTTGCCAAGATAGGAACAAACACTCAAGTGTTCTATACAAGTTTTATTGTAAAATATAATGCATGCACTCACCCATCTTCAGCAAAACTCTCGTTTATAAACTCACAGTCTAAGCATTTAGGTTGCCCACCAACACTGTAAAGAGGATCGCCTGCAAATAAAATCAAAGGAAAAGATAAATGGACAAAACTTGAATATTCATACTTTCGGTTCAAGTTTACTGAATGAGATGTAGTCAGACAAGACTCACGGGTCACGAGAACAATGTGAATGCCCTCATTATGCATATTACACAGAAATAGGAATGTAAATGCGTACTGATTAATATGTAAAGGATTTCAAGATTTCAAAATTAGCAGGGACATAAGCTGTTTAATATTTATCTCATAATGTTTAGAAATGATAATATGCAATCCACAGGGTATGTCGGTGACTCAGTGCAGGCCAGTTCTAAAAGAGACAGATTTTTATGAAAAAGTTTGATTTCAATAAAGTAAAACAAAACATACAACAAGTTAGCATAATCATATCCTGAAGCCTAACTAAACGAAGGATAAAATACTGAACTGACAAACTTAAAAAATCCCCAAATCATAAACATGAATTAACATTGAAACCCCAACACATAATCATTTCATTCTCCATTAATAACACCGTTACATTGGTATTGGCTTCACCAGAATTTAAAATTTGTAGACAAAACTGAAACAAAAGAAATATTTCCAAATAAAATTAAAATTAACTTCAAAGCTGAGGGGTGAAATGTTTGAAGTTTAATATGCATAGGAGTCAGTATTGATTAACTAGTAATCTTACTAAGGTATTGTTTGTTGGGTCCATCTTAAAAGCAATCTAGGTTTATTTCTCTTCATCTGAAGCACCATAAATAACTTAGTAGTAAATATTTACCCAACAGAGGATGGCCTATGAAAGAAAGATGAATGCGGATTTGATGTGGCCGTCCAGATTGAATCTTAACCTGACAAACAAGCCAACCAGAGGATGTTAAAAGTCTGAATTTGTAATTTTATTGTAGCCTTTTTATTTCTTTTCTCGCCACTTAAAAGGGATTCATTACAAAATGAATACAAGCAAAACTTTATGTAGCCAAGAAGTTACAAGTTGACATAAGAGCAAATAATCTTGGAATAACTATTCCTAGGGTGCAGTTTGATAACACATGAATGAATATTGAACAATATCTGGGAACATAGCAGTGCTGCAAATTATTTTAATCAAACCAATCTTCCATACAATGATCAATTATTAAAATGATGATAAATAATGGCAGTAGATAGTTTGACTATTACTTTTACCCTTTCGCATGTCATGTTTATCTAGGATCTTAAATTAACATGGTTGTTGACTCATAGATAGGAACAAGTGATCTTGAACATCAAATTCAGCTACCTGGACCAATGTGCTGTTTTCTTGTATGTTTCTCTCTAGAATGTTAACTTCACTGAGTGCTGGTTTTCCTGGTTCAATTTAAAACAACTATGCATGATTGGTTGATTAAGAATGTTATGGAGGGAAGTTTTAGGGTGAAAAGAAAACATTATAACAACAGAAGATAACTGGAAATTCATAAAGACGAGATTGTCTTTCCTTCTGAAACTCATCCATCTGAAAAAAAATTCTGATTAAAAATAACCTGATTGAGAAGCAACATATAACCCTTTACCAACACCAGGATATTTTACTATTCCAATTGGTTGATTAATAGTCACCTGTGAAGCAAAACAACCTTCAAGTTATACAAGCAAAATTAGTACATAAACAGAGCATGTAATGTTCAAATTAAGAATAAACTAACAACTTAAAAGTTCCTTGACCATGATTTTTAACATATCGCAGAGGCATGACAGATGTTTGAAGAATAGTAAAATAAACCACACTTACTAAAGTAGTTAATTTAATACCACTCTGAACAGATTTACTAAAATAAGCAAGAAAACAAAGCAAGAAAAATTATAGAATGGGAAATCAATTTTTATTGACAAACTATTCAAAATTATAAAAATTTGAACTATTGATTCAAGAATCAAGACATCTCTCAATGTTTACCAAACTTGTCTTATTCTTTAAAAGCTAATACTGAACAAATTCATTTCCATGGAAGTTCACACAATGTGTTAAATTAACTACACTCTATGAGTTACACAGCTTCTGTTGTATGCTGACTCAGTTTGCTGCCTCTACAGCTGTTTGATAGTCAGAAGGTTAAGGTTAGCAAGCTGTATCACAAAAGCTCTTTTTCAGTTGTTCCATTGAGCTAACATTCTAATAACACAATTCCATAGCTTCAGTTTCTCTCTAAAGTCAAAACATTTTCTTACTTTCTTGCATATCATTGTTTTCAGTTACAATGCCTAAAAAAATTCATGAACACAACAGCTACTTTAGTTTATTTTCAAACAGCATATATGGCAGTAAAATATAATCCATAGAAGTCAAAGATCTCCCATAGCATAAAATAAATTAATGCATTACTGAAAACATCTTGCGGCTGTCTTATTATTATTCATCATGAATAGGCAGAATGAAATATCCATGCTTTCTTAATCTCACACTATTCCCATCCTTCTTCCTTTCTTTGAAAAAATGTTAGTATAAACCTTATCATTATCAACTATCCCACTTGCAAGTGCTCGGTATAACTTTGCAATCTTCCCAAGCTCCTGGTTTGTATCTCTGATTCCATAAACAACAGCATACAATGAGTTAAACAAGGTAACTAAATATGAAATTTCAACTTTGAATTTGAAACTACTTTTTTCTGTGTTGTATCTAATTATCTTCTACTCTAGATAAGCAACAGACCACAAGGTAAACCTTTTTAAAAGTAAATTAGAAAATTCAAGAAACCAAAAAGATAGCTCGTTCTGAACCTTTTTCCACCAATATGGGAAGTTCCATCAGCAAAATAAGATGCCAGACGACCTCTGGCTAGTTTTGTCTTTGCACATAATAAAATTCCTGTGATGCAATCAATCAATCATAAAAGCATTAGAAAGTGTCATGGGTTGTTATTTATAACATTAGAAGGGTATTAAAAGATAAAGATCTAGTCATACGTGCATAACATGTCTGGTAGTAATCACTATATAAATACCACTACTGCTTGTAGTTAAATAATCAACCAAGAAAACAGTAATTACTTAAACTTTTCACAAATGATAAAGTTTTTATATTATACTAAAATAAAACTAATTTTCTCTCATATAGATCTGAAACTTACTTTGGTTCATGAATATAATATTTTCCGGCATACTAAGCATCAGATTACAGATAGAATCTATCACTTTCACATTTCAAGAGAAATATTCAGTATAACCTGAAGTTCCCCTCCCTAGGCGATGTACTGGAACAGGATGAGGTTTTTTGTGCATTTCAAAGGTACCCTGATTGTTGGCTTTCCATTGAAGCTGTGTTAAAACTGTCCTTTGCTGGAAGAGACCTCCAGGAAGAACTTGCAGGCCAGAAGGTTTATTTAGAGCAATCTGAGTTCATAATCAAATTTCCAATAACATTTTAGAAGGGAGAAGCAAAAAACTGTAGACAACTAAATCCAAAGGTGATTCACTACTCATTGGGAGCATTCAACCAGAAACAACAATATATCAATTTAATTAAGAGACAACTTTCTATCTTACATTTCCCTTCTTCTTGCAAACCCAAACACATTTTGACTATATTACACTAACAGATGAACTTCATCATTGCCATCTAAAGCATCGTTAGTAATGAAAATCATTTCAAACCTTTGATTTAAATGTTTTGTATAATTAATCAGACAAACCAGTCATATAAAACAAGTAGATATATAAACAATGGTGCATAGAGTAATGCTAACCATGTCATCATCTTCATACAAGACTTCAATCAGGTGTGGTGCATCAGGTTCCTTCCATGGAAGTCTATGATAGACTAGCTTTGAGTCAACTCTAATATAAATAAATTAAGAAACATCATATAATGGAATAAAACAATGTATTATAAAGGAAAACAAATTTCTTTCAAAGAACCTGAGGACTGTGTCGGGATCAGTAGCAACTTGTCCATCAACTGTTATCTGTAGATGACACTAATATTATGTCAATCATCCATTCAGACGATGCATTCCATATAATCAACAATTTCAGATATTGATGACCAAACCTGCTCACTTTTTATACGCTGCAACCAACTGTTAAAAAATTAGTACATGTGATTTTCATTGTTGTTTCAAAATAACAATAGTAGTATGTTAACAGAAATTTTTTCTTCTCAGGTAGGAGAATTGTTATGTTATGGGAGAAGAATAAACAAAAGTAGGGTCAATAATCTTCCTAAAACAACTAAAACAAAAAAAGGCCCCGGAAAAGTGAGATGCATGACAAAAGCATAAAATACGAAATATCTCTCCAATACTTCGGCAAATCTAATAAATCAACCCACTAAAAAAAACTACGAAAGACATCGAAACATAGGTAAGAAAACCATTCTATCCCAAGAAAGATGCACTGGGAGAAACAACTGACCAAAATTCATAACTTCAGTTCAATGGTCTCTCAATGGTTGGCAATAACTTGTATTCCCATACCCATTGTATGAACTGTCATCTTAATGTACTTATTTCATTTTCCCTCAGCTTTTAATAACATTTCAAAATTTCAATCAATAACCTTTGACCAGGTCATGAGTATATTTCATTTGTGAGCAAATAAAAGGAGAAAATATTGAATATTTTTGATAAAAAGGTAAGTGGGTCACCCCAGTAATGGAGCAGAACTCTTGTACTTGGTGGAGTAAAATTGAATGAGAGTGAACCCTGAAATTGTAACAACAAAAATGGCATAAGATAGTGTTGAGTTTCAATATATCCAATCCATAATAAAAGAGAAACGAAAAGTTGAAATAGAATTGAAGCGTTCTCCTTTATCAATTAAATTAGTTGAAAGAGGTAGAAGCATTGACAGAGAGAGAGAGAGAGAGAAGTGAACCGGCATCAGAGGGTGAAACGACGTCGTGGTAGGAGAGACCGTCGTTGAATTCCGGCCAAGGAAATCCAAATTTCTTAGGACTCGACATTGAGAAGCTCCCAACCTCAATTCAGAAGGATACTCCCAGCACCCTTCATTTCCTGCTTTCTGCTTAATTACCCCATTAAGATTGGTTCTTAATTCTTTTTTCACTAATTAAGTTTTTGTTTATTTTTAAAATTAAGTACAATTGGTTTTATAATTTTTTCTATTTTAATTATTTAAATCCGTTATTTATTTATCTGAATATTTATATTTTATAATAATTTGAAGTGTAAAATAGTTTTAAAAGTTTTAGTGTAAGAAAGTTAATAAAAATAAAAATAAAAATTTCTTTTGTATGAAAAAAATTAATTATATAATCTGATATTGGGGTTTAAATTTTGATTGATGAGTTTAAATAAAAATGTTTAATATAAACGGATTTAATTCATACAATTTTTAAGGATAAACTTTTTTATTTTATATTTTTAAAAAAATATTAAGAGGATTAATAAAAAGATGCTATACAAAGATATAACATTGTTCTATAATCAATTTTTTATATATAAAATAATGATCCAAGAATCATTTATAAAAAAAATACGGCCAATTATTACATATGAACAATAAAAGAACTAAAAGTGGAATGAGAAAAAACTAAACAGAAAAAAAATCAATATACATATCTAAACTTCAGGGAAAAAAATATCAATTTTTCTTGTCCTTCTTACTGACAATAGCTTAGCTAACTTTTCAAAAGATAATACATTATCATTGTAAATATTAAATATATTATTTCCTTTTTAGTAGTAATCTGTTTACGTTACCTAAAATAGTGGGCTTGCAATTGGATTCTGTAGTGATTTGTTGTATCATAATTATAGGAGAAACTATAAGAATCCGCAGGAATCTGTTTAGCTTAATTATAAGGACCGTAAGATGTATATATATGTAATCATATTGGCTGAATGAAGGGCATGTTACCATCAGAATTTCTTTAGGATAGCTCTGATTGAGAAAAGAGCTCAGAAGCGAACAAAATGGTGGGAAACAATGATGAACAGATCCATGAAGAAAAGGATCAACCTAAGATAGTGAAGAAGACACCATCTCCATATGATCTGAATTCCAGTGACAATCCTGGAAACATCATTACTCACAGGGTGAGAATTACAATGAATGGGCAAGAGTTATGAAAACCTCATTGCGCGCACGACGAAAGTAGAGTTTTGTTGATGGTACGATACAACAGTCAGAAGAAGGGTCTTCTGAAATGGAGGACTGGTGGACTATGCGATCTATGTTGGTGTCATGGATTCTGAATACTATTGAACCAACTTTGCATTCTACTATCTCTTATATGGAGAATGCAAAGGAGTTGTGGAACGATATTAACGAACGTTTTTCAGTTGTGAATGGTCCCAGAATTCAACAACTGAAATTAGAACTAGCTGAGTTCAAACAAAATGGAATGGTCATGGTGAATTATTACGGAAAGCTCAAAACCTTGTGGGATGAGTTAGCCAATTACCAACAAATACTGGCGCGTATATGCAAAGGCTGCCCCTGTAATGTTAAAACGCAACTGGAAAAACGAAAGGAGGAAGAAAAAGTGCACCAATTGCTGATGGGGCTTGATGACTCATTATATGGTACAGTGCGCTCAAACTTACTTGCTAGTGATCCATTACCTTCGCTGAATCGCGTGTATGCGACTCTAGTGCAAAAAGAACGAATGAAGACAATTGCTAGAGCCAAAGAAGAACATGGAGTGGTTATGGGCTTGGCAGTACAAGCTGGTGTAGGGAAAAGAGGATGGGTTGATACAAGGGACAAAGGAGTAGTACGTAAAAACTGTAATCGAACAGGTCACGAGCCAAGTCTTGTTTCAAGCTAATAGGATATCTAGATTGGTGTGAAGATAGGCCACGACATGTAGGGAACACCACTGCTCATGGAAAAGGAGTTGCAATTCGTGGGAGAGGCACGAATATGCGTACCAATGCTGCCCAAACTACAAATGCAGGAACCAACACTCAAATAACAAATGCAGACAAAGGTGCTTTAACAGGTTTGAGTAATGAACAGTAGCAGATGTTGACGGACATCCTAAATAGTCACAAGAGAAACACCAATGAAAAAATGACAAGTAAAGAGGCAACATAGATTATTGACACAGGAGCTTTCAATCATATGATAGGAAACTTGAGATCTTTGCATGGGATAAAAACTGTGCAAGGATGCCCAGTAGGATTACCCAACGGACAACAAGCGATGGCAACTAATGAAGGAACAATCATTCTTGAAGGCGGATTGAAACTGGAAAATGCTTTATGTGTGCCCAAATTAAATTGCAATCTAATATCTATATCTCAACTGATAGTTGCAACCAACTGTATAGTGCAGTTCACTAATTCTCTTTGTGTTATACAGGACCGCACTTTGAGGATGTTGATTGGTATGAGTGAACGAAGAGATGGGCTTTACTACTTTAGAGGGGTTCACCATGAAAAGACCTTCAAAGTTAATGGAGTGTGTTCATTCGATCTCTGGCATAGACGCATGGGGCACCCCTCAATGGAAATTACACGACTGGTTTCTAATGTCAGTAACAAATAGAGTGAATTAGCAAATAAAACATGTGATATGTGTCATCGTGCGAAACAAACTAGAGATAAATTAAATTTTCTTTGAGTAATCATAAAGTTACTGCATTTTTTAAATTAATTCATTGTAATTTATGGGGTTCTTATCGAATTCCATCTCCCTGTGGTGCTTATTATTTTCTAACTATAGTAGACGATTTTTCTCGTGCAACTTGGATTTATTTGTTACTTGATAAAAAGGAAGTTTCACAATCTTTGCTAAACTTCGTGGCCTTGGTGGAAAGGCAGTTTGGAAAGCAAGTAAAAATAATACAGAGTAATAATAGAACGAAATTTATATGCTTAAAGAATATTTTTCTTAATCGAGGGATTGTTTTCCAGACTTCATGTACAGGAACACTCCAACAAAATGGTCAGGTCGAAAGAAAACACAGACATATCCTCAATGTTGCACGTGCCTTGCGGTTTCAAGGAGATCTTCCTATCTCTTTATGGGGAGAATGTGTATGACAGCTAGATATTTGGTAAACAAGACGCCAATATCTTTGTTGAATGGAAAGTTACCATATTAAGTGCTTCACGGGAAACCTCCTTCTTATGACCATCTTAGGATATTTGGTTCTCTATGTTATGCACATAACCAAGGAGCGAAAGGAGACAAATTTACAAGTAGAAGTAACCTCAATCTCACAAAGTTGACCCAATTGTTGAAGACAGGGGCAGTATTGTTATCGATGGCCACGACAATGATGAAGCAACAATGGTAGAGCTTGGACGAGGCAGCGAAATAAGTTTCCTTCTGTAAAGCTTCGCGACTATGTAACTAATACAGTTCAAGGACTATGCCTGATCTCTTGTTCACCTATTCCACAGCATACTCCAGGTGCACCCTATCCCATAGCACATTATGTGAATTGCAATAGTTTTTCTAATCAACATCGCAGGTTTCTTGCTGTTGTCACCACTGACAGAGAACCCACCACTTTCTTAGAGGTAGTGAAGGATGAGCGATGGCGTTCCGCCATGCAACATGAGATCCAAGCACTTGAAGATAATAATACATGAACCCTATGCCACTTACCCCCTACGAAAAAGGCTTTGGGATGTAAGTGGGTTTACAAGATCAAGCACCACTCTGATGGCACCATAGAACGATTCAAGGCTCGCCTTGTTATTCTTGGAAATCATCAAGTTGAAGGGATTGACTATAAAGAAACATTTGCCTCGGTGGCAAAAATGGTCAATGTTCGTATTGTTTTCTAGCAATGGCTGTAGCAAAAGGATGGGAACGCCATCAAATGGATGTGCACAATGCCTTCCTCCATGAAGATTTGCAGGAAGAAATGTTCATGAAGCCGTCACCTGGTTTTCATCCCTCTCATCTTGGTATGGTGTGTAAACTGCAAAAATCATTGTACGGCTTAAAACAAGCTCTGCACTACTGGTTCGCCAAGCTCTCTTCAGCTCTAAAGAGGTGCGGGTTCCAACAGTACTACTTAGATTACTCTCTTTTCACTTTGTTTCACAAATAGGTGCACTTTATTGTGTTAGTCTACGTTGATGACTTAATTGTTGGAGGTAATGATTCTGCTGCAATTCAGTGATTTAAATCTTATTTAAGTCAATGCTTCCATATGAAATATTTGGGTAAGTTGAAATACTTTCTAGGTGTTGAAGTCGCCCGATCACCACGTAGGCTATTTCTTTGTGAGAAAATATGTATTAGATATCATCACTGAAGCAGGACTCCTTGGTGCAAAACCTGTGATTACTCCGATGGAACAAAATCATCATCTCGGTCTTGCCAAGGGACCCTCCCAGATAAGTATCGACGATTAGTTGGTTGTCTCATATATTTGTGTTTTACAAGGCCAGAACTATCATATTGTGTGCACATTCTTTCTCAATTCATGCAACAGCCTCGTATGGAGCATTGGGAGGCTGCCTTGCGTGTGGTTCGCTACCTCAAAGGCACTCTGGGGCAAGGAATTTTGTTGGATAGTACTTGTGATCTGCGACTAACTGGGTGGTGTGATGCTGATTGGGCTGCTTGCCCTCTAACTAGACGGTCCCTTACCGGATGGATTCTTTTCTTAGGTCATTCCCCTATCTCTTGAAAAACTAAAAAGTAGTATATTGTATCTGGTTCTTCTGCTGAAGTTGAGTATCGCTTCATGGCTGCCATTACTCGTGAACTAAAGTGGATCAAAAGTATACTATTGAGTATCATTCCATGCCTATGCATCTCAACTGTGATAGCAAGCTCCTCTTCACATTGCCAAGAATCTCGTCTTTCATGAATCTACAAAGTATATTAAAGTTGATTGCCATTTTGTTCATAATGAGATTATCAAAGGGACCTTGCTGCCTTTTTATGTTTCCACGCACTCTCAACTCACAGATATATTCACCAAGGCATTGGGGGCGTGCACCGTTCTCTTCTTTCCTTACCAAGTTGGGCATTCAAAAAATCTTCATGCACCAACTTGAGGGGGTAATACAATATCATTGTAAATATTAAATATATTATTTTCTTTTTAGTAAGAATCTGTTTACGTTACCTAAAATAGTGAGATTGCAATCTGATTCCGTAGTGATTTATTGTATCATAATTATAGGAGAAACTATAGGAATCCGTAGAAATCTGTTTAGCTTAATTATAGGGACCGTAAGATGTATATATGTAATCATATTGGCTCAATGAAGGGCAGGTTACCATCACAATTTCTTTAAAAGAGATTCAACGATTTGGAAACAAATACTTTGAGAAAATGAAGCATCGTTTTATGAAAAAAAAATGTTAGTTACGTAAAAAATGTTATTGGCAAACAATATTTTAAAAAGATTACTGGGATTAACTTTTAAGCACTTATGAAATATTCTTCTCATTAATGGAATTAATGGAGTGAAAGCAATAAATAAATAGTTGAAACATTTCATTCAACTATATAAATCTAGAAAAAGGAAGAACTTTCTGAAAAGAATTGGGAACAACAGTTATGGCTTGCACTCTGTCAAACGTGGAATAATTCAGACCCCTAAATTAGACTAAGTCAACGCTCCTCTTTTAGTCAACTAACTATTGATAAAATATTACCATCCATCTTTAAAGTTACTTTTAAATAATTATTATATTTTTATTAAAATTTATTAATTTAAATATTTAAAATTAATTTTAGAGATTGATGTTAACAAAATTATAATTATACAAGCTTGTCATAAAATGTGTTCCTTTTTAAACTGAAAGAGGAGTTATATATATAAAGAGAGAGTCAATCAGAAAAATCTATATTTCATCACTCATTTTCTGCCCTATTCACTTGCTGTTTATCAACTCATTTTGTGTGTAATTTTTCATCAGCGCGAATTTTCTAAACATGCAAATGAAAAGGCTGATTATTTACTTTCTGATAAACATACATTAGGCTTCCTCCCAATGACAGACTAATCACACTCAAATGCCAGCAAAAATTTCGTCACTAAAATAATCGAGTAATAATATAAATAAGTAACAATTTACAGAATCAAATTTTCTGAAACAGACATGGTAACTAATTGGTATGCCAATTTAGTATATAATACACCTATATAAATCATTCCAAATTCCCTGCCTGTTCTTGGTGAATCATTTCTCGCTCTCTCTATATATATACACAACACTCACCATTACAACTAGATAAATAATTAACCGTAAATGAAAAAGTAAATAAATTAAGAGTTTACAAATTAAAAATTACAATAAATATAACTTTTAAAAATTTAACTTTTCTCAATGATATGATAATTTATAATTAAAGAATAATATAAAAATTTTATGTCAGTATATCTCAATTAAATTCTTAAATTTATTAAGCAGCAAATAAAAACACAAATAAGGTATGAGAGAAATTGCATATGTAAATATCATTACTCGATAAGAGAAACAGCGAAGGAAGATTACCAAGTAAATTCTTTCCCATTTGGCAGGGTGCGTTGAGGATGAATTAATGAAACATGCAAATAAAGCCAACAAGCTACTGGCTTGTTATTTACTAGAGTTTTAGCATACTTGAAATGGGGCATAAAATAATAACTAAAGAGGAAAATCTAATTGAGAAAACATTGTTACTTTTATTTTTGCCAACTGAGGCATTCAGAGTGAATAGGGAGAACCGAAAAAGGAGTAACAAATTACACACTGAGAGAAGAGAGACAAATTACACACTTGTAACAAATTAATCATCAACAAAATACATCCGTTGATGAAGTAGTTCCTGCCAGCTGAAGAGAAACTGCATTCCAATCCACAGTATCATTGCAGTGCCTTTCTTTTGTTTTAACCATTGGTAACTGGACTGGACCAACATCAGAGGTTTCTTTTATAGACAACTTTTTTGCAGCAATTGCCTTCATCCTGTACCTCTCAGCTCTTGAGCCAATTACTTGGCCTAACACTGATGCTGCAATTGTAAATGCCATAGCCGATTTAGGCATTAGGACAGTCTTCCTTAGCATTGCAATGAATGGAACAGCTGCATGGACTGCAGCAAACCATGCCGGCGAAAATTTCTTAGTATGTTCTCTCCATATACCCAAGGGAACATTAGCTGCCATGCCCAGCATCCCAATAACGAGAACTTTTGTAGGCAAGGACTGAGGGCGGAGGTTCTTTGCAAATGCAGTGCGTGCTAGAGCTGCCCGGGCTGCAACTACTGCTGGTGGGCACTTGAATTTCATGCCTGGAGGAGGCTGAATAACCTTTGCAACAAGTGGAAGGACGTTACTAACTGCCCGGTATGACTTTGCAATAGGGCAGTTCCCATTTTGCAGCCACTCATTGCCTGCTGCCTCGTGCTTTGAACCATCCTGAACATCAATTAAATGCATGTTAGGGACGCTGAAAAAATAATTTAAATCATGACTGAAGTTTTTACTATTTTAAAATGTGTAAAAACAAATATCTCAGTGATTCTCTTTGACTACAGAATTTCTTAAACCTGCCCGACGTCCATAAAAAAGGAAAATGAAAAATCAAGTTAAGAGGTCCAAACATGTTATTTATTATTTTAAAACCTTTACTAGAGAGACTATGGAAAATGTCTTGGCAGTGGCTAGAACAGTAGATTGAATGTTGAATACCTGTGAAGAAGGTTCATTTTTTGAGGATTTCGATTTTCTTTTCTGGTTGTTCCACTTCTCAGAAAATGAATCAAAACCAAAAGGTCCACCAAATCCAAATGATGACAGGCTAATAGTTGCTGCCTTTGCAGCTAAGGGATTGAATTGAGATTTGGGAGGCTCAGTCTGTACTTTCTCTGAATGCCGAAAAGATCTGTCAGATAGGGGGACTACACCATCACTCCCATGGAAAAGCCTAAATGCCAAATCAAAATTGGGACCATCTTCAAAAATTGGACCTTTAGCTCCACGCACCTGTGTAAGAGACATATTATGTAAGTATGATGATTTTTATCAAGAATAATAAAAGAACAAGTAAATGATGTTTCTTGCACCATGAAGGGACAGGCATCATTAACATGAAGGTAATGGTGTAAGAGACAGATAAATCAGCCTAGCTCAGTAGATAGATCTAAGAAGACAAATATGGCAGGCATCATACTCAATAAACATGTCCCAACTATGCAACAGCAAGACATTTTCAGTAAACATGGTCAGTTACAGCACAAACCCATATTATGCTGGCTAAAGTGAAAGATAAAATGAGATTTATATCAACTATGAAGGAAAACTCACTGGCATTGGGAGAGCCAAGGGTGAAGAGAATGAGAAGTTAGTAGGCTCATTAATGTTCCTCAAGAATGGACATCTAAGCACAGAATCCTCGTTTATGTCTCTACCAAAGAAGTCCATTCTCTCCTTCAAATTTAAAAGACCTGCAAAAGGAGGGAGATCATACATAGGAATTTCTCATGGAATTATGGGCAAGAAACACAAACTCTGGAGGGTTCAGTGAGTTCAATGCTAAGAATTTTGACAAACAAAAACTAAATGAAAACCATAAAGAAAAACATTTAAAATCAAACTAAATTTCTGAAATTCTTCTGGTAAAGAAAACCAAAGATATGCACACAAACCCATGAAGTTCATGTGAGGATCCATCATTCAACACCTAATACAATACTTAACCCATATGATATCACGAAGCACACGGGCACGATAAAAAAAAATTATGATTTTTCCGTTCAGGTAAAGAGAAAATAACTCTAAAGTCTACACTTGTAGAGACTTGCACCTTGGACCTGAATTATCCCCCACCCCATCGTCATTGAATCAAATAAAAAAGGCTACAATAAATATCAATCAGCAACTCCACATTTAAGCAAGTTGAGCATTCCCACTATCCAACTTGCGTTGATTCACAACACCAGTGGTTCTATCGTCCCATTCACCGCTTAACTTTTGCATCTCCAATAGTCAACCAAAGGGCAAACGAACGAAGAATTTAGATCTCAAATGATGTTTTTGGATTCAACACCCTCACCACGACCCATATTTAAAATTTGCACAAACACACGAAAGAATAAGCATAATAACTCAAACCCATTTAAAAAATTCGCCTATTAATTCGAATGAGATGAAAAAATAAATAAAACCTTTCCTATAAAACCAAAAACGCAAAAATAAAATAAAAACCCATCCATTATAGAGAAAAAAAGGTGCAAATCACCCAAATTAACATATGAAAATTTCGATCCAATTGCCTCACCGCAGAAACAGAGAATCAATTACCAGCCGCAACATAAAAAAAATAACGGAGAAACTATAAAAATAAAAAAGGAAAAAACTGAAGCGTTAATTAAGGGAACGATTAAACGATGCAAAAGGGTACCTTCAGGGGATTGCAAGAGGCACACGCCAATTCAGAAAGAGAATGAGAGGAAGGAATAAGAACGTGGTAGGTGAAAAAGAAGGTAATGGTAACGCTAACTGCTACACAACGTGCTTTCTTTTTCTCTCTTCTTCCAATGTTATTATTATTGTGGAAATTTGTTTTCGCAGCAAAATAAAAACTGAAAGAGGGAAGAATAAAGAAATTAGGTCAAATATGGCTGTGGCTTGCACACGCCAAAGCAGTCCCGACCAAAGTTGAATAGTAACAAGGGATGAATCATGTTTTCGGTTTGAAATTTGATATCTTGTTTTTAATATGCTAAAATTGTTTTTCTTTTTATTTTAAAAATCTGCTAAATGAAATAATCTAGAAATATTTAAAGGGCGTTTGAAACCCATTTTAATTCTATTTTATAATGATTTATATTAAAATAATATTTTTAAAATGTGCATATGCAAGTATGCAACACATGTTGGCAATGAATTTTTGTAATATTCTTTTCTTTTAAAATCCTCTTAAATAATTTTAAAAAGAATATTATTCCAAAATAAGTTAAATTAGACATGCACTTGTGTCTCTCTGTCAATCATAATAATTTCAATCAATATTTTAAGAAATAATAACATAATATTTCATTTTATTCTAAATAAGCGTTTAAATTAAAATGCCAAAGAAATTATATTAACTAATTTATATTAACTACAGTAATATTTAAGCTTGTATTTTATTATTGTTGAATCTACTTTTCACTTAATATTTTAACAAAATTTCTCACTCGTCACATCCTTTTAATATTACCCTGATTTATTTTTATTATTACTTTTTATACTTTTTTTAGTAAAATATTTAATACTTAAATAAAATGGAAAGAGTTTAAAATTCTTTAAACATGTCTTTTTATGTTATTTTATACATATCAAATAAATAAATAAGTTAGTTTAATAGCTCTCAGCTAAAATTTGTTTCTAATTTTCATATAAATTATCAACTTAAATTATTTGTTTAAATGTATACTTAAATATATTTTAATGTAAAAAAATTCTCAAAAATAAATTTTCTTTCTTTGAAACTCTTATCATTATTATCAACTAATTTTGAACTTTTGTTATTGACCTTGAGTCTTGAAAGATTAATGAAATGATTTTTCAAAATTTCAAAGTCAACAAGATGTGTATTTAAAAAAGTTGTTTAGCGTTGCTAAAAAGTATATATTTAAATAAATAAAAGTGCATCACATTTTAGGACCCGAATCTCTTGCATTAAAATTTTTTACATTCATTATCTAGTGACTCGTTTTTTTTTTCTTATATTTTATTAATTTTGTTAAATTTAAAAAATAAAATGAAGGGTTCAATATTTTATTTTATTTTATTTTTCTTCTCTGACTACAGAAGATCCATACTCCACACTTTGCCTCCTATGAAAGAAAGTGAAAATTTGAAAACAAGAAATAATAGAGTTTAAAAAACAAAAATAATTAAGGTATTATGAATAATGTTGTATTTTGTTTTGGTCAAATGTGTAGGCATCATGGGGATGGGTGGGGTTGGAGTTGGTATAGTTATGGTTTTGGTAGCTGCACGCTTCTTTGATTACATCAAAATCTGAAGATTCTCGATTCTCTTCACACCTCTCTTCAATTGCTAATTTTAAGCTATTGCCTCGTCAGAGTCGTCACTTGCTTTCTTCATTTCAATTAATTTATTTGGTTGCCCCATGGACCATACATAGGGAAGTACTATAGTTTTGTATAAAAGAATTTCAACATCACACTTTTAATATTTTTAATTATTAATTAAAATTCATTAAAAAATATAAAAATCATTTAAGTCTTATTTTTTTATTTTTCTACAAAATAAAAAAAATTACAATTTTATATATAAAACTTTTCCACATCATCGAGAAGAAATAATCTTAAATATGTAGTTAAATATGTAGGAGATACGATATAATATTTAAAATTACAATATAATTTTTTTTAATTTATCTAAACAAATTTATACATACATTATTTTCACTTAAAATATATCTTATAATAATTTGTCAGTCTTTTTTTATTTATCTATTTATATTTTAAATAATGTTAACATATTGTTATATATATATATACATATATTTATTTATTTGTGAGCGTGGTGGTACGGATAGCAAAGTTAAAAGGATAACTTTTGCGTATTAAATCATATATTTCCTATTTCCATACACACCGTGCGTTAATAACAATGGACATGATTCTCTCTTTTTTTAAAATTTATACAATTCAATAAGCTCCAATTAGATCGATTGACATATATTCTATTTACATACGCTTCAATTGAAACTTTATGATCCATTAATAGAAGTTTCATGATAAGTGCCTTAAACACGTTATTAAGGAATATTTAATATGCTTGTTAAGTAGTTTTAAAATGAATCTATTTATTAGGAGAATATTTATTTTAAATTAAATTCACCATTTATCAAAATAAAATATTATTATTTTATATTAAAAATTATTAACATAATTAATACTTAATTCTAAATTATGATAACAAGGTGATGATAACGAGAGCAAGACCATTATAGTTTATATTAAGGACAAATTTTTTTAAAAAAAGGTTCAAATAATTGAAATTATAGTTAAATATTTGTTTTAACTAGTTAAGACTATTTAATTATTTTTTGTGCTTACAAATGTTATTATGTAATATTTTTTAATATATGTTATTAATTTTAAGAAAATGAGCCGTTTGCATAAGTCTATTTTTTAACACAACCTACATTGGCTTATATTAAGTTGGACAACCCCAAATCAACATGTCTGCCTACACACTCATCTAATTATAAATGTGTAACATCCTAAAAATATTTTGCTCATATTAAATGTATTTGTAACACTCTGAAAATAATTATATACACCGAAGTTAAAGAAGCAAAAAAATTACCTACACCAAATAAAATTAACATTTGGACAATTGCCATATAAAAATATAAATTTTATTAATTTTAGTTATCAAGATTAATTTTAAACATTTAAAGATGATAAATTTTTAATAATGTTAAAAAAATTATAAATAATTTAGAATAAATTTGTATTACTATCTTAAAAAATAATATTAAAATATTGTTAAGAATAAATAACTTGCAACTTGCGTACGCATGGAAAACTTAAAAAACAAAGGGAAGATGGGTTGCATTCAAAGAACAGCTGTATCCAACTACTCAAAAGCAAAGTTCATAAGTTGATACTAATAAATAACTATTAATAAATAAGACCCAACCATCAACAGTGTAATGTCGGCACGTGGAAAGCATTCGAGTATAAGTACAACATAAAGTTAGTTAGAGTTTCAGTTTCAGACTTAAATTACAAAATACACAGATAAAGGAGAAATTATGGGGTTTGTGATTCCAAGTTCTCACATTTTATGTTATTATTACGTTTTTTTTTCAGTTAATAATAATAAAATTTTATTAAAAAAATTATTATATTTTTATAACTTTAATATAAATATTTTTTTTATAAATTTTTTTATTTATAAATACTTAAACTCAGTCTTAGATTAATGATGCAACAATTTCAGCGAGACCCTCAAAATTGAAAGGAACCATAACAATGGAGAAAAATGGACATGCAAAGGAAGCCATGTAAAATCACTATAAATATAATTAACTCTAAACTAAGGATCGATAGTTATTCACTTTTTTATTTAAGTGAGTTAAATTTACACATTTCACATGTAATGTGTATCAAGTGAAAATTTTTAGTGTGTGAGAAGTAAATCTTAACCATTAGATTTGGCCATGAATGATTAAAATTTAAACATCAACTCATGTAACATTTTAAAATAATTACATAACTATTAAACACTCTCTTCAATCACATACATAAAAAATAACTACCAATATTTGTTTGCTTCAAATCACAAGATGCTTGCTTATTACTTATATAAATAAATATATTAATTCATTAATTTAACAATTTAATATTATAAATATTTTAAATACAATATAAATTTATAATACATAATTACTTTTTTATTAATTTGATAAATTAATTATTTCTGAAGAGAATAGTTTTTTTTTTATCATCCAAGTATGGTTATATGGTTAAAATTTATTCCTGTGAGACCAACAGTATGAGGTGCGCTGATCCATTGCTTCAACTTGAAGAACTAAAACTACAATAATCAGTGCAAGCACAGTGTTCATATGCATCTATTGATTATCAGAACTAAATGGGACAATTTATGTTTGAATAGCAGCAACAAGATGTAACTCAGACATGTCAGTAACACTCTCTTCAAGGATTTACTTGCTTCAAGATAAATTTGAGACTGCAAACACATCCCAAGATTTAACTCTCTTTCAGAAATGGGCCCAGAGAGTAAAATGTTGTGAGGCCTTGAATATGGTGTGCGCAAGGGGAGCAAATCTAGCAATTTGTACCAAAACACAAGATGACTATGTGGTCCTCATCAAAACAATGTGACTTGGTCCCTTTACAAGCTTTTAAAATACATATGAAACACCCAACAATTTATGGGTGCATTACATATTTACATGTACCTCCCTAACTAAAATCCAACCAAAACAAATGAGAAAAAGGAAAATCCCTGCATAATCCTCACAACCACATCTCAAGAGGCCAAAGATCATGAAAAACTCAGATCAGTTCAAGAAGAATAGCTAGTTCTTTTATTCAGCAGTGTCAGAAGGGATGGCAAGGCTCATGTCATGTTGAGGTCAAAGCATGACACTGGCACAGTCCTAATGAGGATCCAGATAAGTTCAACTACCTTGTTGGAAAGCAAGGTAGATATCATCTTAAAAAGGAAATAAAATTCATGTCCTTCGCATAAGAAAGTCCAGGACCAAGGAACCCCAATTTATCAAGTAACTGCCACTCTTAAATTATTTTATAACCGAGAACAGTGTTTTACAATTACAATGGACTACACTTTATGGTTTTTTTATTTTTATTTTTTGCTTTTGCTACCCAATATAAGACTGAGAAATAACCAACCTACCTGATTATGTCTACTGGGTTTTCTTAATCCTGGATGTTGAAAAGGATGATCTTGGTTTTTGACTAAATTTTCTTGTTTTGTTGACATCTGCATTGGAGCTTCTAATAATGAACAGCAAAGTTTCAACAAGCATGGCACCAACCAACCCAAGAATTCCTCCAGCAGCATTCTGAAAATGGAGACCAGAAAGAAAGGACATGAAGAGGAGATGAGAGCTCATAACTTAGCAATATATTGAGGATGAATAAATAATAATGAGAAACGGATTTTAGACAGTACCATGGTAGGACTGTGATTAAACAATGCTCTAAATGCTGCATATCCGAGAAGATAGCCAGAAAACATGGTAACCACAACATGCAAACCTGAAAAAGTTAAGAAAAAAAAAAAGAACTACTTCAGAGATATGCAGGCAGGTATCAACAATACATGACATCAGAGATACTAAATCTAGCAAATTACAACTCTAGAAAATAGAGGAGGGGGACAAAAAAGATTTCCAGTATAAAGAAATTTGCCTGCCTTCTTCGCTGACAGCAGCAAAACATTAAATCGGTATATGTTCTCATATGGGAAAGTTATGAAATTATCCTCCGAAGGTACAAATATCAAAAGTGAACCAAATGAAACAAACTTAAAGCTTTTATTTTGAATGATATTCAAATGTTCTCCAATAATCTAATATCACCATAATTTTTCACCCATAACTCATGGTGTTAATATGAACATATGATTCCTGCATCCATGACAAGTACTGTAATCTGTCACTGGACAAAGATAACTAACATAATCATTAATCCATTAATACCACCAAAAACCTAGCCCAAACAGAAAGCAATTTGATTGTAACCAGAAAAACAGGGCACAGAGATCAGGGTAATGCCAGAAGAATATTTCTTTGCATAAAGTTGGTAAGCGTTAAATAAGATAAAGCCAGAACCAATAGCAATGCTTGATCACGAAGGATGAAAGTCAATAAAATGTAATATCACCTTTCCACTTCCGATTGTGTGTCTTTGCTTTCTATTTTCGTACAAACAGTATGAGATAGTACCATGAATGTACATAAGAGACCCAACAAAACACAAGAGTTGACTACATTCATATAACATTTTGGCAGTGATACTAAACTTCTGAAAGTTAAACAAAACATGGTACCCAAAACAAGTTACTCAATCCAGAAAAGGGTGTTCAATCTCAATGAGCAAAATAAGCCAAAGCAACAACTTCAATAAGGAACTAGTCAAATTTATTATTTTATTTTAATTTTTCAATTTACCAATCACCAAATCAATGAATAAACAACGATCCACCAGCTACACAATTGATTATGTAAAGTAGAGTCCCACATAGTAGAATAAGAAATTACCAAATCCTAATTGATCCTTGTAAGAAGAGAATGGTTCCTCAACATCTTTTTTCGGTGCAATATCCTTCACAAGCTCTTGATACTCTTTCCTCTCCGCTAAATCTTGCAGCTTTTTCAGCCTCGCTTTCAATTCTTCACTCTTCACGCCAAAAGTCACTCATCAGGAACAAGTTCATTAACAAGTAGAGTAGTAACATAAAATTAAACCGATCTACATCTCAAAAACGAATTTTGGTGACAGAAAATTCGGAAAAACAAAAAAGTAATCGTAATTGCAAAGGAAAATGGGGATTGACCTTCTCTCTGGGTTTAGGGCTGGAGAAGACGAAGTGGGTACCCGAGAAGAGTCGGGTCAAGTCGGGTCGGGTGGATGGATCAGAAGCCATCCAGAGAGCACGAAGAGAGGCGTAGGGTATCTCGGATCGGAGGAGGAGATCGGAGGATGTTTGACGGAGTTCGTCGGAGAGAGTGGCGTCGTTGGAGGCTCCGGATAGGTAAACCCGAATAGAGTCGGTGCTGGATATAACCAACCCGACCCGGTTTGAGTTGTCGGTGGCCATTGTATTGTTCGTTTCTCTGCTACTCTCACCCGCGCGCATCAGTTACGAGAATGTAAACCCTTCAAATATCTAATTTCTCGAAAAGCAGATAATAAATACTTAAATTTGTCCTTAAAAAAAATTTAGCACGGGCATTAATTTTAAAAAATATGAAAAAACTTACCTTAAAAATCACAATCATAGACCAAAATTAGCACGTACATTGATTTTGAAAATATAAAAATTTTATAAGAGATGGAGCAAAATTAAACTCCGTTTAGCATTCAAAAAATCAGAGTCTTTACTTTTAAACCAAACTACCTAAGATCAGGATTCATGAAAAAAAATAAACAAAATAAATAAAAATAATATATATATATATATATATATATATATTCATCACTTTTTTATGTATAAATTCTCTCTTTCTTAAACCAACCATTAAGGAAAAACACGTCTTTGAATTGAAGGAAAGAGTATCTTCAATGTAAATAGCAATAACAACCATTAAAGTAGGAAACACTAGTTACCAACTTCTAGGTCATCTCTAATTTTACTGTAATGACTATATGAGCTAATTGATATGATAAATAAAAGAATATGAAACTGCTAAGCGCATGTTTGAGTACCCACTATGGAGGGATCTGTAAAGTTTTTAATAACATGTTTTTTACTATTTCAAACTCATTCTAATATTTTCTATCTTAAGCCATCATAAAATATAACTTAGGTTTGAAGTTATCAACGCTGTGATTGTTTTCATTATATTGTAAACAAATGGTATTTAAAACTATTTGTAATACTTCGAACGACTTTATATTATTATATTTTAAGTCTACGTGGATATTCAATTTTGGACAATTGTAATTTCAAAACGTTTGTTTAGTGCTAATTTCATAAACACTGCTTTTCTCCAAAATTCCGAATACATGAAAGACTTCATAATTAAGGAAAACAAAAAAAGCAAAACAAGATAGGACATTTTAGGGGTCATGAAATGCAAGAATGAGATAAATGTGTTTGAAATCTTGAAATTGATAAAGATATTAAGTCAGTAAAAGAATCACAATTATGTGACTGCATGCAACGTCCCTGACAAACCAAGCCATGGCACTAAGCAAGAAATAAACAAGGTATTACAATAATACAATTCCTTCCACAAGTTACTTTCTAAAAAGGTTTGGAACCATCACTTCTTCATGTGCTATTGCTAGAGGAACTTTGCTTCCTTTCTGCCTGAAGTGAGCGGCATAGTGATTCCAGTTTTTCTTTCTGATTTTTTGTTTTCTCCAGTTGTTTCTTCAAGCGCTCACGCTGCTCAGATAATGAAAAACATGTTTTTTCATGTAAGTGTACTTAAGTATTTTGTGTATCCTATAATTGCTCCTGCTACATATATATCACAATTGTGTTGTGGCCAATTAATTTCATCTATAGTATCTATTTACATTCTAGAGTGGTAACAACAAACAGTTATGTACCTCATCAACCAACTCTATAAGTGTAATATCCGACTTCTCAGATTTACTCTTCAAGAATTGATTCTCCTTCTTGAGTTCTTTGATTGATTTTGCCATCTGGTTGTTAACAACAACAAAGGAAAAAAGACAGAGGACTTCAGAATTTATCCAAGGTATGAATCCACAAAAATGACTCTTGAATAAACGAAATATTTAGGTTTACCTTCTCAATTTCTTGTTTGAACGTTTCAAAAACCTCATTGCTCTTTGTCAATGCTTCCTGAAATTCAATCCATGTTTATAACCATGCAGTCAGAGTCGTGTACAAACATCTAAAGCAATACATGCCACATTATATTTCAAATCATAAGCAGAAGTGCATGAATGAAGAAATCAGTCTAAGACCATTCTAAAAGAGGCCTTGAGCAAAAAGCCAAGTCAAAGCTAAAGAAAGCATGAGAGAGAGAGAGAGAGTTGTTCACACAAGATGTACTAAAAAACTAAGCTATCAATGACATGCCTAAAAGCAACCAGTTGGAGGGTCAAGTCAGTCAAATAAAGATCTGAAAATAGCATGCGGGGAAAGATAATTTGGATTGGATGTGAGAAGAATTAGGGAAGGTGGTAGCAAGCTCAGCTGGTAAAGTCCTCAGAAGTGAGTACAAGGGCCTGGCTCAAGTAGGGAAGGGTTTTAGGAGAAGGGGCACCAGTTGACTGAAAGAAAAGACAGAGAACTAGTGAAACTAATATCTTGGAAAACAAAGTCAGCACAAATAACTATATAAATCCATATCATAAATAATATTTATTCAATTATAAAACCAAAAAGGCCTGGAGGATGTGAAACCAAAATCACCATTAGGGGACCTTTATGAATCCAACTACAAAATGTTTACCTAGACACGTGTTACAAATTACAAATATTTAATAAACCAGACCTTTATGCAAACAATGAGCACATTGTAGCAAAACAGATTTTAAACTCAAGTTTTGAAAAATATTAAAAAGAGAATCGAAATAAAACCTGGAATTGTTGAAATTTTTCTCCATCAGTTGTCAGCTGCAATCGCAAATTCTTCTCAGTTGCTAATAACTGAGATACTTGTTCTGCATATAATTTTATCTGTGACTGTTCCTGAACCAATTTTTCCTCATGTTGCTTAATTTTTAAATCAGCAAGCTGGAGTTCCAATGACTTTTGTTTCAACTGTTGATTCAAATACCCAAAAAAAAAATGTTAATCAGTTCCAAAAACTAATAAATATGACTATATGACAAATGCAAGCCACAAGAAAATAAAATAAACATCACCTTCTGGGTATATTGCTGCTCAGATAGTTCATATTGTTCAGCAATCTGCTTTAGCTTGTTTCTTAACCTGCATTGAAATGTAAAGCAAATCATGAAACAATTATAGGATCCTTAAATAAACCAACATTGCAGATGTTATTTTTTTCTTTTTGAAAAGAGCACATGAATGGTGCAGCAAAACACAATAAACGATGAACCAGGCACAAACAAAAGCCAAGTATAATTACTAATTTACTATTAAGTATTATGTGATTATAAAATGCTTTAAAGCAAAATGTTTGACACAGCATCATAAAGTAATATCCTGGGTTCCAAGATATTAGCAGGTTGCTTCTTTTTTTTGGAGATTTCACCATTAGTTGCAAACAGACAAATGGGCTGATAATAACCTGCCCGGAAACACTAAACAGTACAATAATCTGCTAATTTTCCAGCCCTAAATTATCAGGGGAAGTTTACAAGTCCAAGTCTTTCTTTTAGAAAAATATTAAGAGCACATGTTCAAATTTTTATAAAAGGTGGCTAGCAAAATTATTTTGCGAATAGCATTTGTGAGTACCAAAGTCAAAATTTATGGTGACAGATAATCTATAGTAACTAAAATATCAAACCAAACATGAATGAAAATGAAGAGTTTGCATAGTAAGGACATGCCAGTCAATAACAACTTTTCTTTATGACTGACTACCTTATCCAAGAGCAGTGGGCAATAAAACATATTTAAGTCTCCCCAAATTTCATTGTAAAACAGTAAGAAGCAAAGCAAGAAAACAGACGAGAGAAAAAATGGAACCCCAATTACATAAATAATAGGATATGCATTAATTGTTCAAGCATTGCAGAGAAATGGCTAACATATAAGCCCAAAATAAAACACTGTATGGCAAAATAAAATACACACAAGTTTGAGCACAGGTTACATATAGCTGTAAAAACTATACATTAGCTGAGGCATATTATGAACAACTAACTTCAAAAATTTTACTTTCATAACTTTTCAGGGTCTTACATGTCATTCTCCTTTAGCTGAGAAAGGCATTCATCCTTTCGTTCTTCAAGCTTATTGCTCACATCCTGTAGCAGGGAGAAAATAACATTAAATGAAAAACAAAATTAAAGCAGTTAAAAAAAGAATTGATAAGAAAAGTTAGAAAATATATTACAATCACAAAAATGCCAATCATTTATCATAGAAGAACCATAAAAGATACAGTAATTTTTACGATATATTTAGCACATTTTAATAAGAAAATTGCTAAATGATGATGTAATCATGCGCCAGCTAGAAAATATATTAACTGTTCTCTAGCATTAGCATTCCACTTATACCTGTTGTCATCTACTAGGCATCATTATATATATAGAGAGAGAGAGAGAAGGGTACATAAAAGAGAAGGTCAAGGTATTCTCCATAATAAAAATACAAAGAAAAGACAGATGAAACAAGCAAGTAGGTCAAATCTACAAAACTGTGCAACCCCTCTGCATAACCATCACAAATACTAACCTAAAGAAATCATCATCAGAACACTAAAAATAAAGCAATAAAATAACCTTACTCCATAGCCAATCTGAAAACACGAAGCATCGTTCAAAATGAAAAAATTTCATTCCAGCCAAAGTTTCAGCACATTCCAGTGAGTGTTGATGCATACAATTAACTATAAATAATAAAATTGTTTCCATTATCCCTTATAACCACATTTTCCATTAGAAGTTAAATAGTGCAAGTATACCCCATGCACACTATGATCCAAATATCATACATTCTAAACAAGAGACAATGATCAAACCTTGATTGCGTCTTGAAATTTGGCTGACAAGTCCAGCCTCAAGTTTCGTCCCTCAGTTGATACACGTTTGCATTCTTCCTAAAAATAAGCAAGTGCTTCTTAGTCTTTCATTAACGAAGTCAATATGTAGATCTTAAAGTAAAACGAATCAGAACCCAACCATACCATTTCATGATAGAGATAGTTTTAAAACAGATTAGAAAATAGAACAAAATAAATTGGAATTTAAAAGAAAAAAAATCACATGGAGCTATTTTCTAATGAGATTGTCTTTTCTGGATGGGAAATGAAATATAATTAGGAAGCAAAGAGGGAAAATACAACTACGGAAGGGATTATATGTCCTCCAAAACATAAATGCCAGGTGCAAGATTAACTTTTTTTAACAAAAAGAAATTCATTGAGACAAAGGGAAGAGATACAGCATGGAACATGAAAAAATCAAGAATGAATGAACAAGGCTGCCCAATCTCTCTGCATAACAGAAGTAACAACTCCCTTGTAACATCCATGAGCAGAAGGCCAAAGAAGAATATGACAGATCCCAAGTTTAGGGGCAAAATCACATTCTTAAAGATACAAGCATTCTGCTCCAACTTGATAAGCAAACGGACTACATTCACTGCACAATCCCACAAAATTTGACAATTAATATTTTTACCAAAACCTTTACAACAAATCAGCAAGGGCTGCCCCACATGGGAGAAACACACTGAATGGTGACCAAGAATCCCAAAAAATTGTTCTACAGAAAAGTAGCTGCCTCAGAAGAAAAGCAAATGTGATTATTATAAATAGGTAACAAGTCATTTGTATTATTTTTGTTAAAGTACTGTCATCCAGATAAAAAGTTTGCCCTTAGAGAGGGCATTGGACTTCCAAATGGATTTGTCAAGAAGAAACTTTATGAATGCTAAGGAAAGTGAGTTAGAAACTGCAAGGTGGTGCAAATATATGAGGCTGGGAGGATTTGGTAAATAAATACTTTGGAGGAGAAAAGCAAAATAAAATACTTTGGCAGGATGGTATAGCTAAACTCTCCTAAAGTTAGGTGGTTTCCTCCTTTTATTTATCAGTGATAGTTATTTTCTATTTGGGTCTTTCAGCATTGCTTTTGCATGGCCTAAATTCCTCACCACGGTGTTTGAGAGTAGGATGACACCTAGCCTCATCAAGGATTAATTACTTCCAAGCAGCTAAGCATGGCATTGGAGTTACTTTACCATATAAGTTAACAGAAACTAAAAGCCATGACAGATGTTTGACCACAAGAGAATCCATTAAGTGTATCAAGATTGGCTTACATTTGTTTTTGTTTGTGTATTTTAGGGAATACGTTATCCTTCTGCCTAATTTTTATTACTTCTATCTCAAATAAAACTTCCTTTGTTGAAAAACAATTAAATTCAATCAAGGGATTTAACTTCACAGCAAATTTTGCATATTCATCAACAGATCTCCACTGCAGATAAGAAAGATAAGATTTGAGGTATCCCACATCTGAACATACTTATATATAATACAATCAGTTTCAGAGGCAGCAGTGCTACAGAAAAATACCATCAGCATTTTATTTTGACGTTGTAACTCCCGACACAGTGACTCAAGCTTATCTCGGACAGCAAGCACTACAAAAAGAAGGGCAATGGTCTATTAGTATCAAGGATTCAACATGGTTGCAGATTAGGTGTTGCCATTTATTTAAGATTCCAAAATTGTAATTAGATATACCATTTGCCTGAGCATCACTTCTAAAAACAACTCTAGCCAAACTACCAAAAGAAAAAAATTAACATGCTTTAATGCTCATTTTAGAGAAATAATGCTTATTAAACGCAGTAGAATATGAGAGAAATGATAAATATCGATGGGAAAGCTGTTGAGCCAAATAAAATCCCATTAGAAGATGCTGTTTGAGTGCTCAATTACAGGTAATGGATTATTAACAGTGAAAATACCCTGAATGGCCCAGTATTGATTTACACTGGTACAAATAAAGAACTCCAATATTTTGATCAGAACTTCACAAATGCTTTCCAGGGCATATTTTAAGACTTTCATTGATTAAGGTCAGATATATTCATTGTAACACACCTGCATCTCTTTCTGCCAAAACTTGTTGATACTTCAGTGTAAATTCTAACAGATCCTTTTCTGATTTAAGTGTACGCTTTGAATTCTTGCGCTTTTCACCCGTTTCCTAAGAAATAAAGAAGTCCACCATTTAGTCTCTCCTGAATGTACTCTCATATAAAAATACATGCTGATTGAAAGAAGAAAAAGAGAAACAAATCAGCGCAAATTAATCCAAATGAGATAAATATAGTTCATCTATCACATGATTCACATCTTTAATTTAATTATATATACTGCAACGTTATCCCTTTTTTACTTATTAAGACAATAAAAGGAATGAGGTTAATGCATCAGGTTAAAAGATTCAGCTCATTTGGAAATATCTACAAACCTTCCTGAATGTTAACCAAGCAGAAAATTGGCATGCATGGAAAGAAAGTATATGGTTTTTATGTACTTAATAAATACAACTTAATCATTAATACAAACTGTCTGAAAATTAGGTTTTTTTTTTTTTTTTTTGTGGAACAATTAAGGTCTGCCATATGTATTATCTGGTCAATGGAACATAATCTGTTGGAAATAGTCTTAGTTAATAATGCACTTAGGAAATTGTATGTTTGTGTATCACATGATAAAATGCATTTAGCACTCATGGGTATCAGTGTCTAGGAAGTTGCACTCAATATTAGCCTAGGTAATAGACTCCACTAAGTCTATAAGAGTCTACATATAAGGATGATATGCAGAACCTGTGGACTAAGAAAGCTTTTCATTCTCTAAATTCTCTCTAAAATATTCTGTTCTTTCTTCCTCGAAATCTCCCCCTCTAAATTCAACATAATCTAGCCCCAATTACCTTAATATTCTGAGTCATATAGTTAAAGCCTTATACAACAATTGCCCTACCATTAAGTAATCCTGATGGATTGACAGGAAAACTCCAATAATCCTGATGAATTGACAGAAAAACTACAAAACACTTGTATATATCAAGCAACATGCCGTCATCACTAGCCTTGGAGGGGCAAAGGGTACATTAGACCTACAATCTCACTGTCTAACAATATAAAAATAGTCCAACTTATTATTTTTTAATTATTAAGCAAAAAGGACCACTCTGCTGTTTATTTCCAGTAAACTTCATCCAATCCAAATTAGTCCTACCAAACCTAAAGCCCAAAATACTAGTTTCTAGTCAAATAAAACAGGAGAATTTAACTGTCAAGGACATGAGAGAGAGGATAGAAAATATAAAGCAGTATAAAATGCTAGTGTGAATATAAAGGAATAGACAGAATTAATTTACTAACTGGTTTTCTGTTTTTTGAAGGATCGGCAATCTCTTGTGAGCACGCCTTCATTACAGGCAGTGCTTTTGTCTCCGAAGGTACAACAGTTGCTGCTGCAACAATCAGCAATAACAACAAAACCATATCAGATACCCAGAAGAAAATCTAAAAGACATCAATAATGTGCAGACACAGATATCTAATAGCATGTGTTTTCATAGGTTTCCTGATATGATGTGCTCGCATGCAAGGTAATCCATTGGTTATGTAAGTTTATAGAATCCTTCCATTTCTTTAGTAGCTGTTTAGTATGGGTAAATGTGTCCATCAGTGCAAGAGAACATAAGAAATGTTAGTTTAAGAGATCCTATTTATCTTTCCAACAGAAAAGTTCTTAAAATCTCACATTCTGAATCTTCTCTTGGATGGATAAGGCTTTTAACCATAAGAAAGAAGAAAAATTTGCATTTGACATAACACCCAAAGTTAAGGTTGCCAAAAAATAGAACCAGTCTTTAATTCAAGATGAATATGTTACTCATGCAATTCCCGTGCTACTGAAAAAAATCATTAGCATGCAGTTGCTATTAGAAAAATCTATGAAAAGGGAGCACAAAGGCTTAGGATAATTACATCTATCTGAACTTTCACATTGTCCTTGTTGTTGCTCATTTACCTCGCAACATTTGGATAGCAGAGGGTCAGAAACAGAATTATCTATGGGGGCTATAATCTGTGCACCTTCTGTCTGCTGCACACAGCTATTACAAGGAACCTCCACTAAGCTGTCTGAGACATCAAAAGTAGGAGTTTTAGGCAACAGAATGTGAGACGTTTTTAGTTACTCACAAATCTTGCTTACCGTGATTGTTTTGGAACTCTTTCTCTCCCAATTCATTCAATGATTCATTAGAATGACCAAAGTTAGAGGAAACATCATCCTTGTAACTATTCAGGGGCTTCTCTTGTTCAGGATTTGGAGTTGCAGGAGCAGAAGGCTCAGTAGTACTCTCAACAAACCCATCTGGCAATGAATCAACTTCAGGAAGCTGATTTGCATCTGGATTCTGCATTTTACCTACATATCAAACATCCTTTTTAGAATTATTTAAACATAATTTACTGTTCAATTGTCTACAAAAATACTGGGATGACAAGTAAAATAGTCATGACTGCTTTTAAAATCTACCTAATACCTACACTGCATAAATGGTTCTGTGTTCTTATACAAGAAAAGATGAGATCCTTCAAAACCACCTAAACTATTTTTCAACTTCATCAAGGATTGACAAAATCAGCCCAACAAAATTCAAGCATATAGAAAGTCATGACACATATCAAGTAAATTTTCAATAAAATTTAACAAGTATAACAATAATATTACATCACAAAAAAATTACAAGTACAGTCATAATCTCTCTCTACAATGGAAGCTCTATTTTTTCAGTTGCACAATTTAGACATCAATAAAGGATTAACCAAGAGACTAATCGGATACAACTATGAGTCCTCAGATGAACATAGATTGGTACCATTTATATCACCAGCAATAAAAGATCACAAATTCAGCACATCAAATAAAACAACACCCTTTACAAAGCCATGACAAATAAACAGGCAAGGAAGCCAACAAAACAAACCCCAAAAAAAATTGTGGAAGAAGCAATTAAAAAAAAAAAAGAAGAGGAAAATGAAAATTTCACCCGTAAAACATTTTATATGCATATAAAATCGTATTTTCCGCTCCGACACCGAATAAAACACGTTCACGTTTATCACAAAAAGTTAAATATTGAAGAAACTGAGCGCATGCACTGCAAATAGCTTATGTGCAACAATCAACGACGTGGGTGATTAAGAATTAAAGTAAAAATGAAAAATTTTAAATAAAGAAAAGGAAAAGAAAAGAGGGGAAATTCAAGGGATACGAACTGGAAGGAAGAAAACAGAAGTAGAAACAACGAAGACAGAAAATGCAATGTTAGAAGGGCTGAGGGAGGGAAAGAGTGGAGAAGATCCCGATAGCAGTGGGTGTGGAAGTGGCACTTAAGCTATCTCACACCAAATTTCGCCTACGTTTCTTCTTTGTTTAAATTGACTAGGTTCATATGAAGCAACTCTTATAAAAAATTATTTTAACTTTTTCTTGTTTGAAATTTTTATGATAAGCAGATCTGATACAATATTGTTGCTCAAGTCACACTAGTAAATAAAAATTATGCTTAAATATTTATTTATTTATTGTCAACTCATGCATTATTCTTTGAACAGCCATAAATTAGAAAATAATAATTTATGTGAAAAATGTGATACTATATTTTATGTTTATGAAAATGTAACCTTTGTCCCTCGAAGTAGTCTTATTTGCTTCAATCAAATTGGGTAAATGTCCATTCCAGTACCCTGAATACTGAGATTCAAAATCAAAACAAGTTTTGTGATTCTTGAATTTATTATATAATATCACATTATTATTCATGTAACTTTTTTTTTTCTCTATTAACATTTTACTTCTTTAGAAGAACAACATTTTGTGTAATGGACATTAATTCTTTATTACAAGAGCTGACAATAAAGCCCAATGGTGGTATAAGATTTAATTCTATTAATTAGTATCTTTAGAGTTAGTGTTGCTTATTAATATAAACAACTCATGTTTAATGTTGGTAATGCATCATTTAATGCTGCTAAGATATCTAAGGTTGAAAATTTGTAATAATTATTTTATTATTGTTTTTCTAATTTGTCACAATTAAATCCAGTAAAATGTGTTTATCTAATGAAGTCTACTCAAATTTGTACGATAAAATGTAAAATTTAAATTTTATATTTTGAATTTAAATTAAATTTATACTTATTCAATCTGTTCTAATTAAGTTTGATGTGGCATAAGTTTGAAAATATTTTTTTTTTGTTTTCTTATTATTTTTACGAATTTAAATTATATTTAAAGTTTATTAGTTTGATCTTAATTTTTTATTCGCCAAGTATCAATCCAAATTAGTTAAGAACCCGTTTTGTCTCTTTTATCATAATAACATATATTAAAAAAACTATCTAAAATAAAAAATTGATTCATACTTTTATAATAATTTAAAATATCTAAGTGTATTTAATTATATATATATATATATATATAGCACATATAAAAGAACTAGTATTTATTTTATATGATACAAATTTTAACTTTAAAAATTAAGCCTAAATTCACATGTTTAAAAGGATTTTTTTTTCTACAAGTGCTAACACTCTTCAATAATTGCATTAGTGTGGCATGAGAGTGAAAATAAAGAAATTAGCTAGAAAATTAGATTAATCCAATGTGATTGGAAATTAAACTAAAAGAAAAAATAGATGAAAGAAAAATATAAAGTTAAATTATATATTTAATTTATGTATTTGTATTCATTTATGAATTATTTTTAATATTTAAAAAAATATGTTTTAATATATATGTGAATATTTTGTTAACAATATTATATCATAATAATATTTCTAAAATCTAATTAGACACTCGTGAAAAAATTAAAATAAATAAAAAATTATTAATTAATATTTAATTAATATTATTATAAAAATATTTAATTAATAAAAATATTATAAAAATTAACTGATAAAATTTTAAGTTGATATAATAAAATTATTTACTCATGTTATTATATAAGTTTTTTAAAATATTATAATAAAGTTGATCTTTTAAAATTTTGAATAAAAAATTCTTATTATCTTTTAAAATATTCTATAAAAATAACTATATTGTTATATACAAGTATGTTATATATAAATTAAGATAAATATATTAAAAAAATATAATAAAATATTAATATTAATTTTTTATTCTTCTAAAAATAAGATAAAAGTAAAAATATAAATTAAATAAATTTTTTATTAATAAAAAATGTTATAAAATAATGTTGAGTTATAACACGTTTTTTCAGTTAATTTTAGTGTCATGTATTGTTTCAAAATTATAATAGATTAAAATACACAATTAATTTTTATATTCAAAAATTATATTTTAATTTTTATACAAATATTTTATTATTAGTAAATTTTTTAAGTATATATACTAATTCGTAAATAATTATTAACTATACAAATTAAATGTATAATTTAAACAAAATATAATTAGACAATGTGCAAAACGCAATGAAATAAAATAAATAGACAGAAAAAATTATAAAAATAAAAATAAAAATATACAAATATAATATAAATTTTTCAAAATTAAGAATAAGAATAATATAAAAATATAGTTTATTCTATTTCATCCACTGTTGAAACGATTAAATAAAAATTATATTTCAATTTACTCCATTCACGTATTTTTCATTATCTTCCGTGCAAGAGATAATTAAAATCTTTAACTCTGATAAATATACAAAATCAATGTTTAATATCTTTTCCTTTTTGTCAAGTTATGTTTGACGAAAACAAGTACATTGTTTACAAAATAAGAATGTTTGAAATACTTTAAAATTTTAAAAACTTAAAATATATTTTTCACCTTTAAATATAAATTTCTTTACCTTGGTTCTCAAATTTTTTTTATTTTTACTAATCCTTAATATAACAAACACAACTTAAAAATGACGCAATATATATAAATATCATATTTAATAACACTATTTTGTCATAACATATAATGCGACATTACCAATAAAATTTAAAAGAAATTGCAAACAGTGCAATTAATCTAAAGGTTAAAATATAGTGTACTTAATTATAATAATTATTATTTTTGTTAATGGGGAGGGGAATTTGGGGGAAAATGTGAAAATTTTGAGGAACTAGGATTTAAACTAAAACTAAAATTATAGATGAAATATAGTAACACAGTACATAGTATATAGTTGACTGACACTTGACAATGATAAACCAAACAGGCAGCGTAGGACTAGTCCTCAAATTCGCTGCAGCTTTCAAAAATAGAAAGCACAAAACCAAAAAAGAAAAAGCCTTGCCACCGTCGATCAAGAACCCAGTTCTGAGAACAAAAGTTCCGAGACGACGGGGCAGACCTGACACAAACACCGAAAAACAAGTTCACTGGACGAAAAATGGAAATATTACTAACAAGAAACCATTTATTGTAGTCATGAAGATATAGGTTTCTTGATAAACCATCCTGCACGATTCACTTGCCCTTCTTCTGTGCAGCCTTGGTGATCTTAGCTCCAGTTGGATCCTTCTTCTCCACCGACTTGATGACTCCCACGGCCACAGTTTGACGCATGTCTCTCACAGCAAAACGACCAAGAGGAGGATACTCAGAGAAAGTTTCAACCACCATGGGCTTGGTGGGAATCATCTTCACAAAACCGGCATCTCCATTCTTCAGGAACTTGGGCTCCTTCTCAAGCTCTTTGCCAGATCGCCTGTCAATCTTAGTCATCAATTCAGCAAACTTGACAGCAATGTGGGAGGTGTGGCAATCAAGTACTGGTGCATAGCCACTTCCAATCTGCCCAGGGTGATTCATGATGATAACTTGGGATGTGAAGTTAGCAGCCTCCTTGGCAGGGTCATCCTTGGAGTTTGAGGCTACATAACCACGCTTGAGATCCTTGACAGCAACGTTCTTGACGTTGAATCCCACATTGTCACCAGGAAGGGCCTCTTGAAGAGCTTCATGGTGCATCTCCACAGACTTGACTTCAGTTGTCAGTCCAGATGGTGCAAAAGTAACGACCATTCCAGGTTTCAAGATACCGGTTTCAACTCGCCCTACAGGCACTGTTCCAATTCCTCCGATCTTGTAGACATCCTGAAGGGGTAATCGGAGAGGCTTGTCTGATGGCCTCTTGGGCTCATTGATCTGGTCAAGGGCCTCAAGAAGGGTTGGACCCTTGTACCAGTCAAGGTTTGTGGACCTCTCAATCATGTTATCTCCCTCAAAACCAGAGATGGGAACAAAAGGTATCTTGTCAGGGTTATATCCAACCTTCTTCAAGTAGGAAGAAACTTCCTTCACAATTTCATCATATCTAGCTTTGGAGTACTTAGGAGTGGTAGCATCAATCTGTTCAAGGAAGCCATAAAAAAGAAGTCAGATAAATTAATTGGAAAAACAATCGACTACAACTAAATATGGCTTTAAAGTGCAGGTAGATAAAGGCAGCCATGTACCTTGTTACAGCAGCAAATCATCTGCCTAACACCAAGAGTGAAAGCAAGAAGAGCATGTTCACGAGTCTGTCCATCCTTGGAAATTCCAGCTTCAAAACCACCAGTAGTGGAGTCAATGATAAGAACAGCACAGTCAGCTTGAGATGTTCCAGTAATCATGTTCTTAATGAAATCCCTGTGTCCGGGAGCATCAATCACAGTGCAGTAGTACTTAGTTGTCTCAAACTTCCACAGGGCAATATCAATAGTGATTCCTCTTTCACGCTCAGCCTTAAGCTTGTCAAGCACCCAGGCATACTTGAATGACCTCTTGTTCATCTCAGCAGCTTCTTTCTCAAATCTCTCAATGACACGCTTGTCAATACCTCCGAGCTTGTAGATCAAGTGGCCGGTGGTAGTTGACTTCCCAGAGTCGACGTGGCCAATGACCACAATGTTAATGTGAATCTTCTCTTTACCCATTATGACTAAAATCTCAAAGCAAGAAAGATCTGCAATTTCAACGCCAAAAACAAGCATCTAAGAACAAAACAAATTCAACTAATTATCACCGCCTTCCCCAAAATTACAAACCTTAATAATCATAAACAAGAAACATCAGCTATCCGACAAATCAAAAACACAATTCGAATCAGCAAAATTGATCAAATACAGTATGACTATAAAAATCATAGGAGGTATAATAACATCATTATGTTTATCTATACCACCGAGAAAGACACCGTTCCCATGCTGAAAACAACGATACCCAGGTCAACATACAATCGATTACCAACAAAGAAAAACCATGACTCAAATATGCAAGGTTTTCGCACGAATTAGATTCATAAATAATATTTAACAAGCCCATGAATCCAAACCAGAATCAAATAAAAAAAAACCAACCACACTTAACTATACACCATAGTGAAATAGATAGACCTAACTACGTAAACAATTGAATTGAGGGAATTGTTTATTGATGAACAGAACACGGATAACGAGGAGAATTTAGAGGACCTTGAAAAAAGAAACTGCGGTAAAAGCTTGGCAGCGAAGAGAATGAATGATGCTGAAAGGAAAACAGAGGTGCTTGTGTTTGATATAGCGTAGCTTGTTCTTTTTGTGTTGACGGAATTGCCCCTCCTTTTGCTTTATATTTCCAGGTTGTATCCTGACATTCTGCTGAAGTGGCGGTAAGTGAAACCCCTTCCCCACGCAAACGGTCGTTGAGTCGTCAACCGCTTGCGCCGCAAGATAGAATCAGTTATTGTCCATAATCCATAATATTTAATTATTTATATTTTATACAATTTATTATGTAATTGTTTTCATTAATTATTTGACTAGATGTATTTATTTTCTATTTTTAAAATATTATCTCATAAATTTAAATTTATTTTAAATATTTTTTATTAGATACTGAAAATATATATTTTTTTGATTAACTAAATTTTAAGATCATGTAATCTTAACTATTCTTGATTTAAATTTGACTTTCAGATCTAAAAGTATAATTTTTTGAATGATAATCTTTTTAAAAACCTCATCGAGTGAACATATTTTCAGGAGATGGTTTGCTTTCTTATCTTTTTTTTTTATTATAGAACATTTATTGCTTTCTTATCTTTTTTATTATTATTATAGAACATTTATATTATATTATTTAATTTAAAATTTATCAGTTTAGTTATTTTTATTTAATATGCTATAATATTTTGTAAGTGTGAGTTCTGAAAAAATTCAGTTTTTTTAAACGAGACTATATTTAAGAATTAGTTACCTTTTTCTGTTAATTGAAATGACTTTTTTATATTAAGTATTAATTTTTTAATCTAATACCCTTTTTTTATTAAACGAGATTTAAAAGTCTAAGAACAAAACAAAAATCTAGGCCAAGAAAATCTAATATTATTTTAAAGAAAGAATTTTTAATACTTTATATTGTAATTTAATTACTTTCATTATTTTTGTTTTTTAATTCAATGATCATTTATTAATTTTTATATATGATCTGTTAATATTAATTCTTAAATGAAAACATTTTTAAGAGCTTTTAAATGAAAGTATTTTAGAAATTAACTATCTTTCTCGTAATGCTAATAAATAATTTTTTATATTAAGCATTGACTTTGTAATTTAACATTAAATTTTTTATTATATTTTAGCTAATATAATAGAATTATTTTTATTAATTACAACATTTACTCTTTCTAAGAATTGTCAAATTGCAAAACAATCAAAAAATATATTTTCAATTATATATTAAAAATATTTTAATTCATTATACACGTTCAATGTAAAAAAATTCAATACATCTTAATTTAATAAACTTTTTATATAATATTTCTTCAATTTTGAATTATTTATTTATTTTTGAGTAAACAAGGAAATTTAAAAAAACAGAAAATCATAAATAAATTTTTCTTTTAAATTTAATTGTGTTAATATATTTTTTATTAATAAATTTTAATTTAAAAGGTTTTTTTTTATCTTAATTGAAAGTTCACAATTACTAATATGCTATTTTTTAGAGGGGTCTAAATTAAATATCTAAAACTTTTTAAAATAAAACAAAATATTTAAATTATATTATATCGTCTTATATTTAATATGATTTATTTGATGAATGTAATAAAATAATAACATAAAAATTAGATAAAAATATAATATAATATGACAAAATAACCTACTACATGTATTATGCTAGATTATATATATATATATATATATATATATATATATATATAACAGGATTTTATGACAATTACTTTACTTATTAAAATAGTAGCTACACAATTAATTAAGTATTTATTCATCAAACTCATACAAGGTATTTAGAGTGGTAAGTTTGCAAGTATTTATTATTTTATTTTAATTTACAATATCATATATGTTTTAAAGTGTATATAGTAACTAAAGTTGTTTCTACAGTAATTATTACATGACTTATTTAAATATTTTTGTTTTTGAAAATTTTCAAGTTATTATTTTATTTATTTATTTTTAATTAGCTTTATTAATATCTTCATAGTTTTTCATTTTCAAAAATTTTAAATTTTTATAATTAGTTTTAAATAAACAAAATATGATAAAAATTATAGAGACTTTGATCATTATTAAAATATACACGTTTTTATTACATATTACTTCTAAGAATATAATGTGTTCATTTTTTTTTCTTTCATTAAGTATCAACATTTTAATAAGGACACATTTAGAATATAAGAATTACTCTAATTATTAAATCACATTATTACAATTACTCTTTATTTTTTTTTTCACATCTTAACACTTATTAGTTATTATCCATAATTTATAATATTTAATTTTTTATATTTTATACAATTTATTATATAAATTTTTGTATTATTTATTTAACTAGATAAAAAAAATAGCTTCTTTTGAATTACTTTCAATGTATGTGCTATCAAAGCCCTTCTTTAATATCAACTAGACTTCCAGTAAAACAACCCTGAGCTCAACAACAAGGAGAAAGCAATAGTCAATATCAGAGTAGAATCCAACTAAAAATTGATCGCAGCAGTCCCTAGCAAGACTTTCACAAACAACAGTTCCTATGGACTTAGAAGTAACTCTATCAACATTTACCTTGACTTGAAGGAATCTATTTTATATCAGAAACAAGCCCAATGATGGATTTAAACCTATTCCTATAATAAAAATTGTAAAAACCAAAATCAAAATATATTTTCTACACTAGATTGCTTGACTCAACAGAATAACTTTAAAATATAAAAACAATCATACCAAAAAGTATATTCTATAAATAAAAAATTGTTGGATATTGCTCAAACTAGATTGTTTTTTTGAGAAGAATTTATATTATGGTATTTTAATTTTATTCACTAAAATTATGACTAAATACTCAATTAAGTATTCATTAATCAAACTCATAAAGTATTTGGAGTTGCAATTTTTTGCAAGTGATTTTATTTTAATTTACAATATCATATATGTTTCTAAGTGTATATAGTAATTAAAGTATTTTCTACAATAATTATTACATAACTTTTTAAATATTTTTGTTTTTGAAAATTTTCAAGTTATTACTTTATTTATTTTCTTTTAATTAGATTGATTAATATCTTCATAGTTTTTCATTTTCAAAAACTTTCAATTTTTATAATTAGTTTTAAATAAACAAAATGTGATGGAAAATATATTAATTTTAATCATTATTAAAATATATACATTTTTATTACATATTACTTCTCAAAATATAATGTGTTCATTACCTCATATTAGATGTAACAAACGTTGATGATTTTTTTATAAAAAAAAAGTCATGAAAGTTTACTTTATTACTCTTGCTGATCAAGAAAAATATAATTGTACTTTAAAATTATATTACTACACGTTATTTTATTACCTTTTATTCTTATGCTTATATGTTTTAATAAAAAATGTGATATTTATATAATTTAACTGTGTGTGGTTAATTAAGAATGTATTCAATAAACTTCCACTATCTTATAATATGAAAAATTTGTTTATAAATTAATAAAACAAATACAATTCTTTCCTGCCCAGTGGTTCAGAACATTCGATTTAGAAAAAAAAAATTAATTCTTAATAAATCATAAAAGTATATAGTATCACATAATATTAAAATTTTCTTTATAAAAATAATAAAACAAATACAATTCTTTCCTGCCCAGTAGATCAGAACATACGATTTAGAAAAAAATAATTCTTAATAGATCATAGAATTATACAGTTTCACATATATCAATCATCGTAAAACATTACATTAAATTATTTCATACTAATATAAATTTTATAATTTAAATTATCAAATATCTTTTATGTTTAAATAAACTTACAATGAAAATACAAGGTTAAAAGTATTAGCAACATTTTTTTTTCATCCCGATTTAATCGGACCCGGGTTAGTTAACCCGTCTTTAAATTAGTTAACCAGGCATCATAAGGCAGCAACTTATTAAATCATGTCGACACAAACGCAGCAAAAATTCACAAATTAAAGTAGAATTTAAAACAAGAACACATAATAGAAATAAGAACATAACATACGACATTAAAAAACCAAATCTACAGCGTAGGACTAGTCCTAAAATTCGCTGCAGCTCACAAAACTGTATCAAGTGTTCTTGCAGGCACATTAAAATAAAAATAAGGCATATAATGGAAAATAGAAAAAGCCTTGCCACCGTCGATCAAGAACCCAGTTCTGGGAACAAAAGTTGCGAGATGACGGTGCAGACCTGACAGCAACTCCGATAAACAAGTTCACTAGACGAAACACACAACTACTACGAACAAGAAACCAATTATTGTAGTCATAAGGATAGAGTGTTCCCGATAAACCATCCTGCACGATTCACTTGCCCTTCTTTTGTGCAGCCTTGGTGACCTTAGCTCCAGTGGGATCCTTCTTCTCCACGTTCTTGATGACTCCCACAGCCACAGTTTGACGCATGTCTCTCACAGCAAAACGACCAAGTGGAGGATACTCAGAGAAAGTTTCAACCACCATGGGCTTGGTGGGAATCATCTTCACAAAACCGGCGTCTCCATTCTTCAGGAACTTGGGCTCCTTCTCAAGCTCTTTGCCAGATCGCCTGTCAATCTTAGTGACAAGTTCGGCAAACTTGACAGCAATGTGGGAGGTGTGGCAATCAAGTACTGGTGCATAGCCATTTCCAATCTGCCCAGGGTGATTCATGATGATAACTTGGGAGGTGAAGTTAGCAGCCTCCTTGGCAGGGTCATCCTTGGAGTTTGAGGCAACAAAACCACGCTTGAGATCCTTGACAGCAACGTTCTTGACGTTGAATCCCACGTTGTCACCAGGAAGGGCCTCTTGAAGAGCTTCATGGTGCATCTCCACCGACTTAACTTCAGTTGTCAGCCCAGTTGGCCCAAAAGTAACAACCATTCCAGGTTTCAAGATACCGGTTTCAACTCGCCCCACAGGCACTGTTCCAATACCTCCAATCTTGTAGACATCCTGAAGGGGTAATCGGAGAGGCTTGTCTGATGGCCTTTTGGGCTCATTGATCTGGTCGAGGGCCTCAAGAAGGGTTGGACCCTTGTACCAGTCAAGGTTTGTGGACCTCTCAATCATGTTATCTCCCTCAAAACCAGAGATGGGAACAAAAGGGATTTTGTCAGGGTTATATCCAACCTTCTTCAAGTAGGAAGAAACTTCCTTCACAATTTCATCATATCTAGCCTTGGAGTACTTAGGAGTGGTAGCATCCATCTGTTCAAACAAGTCAGAAATAAAAAGTTCAATAAATTAATTAAAAAACTCAACTACCACTAAATATGCCTTTAAAATGCAGGCAGACAAAGAGAGCAGCCATAAACCTTGTTGCAGCAGCAAATCATCTGCTTCACACCAAGAGTGAAAGCAAGAAGAGCATGTTCACGAGTCTGTCCATCCTTGGAAATTCCAGCTTCAAAACCACCAGTAGTGGAGTCAATGATAAGAACAGCGCAGTCAGCTTGGGATGTTCCAGTAATCATGTTCTTAATGAAATCCCTGTGTCCGGGAGCATCAATGACAGTGCAGTAGTACTTAGTTGTCTCAAACTTCCACAGGGCAATATCAATAGTGATTCCTCTTTCACGCTCAGCCTTAAGCTTGTCAAGCACCCAGGCATACTTGAATGACCTCTTGTTCATCTCAGCAGCTTCTTTCTCAAATCTCTCAATGACACGCTTGTCAATACCTCCGAGCTTGTAGATCAAGTGGCCGGTGGTAGTTGACTTCCCAGAGTCGACGTGGCCAATGACCACAATGTTAATGTGAACCTTCTCTTTACCCATTATGACTTAAATCTCAAAGCAAGAAAGATCTGCAATTGTAACACAAACAACAACCATCTCAGAACACAACAAATTATCATCGCCTTCCCCAAAATCGTACATCTCAATACTCACAAAGGAGAAAAAAAGATCAGACGATCTTAACATAGACATTATCAACTAGCCGAAAAATAGTAAACACAACTAAAACAAACTATATTGATCATACAAAGCAGAAACCACTAGTTAAAGCAGATCGGGTAAATGCAGTTTGACTATAAAAATAATACGAACATATTTTTAACCCTAAAACATCATATTCATTGTATTCAAATGACCGTATGTTCAGCTATTCCATCAGGTAAGACCCTGTGCCCTCAGTTAAAAACGACTATACCCAGATCTATATACAATGGATAATCAACAAAAACTTCTAAAACAAATATGCATAGTCTTTACACAATCAAGCTTCATATATTCGATTAAAGACACATAAGATTAACCAAAAAAACAAATAAAAGAACATAAACCAAAACATAATCATCCAGCAGCATAATCAAATAGACAAACTGAAGCGCATGGACACATCAAAGGATTAAAGAATGACGATAAGAACGTGGTCAAGAAGGGAATTGTGGAAGAGAGAACCTTGAAGAAAGAAGCTGCGCTAAAACCCTAGCCGCAAGGAAGAGAGTGTGAGTGCTGAAAAGAGACGCGCTTGACTGGTGAGGTAAGAGGGGCTATATAATACAACTGGTTCCCCTGTGTTTACGGATTTACCCTTGATTTTTGCCTTATGATTCCAGCTGTATCCTCATAATTGTGCTTACGTGGCGGTAATTGAAACCCTTTCCCACGACAATCGCTTCTTGCATTATCTCCAACGGCGGCACAAGATACAGATTACGGAATTAGGGTTGTCTGTTACAATCCACCAATCTATTTTAAATAATAATAATAAGTAAAGAGAATTAATTAAAATAGATTATTTAAATAAACGTTTTTTAGATAAAATGGGTTAATTTTAAGGTCATATTTAAATTTTTTAAAATTAATTAATTTTAATTCTTATATTCTATTCAAAATCGTCATTTTCGTATTTTTATAATTCTTCTTAAAATTTTATATTTTAGTATATATTCTTTTTAAGAATTATAGTAAAAAAAAGTCTAAAATGTAACTTGATATTTTTAATAATAATAATAATATAAATTAATTTACTAATTTTTATATTATGAATTTAAAATATCGTTTATGATAGAAAATAAATATTTATATGAATTGTTTAGATTTTCTCGTTAAAACTACTTTCCAAATGTTATCTCCTGATTTTAATTTATTTTAAATTTAAAATAAAAATTTAAATATTAATGTGCTATATTAAATTCTAGATATTTTAAAAAAAATTAAATTTTTATAAATATTAACGTGCTGTATTAAAATTTAGTTTCTTTGAATTGTAAATTATTAATGAATATAAAATAATTTTTTTATTTTAAAATTTTAAAAGCGTTATCTCATTAAATTATGTTATATTTTACATTTAACATAATAAAAGTTTATTATGTTTTACAAAAATTTATGTATAAATTTTTCAAAATTTTAAATTACTCATGTAATATGCAATATATTCATTCGTTGTAAATAATCAAGATGCTATTTTTAAAATATATAATAATATTAAAATAAAAAATTTAGATTAATCAATTAAATTTAAATATAATATTTTAAAAAGTATTAAACAGTTAACATAAAATAAAATGCGTGGCTTATTTTTAAAAATTCACAGATCCTTTCATTAAAAGCAAATATTTAAGATTAGTTTATAAAATAAAATTTACTCGTATATCCCGATACTAATATATTATGTGATAGTTATTCTAATCACTAAATAAATCCCCAAACAATCAATAATCCATTAGTTAAGCATTCATTCGTAAATCTTGAATTAAGCATTCAAAATTTTCTTTTTGTTGTCTTGGTTGATAAGTTGAATTGCAAAATTAATTGAACATCTTGTTTGAAAACTTGAGTTCATTTTCTGAGTTACAATTTACAAATGCTATTAATTTCTCACTTTAGCTAATTTTAAAGACATTAAATGAGAGAAACACTCCCTCTTCCAAATTATTATGATTTAATTTATTTTAGTAAAATTCTTTTAAGTATATATTTTCTTTGTACATAATAGATATTACAATTTTTATTTTTTACAAAATTTTATTTTAATGTATAAAATATAATATCTTTCGTCCACATCATCGATTTAAGTTTTTCTTATACAACTGTGACAACACGTTCTTTCTGAATTCTGCATATTATGCTTTTGAATTCTTTTAAGTTATTTCTCCATTTATTTTGTATTTATTAACTTTATTAATTTTTTTTACTTTCCATTTTTTCAAATTTTAAACAAATAACAACGAATTTATTGGTTTTAATAAATTATTAAAATATATACTTACTTTATTCACGTATAAATCCTAAATAAAAAGTATACTTTTTATAGTTTGTTTTAATTGTAAAACACATAGAAATTGAAAGTGTAATAATTGTTTATAAATCATAAAAGTGTAGTTTATTATTTATATAAATAAAAAATGAAAATAAGTTTTGTATTAATAAAATATCAATAATTACTAGTTCAACCCATTTATAAAATTTTATCTTATAATTTTACCATTACAAGTTTCCACGGAGGGAAGATTTGAATTGTATTTATTTAAATTACTTTTTGCATGCTTAATTAAAAAAATTAAAAAAAAATTATATTACGTATACATTTAACTTTTAAATAACCTATTCTCATTTTTTTTAGCCAAAAAAAAAATAACTCTTAAAATATATATAAATTTTTACAACGTATATTGATAATAAAAAAAACAAATAAATACATATTAATACGATACAAGGAATTGTGATTTTGACTTGTTTATAAAAGTATATTAATTATTAACAAATGGCTTGTGTACAATTATATATTTAAAATGACAATAAGTTTGGATGCTAACTGATAAATGGGTTGATTCTATTTACTTATTCAATACATGTATTTAATGTAGAATGTCTTACGAGTGCCATGCACTTGATTAGTTTGTCTGCATTTATTTTCATTTTTTATTTATAGTGTATAAAATTTGGGAACATTCAGTTGAAACTCTGAATATTGGATGTGATAATAGGCATTGCAATGACCAAACGATGCATAGGGTGATGGTGTTTATCTTGATTTAAGGTGTTCATTCATGGTGCAAATGATCCTATAGAATAGGAAGTTAGAACCTGCAAAAACACCCATGGAAACGACCAAGAAGTACTTAAAAATAGATGGTGCACTAACTTTCAAGAACAACGTGCTTTTAAAATACTATTTTTTTTATCATTGGGCAAGACGCTAGGCCCATAAAATAAAATAGTTTAAGCCAGTTATCTATTAGCGAAAAAAAATATAAATATTATCTCAACAATTAAAAGAAAATGTTAAAAAAATTGTGTCAAATGCATGTCACTTGGCATTTATCATGTTAAAACTTATAGTTATCAAGGGTTGCTTAATGTAAAAATCAATTTGTTAGTTGGTGAAAAACTTTTATTTTTGTATGTTTAACCATTTTGAATTAGGTAATAATGCTAGTTAAGGGGAGGGAAGGTGATATCTTTGTGCGCTTTCTTCTCTACTCCCTTAACCTATGCAATGGGAATTACCACTTGCATTGTCAACCTAATTGGAATGGTAAAATATATTAAAATATTTTTTTTCTTCTAAATATTTTTGTTACCTAAATGAATATTACATTTGTAACGAGACATAAGATAAATTATTCGTTCTAACATGTTTTTTATTAGAATTTACTATGCAGATATATTCTAAAAGTAAACAAGAGTTTGAACTTATACTTAAATGCCTTATATAAAATGGTTTAGGTTTTGTCTTGTAGTTGATTTTTTAAAATAATGGAAAAGAAGTTAAAGACTTATGTAGTGTTTAGTTATATTTAAACATTTTTAGATAAAAGAATGAGTATTTATAAATTATCATAATATCATATTTTTAAGTTTCTAATTTAGAGAGTTATTAAATTTTGTGTATGTTAATTTGTATACGTATAAAGAAAATCTTATTTGTGGCATAGTATACATAGATGACAGCCACTAAATTATAGTCTAGACAAAAGTAAAGAGGTAAAATATTCATTTATTACATATTTATATAAACATTAAATTTATTTAAATTTAAATTCATTTCAATGTTATAAATTATGATTTTTCATACTAGAACACAATTTAACGTGTATAACACACTCGAATTGTTTTAATTTGAACTTTGTTTTTCTAAAATGTGAAAAATTTTAACATGATACTTTACCATTAGACAGCTCACCCATTTCTTAAGCAAATTGGGGCTTAGTTATTTTCTAATTTTTTTAAAAAAATATTAATTATTAAAATAATATTATTTTAAAACATATTTCCTAATTGAGACTTTTTTTTTTTTTACTTCACCACTAGTTTTATAATTCGTAGGTAATTGAAGATAACAAAAATCTCTAATATTGCACCAAGGGATTTATACGAAATTGATTTAGAAAGGAATTTAATCCAAGCCCAGCTGAGATGAAAATTACATGAAAACAATTTCGTCATAAAAAAAAAGACAGAGGACTAATTTTCATATAATTATATATTTTGATTGCTAGAAATCAACCCATGACATACTAAATCATATATAAAAAAGACCATTCAAATCATTTGACTTAGGACCATTCTCGAAGAAAACTTGGCAGAAGTTGATCAAACTAAATTCTAAATTCTAAAAGAACATTTTACACCTATTCTTATAGTTCTATGCCTAATTGTTTTTATATTCATTATTTGTCATTTTTAATAATTTTCTTATTTTTACATTTAATCCTTTATTATATATTTTATATCATTTTTTAGTTCTATTTTTCTCTCTTCTTTTGTTTTTTATAATTATCATCTACTTGAAGGGATCTTGTTCCAGTTGAATAAGACAATTATAAGCAACAAAATTTTCTCTTCAAATATTTAACGTTGTTGCATTCAATAAGACTAGAAAAGTTCTTGCCAGTTAAAATGATATTTTCGTACTTAATAAAAAAATTTAAATGATAAACATTTTGAAACTTTTACTATTAAAAAAATTAATTTTTCCATTATTTTTTATCTGTAATTTATATAACCATTGTTAATTTTAAATATTGCTCATAGTTTAAATAACTGTAGTTAAATTTAAATATTTTTTACAATTTATTATAATAATCATAGTTATCTAATTAATGACAGTTGTAGAAAATCTCAGTTAAAATATTTTTTTACCCGTTTATTATAATAACTTGTCTCTGTCCGCAACTACCATTCTCTTCCAATCCAAAAAACATAATCCTATTATATTTTTAAAGGTTTGTGCTCTTTCTCAACTCCTCTTTTAGCATCATCTCTCTAATAACTTCTCTTTAAATCAATTTCATACTTCTTCTTTTTGTTGCACAAAGGTTCAATTCAATCTTTCTATTATCTCTCAATCACGTATGATTTTTGTTTTATATTTGTGTTTATGTTTAAGTTACGTTCTCATGGATTCTTTGAGATAGATTCTTGTAGTATTGAATTTTTTGATACACAAAGTTGTATTTTATTTCTTATTCTTGATCAAGTTGAATATATCCTTAATTATTTCAAATTTTTTTTCTTTAGTCATAATCAACCAGTTAACCTACTAAGTTAATGTATAAGTGTGTTTTTAGAAGTTATTGT